TGTTTCGAAATTTTTCTAATTTTTTAAAACTAGATACGAAAGGTAGACGCATTTTTTTTATGGATACCATTTTTAATAATATACCAAAACTCGGATCGACTTTAAGGCGCAAAAAAGTCGAATTAATCGATAAAAGATACAAAAATCATTCATTTTATTCAGAGTTGTTTTTGAATTTTGTACTTGTGATATGTTTGTTCCTCGACCTATCATTGGCTTCTAAATTCAATTATTTAAAAACTCAATAATTTTGTTAAATAAATATTTAAGTACTATTTCTAAAAATTACTACTTTCCCCCTGCGAAATTCAATTATTTTCTAAAATTTCTAAAACAACTTCTATTCTAAAAAAATTATTTTGAATTATTTTGCGAAAGTCCTTTGAGAATTGAAGTATTTAATTACAAAAATTCAATGTTTTATAATTATTGAAACAATAAACCTTCATGGTTTCTTTAAAACCTTAACAAATTATAATTCAAAAATTCATAAAATTAGTTTTTTAAAAATATTTTTAAATAATTTTTGAAAAATAATTGAAATTTAATACATTATTTTGAAAATAATTGAATTCTATACAAAAATTTTTGGAAAATATTAAAAAAATAATCAAGTTTTAGCAGAATTTTAATTAAAAATTTATGAAATACATGATTTCTCAAAAAAATTTAATTTACCTGTTTTTAAGTACAATTTTCGTACAATTTAAAAAACTAATCAATTTTTTTAAAGAATTTTAATTAGAAATTTTGAAAATTATTGTCGTCTCCAAAATCATAATAAAACTTCTTAAATAATATTTTATTTTAATTTTTTGAAACTAATTTTTATTATTTGATATTTTCAAATTTCCATTCGAAGATTTTTCATTAAATTTTTGAGAATTTAATATTATTGAAAATTTTGTAATTAAAATTTTTCAAAATTAGATTTTTCAAAAATTTGTAAGTGATATATTTATTTAAATTAATTGAATTTTAAAAAGTTGTAATGAAAACAAATTAGAATCACATTTTTAAAAATATTTAATTATAATTTTTTGAAGCTACTTTTTATAAATTTTTAATTTCCTATTTTCATTAAATCTTTTATTAAAATTTTTGAAAATTCAATTATTTTTAAATTTGCAATTAAAATTATTCAAAATTTAAATTCTTCGAAATTTGTAATTAAAAGTATTGAAAATAACTGAATTTTAAAAAATTCGAATCAAAATCAAAATTAGAATCCTGAGAATCACTTAAAAAAAATGAATTATAATTTTTATAAATTTTGAGTTTCATATTTTCATTTGAAGATTTTTTATTAAAATTTTTGAAAATTCTATTATTTCAAAATATACAATCAAAATTATTTAAAATATGAATTTTCAGAAATATTTATTTGAAAATATTCAAAATTGAATTTAAAAAAATTAGAGTCAAAGAATCCTGAGAATCACTTTCTTTAAGGGCATTTGAACCTTGATGACGTTTCAGTTTGTGCAAAGCATGTGTGACGTCATCAAGTTTCAAATGCCCTTAAAGAAAAAGAATTTTAATTTTTTGAAGCTATTTTTTATAAATTTTCTTTTTCATATTTTCATTTGAAGAATTTTTCATTAAAATTTTAAGAATTCAATTGATTTCAAAATTTGCAATCAAAATTCTTCAAAATTTGAATTTTTAAAATTTTATAATTGAAAATATTAAAAATAATTGAATTTTAAAATACAATGTAAAAATCCTGCCAATCAGTTTTTTAAAAATTATTCTATTAGGTATCTATAATTTTTTGAAACAAATTTTATTTATTTTTATTTAAAGATTTTTTAAAATTAAATTATTTTTTCTAAAATTTGCAATTGAAATTCTTCAAAATTCAATTGTCCAAAATTTTACAAAAATTTAATTTACGAACTGTTTAATTAAATATTTCACAAATTTAATTCTCTTAAAAAAATCATTTATTAAATTAATTAAAATTATTAATTATTAATAATAATCATTATAATTTGTTTTAATACCTTTATGAGAAGAAAGTCGATGTAATCGCATTTTTTCAAAATTAGTCGAGAAAAATAGGAAAAACTCCAAAAAATCGTAATATATATCCGAGGTCTCTGATAATATTTACATCAAATGCAAATGATCCTCGAGTTCTGAATTTTCAATCAAACGAAATTTTCACTCAATATGAATATTTTCACAAAATTCTGACTGTAACAAAAAAAGCAAAATCAAAATTAGTCAATTAAAATCTTTATAATTAATTTTTAAATACATGACGCAATATTATTACAATAAAAAATTGAATTTTAAGGAAAAATAACAAAATTTCATTCATCTGAACGTCAAAAAAAAATTAGAAACATAAATAAATAAAATAAAAATAACCTAAATTAACTATCGAATCATTTTTGATTAAATATACTTAAAATTTCGTCAACGTCTCATAAACTTCAATGAAAGTGACAACTGATTAACACTTGCATAATAAATTTTCCATAAAATATTGCAAAGAAAAAGCAATGAATCAACTAATTTAAATATTCACGGAAAATTTATCCCCAGTGATATAATAATATAAAATTATAGAGAATTGTGAAAAAATAAAAAATAAAGCCTATATAATTGATTACTCAAAATTGCACAATTTATCCATTGAAAAATTCATTAAATTTCTTTTCTGGAACATTTTGTAACATTGTCTCTGTGTGTGGGATGTAGAAAATTTTGAATAAAATAACCAAGAAAATTGTTAGAGAAAAAAAAAAGATGATAATATTGATAACATGTTTCATGCTAATAAGATTCGAAAGTTACGAAAGCCAAGTATTTCAGTATATTTTTCAGTGTATTTTGACTGCAGAGGACAGGAATTTAATTTATTTCCTCTCAGAGAAAAATTGGACATTTAGTCAAAAAAGAGAAGAAAAAAGATTAGACATTAAATTGACACATAAATTAATTCTAAATTGTTGATGATTTATCTACTGAATTCAAAATTTTGACAATTCTCTTTTTTTTCTCATCTTTAGAAAGATCTTTGAAATATTAAAAAAAATAAATATTTTCGAAAAAAAAATTTTCAGAAGCACTTTTGAATTGAATAATTTAAATTTCAACTGTAAAATTGAAAAATGTATATATTTAATAATAAAGAGTTTCATCATCAATCTAAATTTTGAATCATTAGGAGGAGAAATCAATTTGTTCCGTTCCTAGACAAATATTCTCTTATTATGAAGATATGACACTTAGATTAAATTTATAAACTGAACTGGAAAAATATTTCAAGCGCTGCAACCTAGAATTTTAAAAACCGTTTTAGATGACATTTTTTAGATTCAATATTTCTCAATTAAGTCAAATTTATAGTAAATATTGTGAATTAATTAGGAAATTAATTGACGAAAAAAAAGAAGTTAAAGAATAATTATAAATACAGAACTGTATTTATTAGAAATATATTCGAAAATTAAATTAAAAATTTAAAAATAAGAACAATTAGATTAAAAAATGATTTAAAATAAAAATTAACCTAAAAACCAAAATAAAAATTTAATTAATTTAAAAATAATTTTTTATTACGAATAATGTCTCTTATTATCAAGTATTTATTTGACAATAATGCACAATAGCAAATAAAAGTATATTCACGCGGATTATAGATGCTAAAGCTTCTTATTTACATAAATGCTTGACTAACGATTGTGCCCTTTGGGTAAAATGCATTATGCGGAAAAATAAAGAGCCGAACAAATCCTAATACGGGAAAATATTCCTTTTTTCATAAAAATGCAAATTTAGAATTCGATTTACTCATTTCAAGCTTATTAAAACATTTTTACCATTTTTACTGCCATTGAAAAAACTACGAACATCGCTTGCCTGAACTATGGAATTCACTGTGTAATGTCCGCCATTTTTCTTTACACAAACAATTGTTATTTTTTGATTTTATTTCTTTCGATTTATTATTCAGTTCGACAAATATCACAAAAATTGATGCTTGATTTTTACCCTGACGCTTATTTTTACAGGGAACATACTTTAAATAGCTCATATGTACTGAAACAGAAAATGATAATCTAACTTTTATCGAAACGTGAATTTTACCGTTTTTCACCAAATTCCCGAAAATTTCTATTTAGTTCCTAAATAAATACTCATTTCGATTGAAAATATGTTACTTTAGTGCTATTTTCCTAAACAAATGCTCAATTTTATACAATATTGTCGAAAAATCGCAAGTGCTACGAAGCATTTGTGACGCTGATGCTTACCTAAGAAATACATATTTACGCTTTAAAAATGTCTAAAATAACCATTTTCTCACCTTCGGGATGAACTTCAGCGTCTTGATTGCACTTTTCCGATGGAATTATCCTCCGATGTGAAAGGATTTGCCCAGATTTCTTTATCTTTCGTCAGTTTTCGTCAGAGCGAGGACGCCGTCGAGCCGCTATTTTGTGCAATGAGAGTGCAAAGTGGAGGGAGAGCAGGGTTGGGAAGTCAAGCGTCGAAATTTTGGACCTTAAGGCGCATTTGCAATTAAAATCATGTGAACCCTATTTTAGGTATTTTTACTTCTAAAAAATTAAAAAGTATCGATTATTTATTCTACGATTAAGAAAAGTACAAAAATAAAAACATTTTACAATTTTTTCTATTTGCATTAATTACCTTTGTTATTTTTTTAAAAAGAATCGCAGAAAACTATTTTTTTTTAAATTTGTGAAAGAAACAAACGAACTAACTGGACAAAAACTCGGTTATTTTCTTAAAAATCTACTTATTGTTTAAAAACGTTAAAAACGCAATATAGAAAATATAAAAAGTTCTTACATTTTTGTATTTACTTTTATTTATTTACATTAATTACTTTTTTAAAAAGAATCGCAGAAAACTGTTTTTGTAGAAGAAAGAGAGTGTGAGAAAGAGACACTGGACCATAGATCACAAAAACACCGCAAGATGGCAGCAAAGAACAAAGTATTCAAATGTGAGTACGCCTTCTGTGTTTCATATACACCCGGGTGAATCCACTGTTTACCACGTGTGTTTTTGAACGTTTAGAACATATCAAAATTATGTGAATTCTATTAATTTTACTGCTTTTTAACTAAAACTTTGTATTAATTTAAGAAAAAAAGTGCTTTAGTATCAAAATAGTATAAATAAAGTTATTAATTTCCAGCAAAATGTCTCAAAGTAAAATATTCTGCAGAAATCGTGCCTTAGGTTATGTTAGCAATGAAGTGCCACACGTGACAAGATATATACAAAATAGAAAAGAAAATTTAATAGTAACTTGTGTGGGAAAATCCTTTCACACTTATGGATTTACTCATTTTACATTATTGAGTGTTTCCGGCACTCATCCTGGGGACATAACGTGTATGGCAGCCGACACTTATCACGTCTACACCGCGAGTGAAAATGAAATATTCGCTTGGCGACGAGGTAATGAATTAGTTCACAATTACAAGGGACACGAATCAACGGTTCATTGTTTACTTCCCTTTGGTCCACATTTATTATCAGTTGACGAGGACAGTAATGTCAAGGTATGGGACATTAAATCCGAGACTTCTATTGTTGAATTAAATTTCAGCAATCGGTCATTCAAGATAACGAAAATGATGCACCCGGCGACTTATATGAACAAAATTTTATTTGCCAGCGAACAGGGTGAGTTGCAATTATGGAATATTAAAACTTTGAAGATGATTTACAAGTTCCAAGGATGGAATTCGGCGGTAACGGCTTTAGAACAAGCACCGGCTGTTCATGTCGCTGCGATTGGTTTGGCGAGTGGGAAAATTATTTTACATAATTTAGAAGTTGACGAGAGTATTTTTGAATTGATACAAGACTGGGGATTAGTGACAAGTATTACATTTCGAAGTGATGGGTATGAAATAATGGCAACCGGAAGTTTATCCGGTCACATTGTTCTTTGGAATTTAAATACAAAAAAAGTCGAGAGTCAAATATTGAACGCTCACTTTGGAGCTGTGACGGGATTAAATTGTCTTCCGAATGAGCCTTTGATTATTTCCACATCGCCTGATAATTCTCTGAAATTATGGATTTTCGATCAAGACGACGGTGGGGCGAGATTATTGAGAATTCGTGAGGGTTTCGCGAAACCACCGACATACCTTCGTTTTCATGGAAATGATGGGGATAATGTTGTAACATCGGGTGAAGATTCATCGTTGAGAATTTTTTCCACTTTAACTGAGACTTTTAATAAGAGTTTGGGAAGAGCTTCTTATCATAGGAAATCGTCGCAGAAAAAGAATAGAAGTGTCGAGGATCCATTGATAATGCCGTATATTACTGAATTTTCAATGGAGAAGACGAGAGAGAAGGAGTGGGATGATATTGCTGCTGTTCATTATGAAACTGGTGTGGTGACAACTTGGTCTTATGATAAACTTAAAATGGGACAACATAAATTATTGCCGGAAGATTTTAAACATAAACACAGTATTTGTGCGACTACTGTTTATTTAACGCATTGTGGTAATTTTGTTATTATTGGATATAATAATGGATGTGTCGAGAGATTTAATATTCAATCGGGAATTCATAGAGCTTCTTATGGGGTTGATGGTGCACACACTGGATCTATTATGGGAGTTACTGCGGATAATTTAAATCAATTTGTCATTACAGCAGGAAAAGATGCTTTACTCAAATTTTGGCCTTTTAAACCTCTCAAGGGTAATTTTTTTTCATCTTGTAATTTTCTAAATCAAAAATTCATTGTATGAATTATATTAATTATTATTACAATTTATATTATTATAAATTATTATTACTATTATTTTATACTTTATTTAAATTTTTATAAATTTACATATTTTGCATTTTATTAAGATTTTTATAAATTTACTTTTGTATATTATGAATTATTCATTTTAAAGTACGAATGTAAATTAACATGTTATTTTTACAGGACCATTAGCAAAGTTAGAATTGAACCATCCTGTTGAATTTTTACGGAAACATGACGAGAGTTCACTCCTTGCTGTGGCATTACAAGATTTTTCAGTAATTATTGTTGATTTCAATGCAAGGCGAATTGTTCGAAAATTCGAGGGGCATATGAGTATTATTACTGATGCGACTTTTAGTCCTGACGCAAGGTGGCTGATTACGGCCTCTCGAGATTCAACGATAAGAACTTGGGACATTCCATCTTCCCAGGCAATTGATATTTTCCAGGTAATTAATTTCAAATTGATAAATTTCTAATTAATTAATCAGTTGAAGTTCATTCAATCTATATTAATTAATTATCATTATTTTCTGGATGTATGCAACTTTTCTAATTTTGATTCTGAAAAAATTTTAATTCTTGCTTAGAATTTAAAGAAAATTAAATTCTTTCCAGAAATTTAATTAGAATTATAGTGAAAATAATTAAATTCTTTTCTGAAATTTAATTAAAATTATATTAAAAATAACTGAATGTTTATCAAAATTATCGATAATTAATTTAATTCTATCGAAAAGAATCTTAAAATTTATTAAAGTAATTCAATTCTATTCAGAAAATTGATTAAAACTGAATTGAAAATGATTAAATACCTGCGAAGAATTATATTATGTATGAAAACTATTGAATTCCTGACAAGAATAATTAAATTCTTTTGAGGAATTTTATAAAAATTGTATTGAAATCAATTTAATTCTTGTAAAGAATTTTATTTTTAAAAATGTTTGAAAATAATTGGATTTTTCTAGGAAATTTTAATAAAATAAAATTAAAAGCAATTTAATTCTTGGCTAGAATTTTATTACAATTTTTAAAAATAATTGAATTCTTTCGAGGAATTTTAATTAAAATTGAAATCAAAATAATTTAATTCCTACGAAGAATTTTATTATTTATGAAAATAATTGAATTTTTGCAAATAATTTTATTACTTACGAAAATAATTTAATTCTTGACAAGAGTTTCATTAAAAATTTTAAAAATAATTGAATTCTTGCGAATAATTTTAATATTTCTTAAAATAATTGAATTTTTTTGAATAATTTTATTAGTTACGAAAAAATTCAAAATAATTGAATTGCTGCGAATAATTTTAATATTTATGAAAATAATTGAATTCTTCAGAAGAATTTCATTACTTACGAAAGTAATTGAATTTTTGCCAAGCATTTTATTAAAATCTTAAAAAATAATTGAACTGCTGCGAATAATTTTAATAATATATGAAAATAATTGAATCCTTCTAAAGAATTTCATTACTTACGAAGATAATCATTTGTAAAAATAATTGAATTCTTGCGAAGGATTTTATTATTTATGAAAATAATTGAATTTCTGTGAAGAAATTTATTGTTTTTGAAAATAATTGAATTTTTGCGAAGAATTTTATTGCTTACGAAAATAATTGAATTCTTAACAAGAATTTCATTAAAAATTTTGAATGAAATTAAATTACTCAGAATAAATTTAATATTTTTGAAAATAATTGAATTCTTCCAAAGAGTTTCATTACCTATTACGAAGATAATTGAATTCTTGCGAAGAATTGAATTAAATTTTTTGAAAATAATTGAATTTAAATGAAATTCTTGCGAATTCTTTAAAACTTTAAAATTATATAATTGGATTTGTGCTAATAATTTTAATCATTTGTAAAAAATAATCGAATGCTTGCAAAGAATTCTGAAATTTATGAAAATAATAGAATTTCTATGAAGAATTTTATTATTTATCAAAATAATTGAATTTTTGAGAATAATTTCATTACTTACGAAAATAATTGAATTCTTGACAAGAATTTCATTAAAAATTTTGAAAAAAATTAAATTCCTGAGAAAAAATTTAATATTTTTGAAAATAATTGAATTTTTTCGAAGAATTATATTTCTTACGAAAATAATTCAATTCTTGCAAAGGATTTTATTAAAATTTTGAAAATATTAGAATTCCTATGAAGAAATTTATTATTTTTGAAAATAATTGAATTTTTGCGAATAATTTTATTGCTTTAAAAAATAATTGAATTTTTTATGATAATTTCATTAAAAATATTGAAAATAATTGAATTCTTGAGAAAAATTTCATTACTTTTGAAGATGATTGAATTCATGAGAAAAATTTCATTACTTTTGAAGATGATTGAATTCTTGCCAAGAATTTTATTAAGAATGTTGATAATAATTCAAGTTTTTAAACCTGACTTGGATTAATTGATAATTTTTTTTTTCATCTCAATAATAAATTTTTAATTTTACAATCTTTATTTTTAAAATTTCAGGTTCCAAAAGCTTGTATAAGTTTGGATTTCTCTCCAAATGGCGAATATCTTGCTACGGTGCACGTTGATTATTTAGGAATTTTCTTATGGGTAAATCGAACAATCTTCACTCCGGTTTCACTGAAAGCAATTAATTCCGAGGCTCCTGTTCCCATTGTTCCATTACCGGGCATGGATGAGTTGCAACCAAATTCAGAACAAAATATCATGGAAGTTGAAAATGACGTGGACGATGAATACAAATCACCTGAGCAAATTAGCAATGAACTAATAACATTGTCTTCTCTAGCGCAATCAAGATGGAAAAATTTACTAGATATAGATATTATCAAAAAAAGAAACAAACCCAAGGAACCACCAAAAGCACCCGAAGCGGCTCCATTCTTTTTACCAACAATACCATCACTGGAACCGAAATTTGACTTCTCGGATGTCACAACATCTAAAGAAAGCAACAAAATTGAAATGCACTCCGATTTTCAGAATCTCACCATATTTAGTAAATTTCTCCTCTCAACTAATGAGAATAACAATTTTTTGACAGCTTTCGAAAAATTAATGTCCATGGGTCCCAGTGGAATTGATTTTGAAATTCAATCTCTCTCCCACAATCCATCGTGCTCCGTTGAATTAATGTTTCAATTTATGAAAATGATTCAAAATGTACTCGAGAGCAGGAAATATTTCGAACTCACTCAGGCTTTTTTAGGTTTATTTTTAAAAACTCACGGCGAAGAATTGACGGAAAATAAAAAATTATATGACTGCTTGTGTGAATTGCAACAAGTTCAGGAAAAAACTTGGATCGAATTACAAACACAATTGTTTGATATTCAAAGTGTAGTGGCACACTTGAAAAAAGTCTAGAAATATAAGTTTAACTACATATTTTGTATATATATGTAAATAGAAATAAAAAATACATTTTTGTGATTTTTCAAAAAAATTTTATTTCAAAGAATAATTTTTGTGTATCCTGTCAATATTGTTTAACAATTTCATAATCATCGAATAACTCTTTTACTCTTTTCGTTTGTGCAATAAATAGAACTTTGCAAAAAAAAACAAAAACGTTTTGTACAAAAAGAAAAGCAAGTAAATTTTTTTTTCAAACTACATAAAACATTTTTTTTCTTCATTCCCAAGGAACTAAATGATTTTCATCTAAAATCTGCTCTTGTTATTCCATACAAAAATCTCTTTTTTCAAGTCATATGTACAGTTTTAGTAAACATTCGGAAATGTAATTCTTTTTAGAAATAAATCACAAAACAATGATAAGAATAGAAAAATTGTTTCTTTCACTCTTTTGGAGAGAAAATTAATTCTCCCTTTAGACCGACAATAACAAGAAAAAAATATATATATATTTTATCAGACATTTTCTTTTTTACATTAAGTTTCTATGTTCGAATAAATTTTTAATATTTTGTACAATTATGTACAGTCTCTTTATAATATATATATATTAATTTTTCACAACTTTATTCACGCTTTATTAATGTCACAAGTCCGTTTGAATTAACAAAATTATTTTATAATTTGAGTGCGACATTTTTTTATGTGTGAAGAGTCGAATTATCTTAAAATTGTAATATTGAAAATCTGTTAATTTACAATAATGTACATCAGTCTTATAATAATCTATAATGCTAAGAATAAGGCAATGTTGACCTTCAAGGACGGGGATTAAAAGCTATCAATTTAGCACTAAATTTTTCTTTTAAACCGCTAAAAAATATGGTAACAAAATACAAAAATTTATCTAATTAAGTGCTCTTTTTTTTCTTTTTTTCTTACGTATAACCCTGAATATCATCCAACATATTGTCTGATGACATTAAAGTCAAACTTAGCTCTTCATGCATTCCTTTGGCATAATTTACTTGTTGAGAAACCTGCAAAAAAAAAATTTTTTATTTTCGTTTAATATATATTAAATTTTAATTACTATGAATTCAATTATTTTCACTAAAATTTTTATTAAATTTCTCAAAAGAATTCAATTATTTTCAAAAATTGTAATAAAATTCATTTATTTACAAAAAAATTTCAGAAAATTCAATAATCAAATTTTTAATTACATATTTTCATAATTTTTGAATTTAAATTAATAAAAAAAATATTATTTTAAAAAAACAACTAAATTGTTCAAAAGAATATATAATTTTCTATGAATAATTTTAATAAATTCTCTTGAAGAATTTTGTAAAATTTAATTAGATATTTTCATAATTTTCAATAAAAATTATTATAAAAGAAAATATTATTTTCAAAAAACAAAGAAATTCTTCAAACTTTAATTTCCTATCAATAATTTTAATAAATTCTTTTAAAGAATTTGAAAAAAATTAAGTTTTCTTAAACTGATGTAATTTTTAAATTTTAATTAAAATTTTTGAAAATAATCGAATTTCACAAAGAATAATTTTGAACCTCTTAAAATAATCGTATCTGTTAATAATTATAGTTAAAAATTTTATTATTGAATGTCTTTATAATATTTTGGAAATAATTGAATTTTTCATAGGATTTTATTACAATTTTTGAAACAAACTGAATTCTTTAGAGATATTTTATAAAAAATGTACCTACTGAAATTAATTAAATTCATGCGAAAAAATTTATTATTTATGAAAATAAATTAATTCTTATAAAACTTGTTATCAAAACTTTTGAGAATAATTTGGATTTTTTGGAAAAATTTTATTAGAATTTTTAAAAATAATTGAATTCTTTCGATAAATTTTATTAAATTTGTATTAAAAATAATTGGATTCCAGAGAAGAATTTCACCGTTTACCAAAAATTTTAAAAAATTGAATTCCTACAAAGAATTTGACTATTTATACAAAATTAATTGAATTCTTGCAAATAATTTTATTAAAATCATTAAAAATAATTGAATTCTTACTTTGAATTTTATTACTTATGAAAATAATTGAATTTCTGCGAATAATTTTATTGCTGACAAAAATAATTGAATTCTTGCAAATAATTTTATTAAAATTTTCAAATATAATTGAATTCCCTGGAATAATTTTAATATTTATGAAAACCATTGAATTCTTGCTAAGAATTTTATTAAAATCTTTAAAAAAAATTGAATTCCTGTAAAGAATTTCACTATTTATAAAAAAAAATTGAATTCTTGATAAGAATTGTATTAAAATTTTTAAAAATAATAGGCAATAATAATTTATTATTGATTAGTTAAATTATTTAATTATAAATAATAAATAAAAGTTTTAATTTTGAGTTTGAAATTATTCAAATTGAACTTTGTATTTAAAAATATAAAAATTTGTATTTGTGAGAATAATAATAAAGTAAACACCTCGTTTCACTCGTATATAATTATAATAATTATTATTTTAAAATACATAATTAATACTTTATTAAATATTATTAATAGAGTTTATTGAATATTAAATATTAAAAGAATTGGTAAAATTGAAAGATGAAAAATTAGAAACTCACCCATTTAGCACAGGCCTCATTATCGCATCTAACCTTTGGTCTTCTTAAAACTTCAGTGCCAACAAAATTTGTGGAAGCAACTGAATCTCTAGATGTCAACTCAATATAATGCAATGTAACGCCGTTACTTTCTAGTTTGTGAGTTGGTTGACAGTGAAGTAAATCTGCTAGACTAACTTCAGTCACGACGCCTTTTGTCCCGCCAGAAATAATACGAACTCTTTCATTTGATACTAAAACTTTAAGATTATCAGCACCACTTCGTAAACATTCATAGGCAACAAAAAGTTCTGAATAATCACGATTATTAATACAATAGAGAAATTCCTGTCCCTCCGCCTGTTGCAGATTATAAGGTGGTAGAAGTCCCGCTGGACCACTTGCAACTCGTGGTAGTCTGTCGCGTTTTGGTATTAATCGATGAGCACTAGAAAAAAAAGTACCATCAATTAAAATATCAATATTAATTTACTAGTTAATTTATTAAATTATATTTTAATTTCAAGGACTATCAAATTAAAATATCGATATTAATTTACTATTTAATTGATAATTTACGTAATTCAATTTAGTGATAATAAATAAAATAAATAATTTAATTTTTTATTATTTTTTTTTAGAATGAAAATTTTGTTAATAGTCAAAATTAGATTTGAAGCTAAAATAAGTATCGAAATTTAATTATCACCTTCTACTTGTCTCTCGAATTGCTGTTGCAGTTTCCGATGCAAGATCCAACATTCCAACGACTGGTTTCGTTACTGTTCCAACAACTCCTTTTCCTAGTCCCGAGAAAAAGCCCTGGTAAGGAGTTAAAAAGATTGTTAATAAAAATAGAAATTAAGAAATTAATTTAAAATCGTAATAATTATTATTATTTATTAAAAAATCATAACTAATTTAATTAAACCATGAAATTAATTAAATATTTTTAAAAAACAGAAATATATTAATTAAAGATGTTTAAATTTTTTGTTTTACTTACGGGAAATCCTTCATTTGAAGCACCATCGTAAGTTTGCTTCACGATACTTGTAACTCCGCCTAAAATTCCAAAACCCAATCCTTTAATTCCTGCGAGTAAATGGTCACTACTTCCTGCGTTATTCGCGCGAATTCTCTGTCGTGTCTCCTCGTGTCTTTCGTCCATAGTTACACGACCCAAACCATCGGATAAGGTTTCAGTGACTTTTGCTGCGGAATTGGAAAATCCATGAGCCAAATTCTGAACAAGAGTTTTGACATTACCATCAGAAATGAAACTGGAAACACCCTCGGAAACGTCATTGACGAATCCAAGTGGATTGCCGAGAAAATCAACTGAACCAAGTATCACTGCTGCCTGCCACTTTAATTCCTAAAATTTATAATTTACATTAATTCTCTTTTTTTCTTGCAAAGTATTAATTTTAATTAATTAGATAAAAATACTTTTTCTTACGATCTTACAATAAAATAATAATAATACAATAAAATCTTACAATAAAGTCTAATATCTAACAAAAAAGAAAAGAAAAAAAATTTAATTTAATTTTTGATTGAAAAAAGTTTATTTCGTAAATTTTTTTATTAACGAATTAACGAAATTTAATAAATAGAAAACTTACATCTATGTAGTGTTTTATAATAGAATGCATCAAAACTTGTTTGTTCTCAAATGGATGCATTCTTATAAAGGGTTCCAAATCAATAGTGGCGTCTTCGAATTTGATTAAAGTCAATCCCAATTTTTTCTTAATTATCTGAAGATGCGCTGGTAATTTTGTAGCTGTCAGAACACTTAATCTCACCTGAAAAAAAGAAAATATTCTCTAATAAAATTAATACTTGATGTAAATATCTCTAATAAAATTATTTGTTTATTATTTAATGAATAATTTTACTTTAAAATTCCAAAAATAATTGAATTTTACAAGTGTTACGATTACAATTTTTATAATTAAATTTCAAAATGATACAAATTTAAATTCTACAAATAACTGAATTTTATAAGAGTTGGGTTTACGATTTTTATAAATAATAAAATTTGAAAATGTTGAAAATTTAAATTTTACAAATAATTGAATTAAAAAATATTTAAAATACAAATTTTATAAATAATTGAATTTCAAAAAAATTTAAATTTAAAATTTTTAAATAATTAAATTTCAAAAAGGATTCAAATTGAAATTTTGTAAATAATTGAAGTTCAAAAGGTTTTAAATTGAAATTTTAGAATTTTGCATTACAAAAGGTTCAAATTACAATTTTATAAAAAATTGATTTTTAAAAGGCTTCGAATTAAAATTTCAAAAATAATTGAATTTCAAAAGGTTTCAAATTGAGATTTTAGAAATAATTGAAATTTATAAGAATGGTGAATACAATTTTTGAAAATAATTAAAATATAAAAAGGATTCAAATGGAAATTTTAAAAATAATTGAATTTTAAACGGTTTCAATTTAAAATTTTATAAATAATTAAATTTCAAACGGTTTTAATTAAAATTTTTATAAATAATTTAAAAAAGGTTGAAATTGCAATTTTATAAATAATTGATTTCCAACAGTTTTCGAACTGTAATTTTACAAATAATCGAATTTAATAATATTTAAAATTGAAATTTGAAAAGTAATTGAATTTGAAACAGTTTTAATTTAAAATTTTATAAATAATTAAATTTCAAACGGTTTTAATTAAAAATTTTATAAATAATTGGAAAAAGGTTCAAATTACGAATTTATAAATAATTTATTTTCAAAAGTTTTCGAATTGTAATTTTACAAATAATTGAATTTAATAATATTTAAAATTGAAATTTTAAAAATAATTGAATTACAAAAAGGATTCAAATTGCAATTTTATAAATAATTGAATTTCAGAAGGTTTTAAATTGCAATTTTGTAAATGATTGAATTTCAAAAGATTTAAAATTTCATTTTTAAAAATAATTGAATTTCAAAAGGTTTTAAATTGCAATTTTGTAAATAATTGAATTTCAAAAGATTTCAAAAGGAAAATTTCAAAAATAATTGCATTTCAAAAGGTTTCAATTTAAAATTTTATAAATATAATTGAATTACAAAAAGTTCAAATTGCAACTTCTATAAATTATTGAATTTCAAAAAGTTTTAAATTTGATATTTTTGAAAATCTTAATTCCTTTGGAAAAGTAATAATATAGTAATGACTAAATATTTATCCAAAAAACACTATCGATATTTCTGAATAACTTTGCAATTAAATATATTCATAAATAAATGTATTAGAAACATTATTTTGTGATTCTAATCATTTTTACAGTAAATCAGAATATTCTTCAGGAAAAAATCAATATTCGGTCTGAAAAACAGAAGAACTAATAAAATTTTTGCCCCAACCCTGATAAACAAATAAAAGAAATAAAAAGCTAAATATATAAATTAAAAAAATAAAATTTTTTAAATCTACTAAATGCAGTAATTTTAATATTTGATGATAAATAAATAAATAAAAAGTTGGATCAAAAACAAAAAATTACCTGACTTGGTACAAGTTTCAATGCACCGAAATAATAACGTTTCGAATGAGCAGCCGAAACATTGGAAATAAATCTCTGCGTATTAAAGCCATTCTCCTCGAGTGGAACCTCAGATTCAGATCTTCCAGCGCCAATGAATGCCGCCACTTTTAAAATCAATCTCTCCTCAAGATGAACACTTATCGGTTTTATACTCACAACGAGATGTTTATAAATTTCAGCATTTTGATTTTTCGATGGCAATTTCTCGGCGGCCACATGTATTGCTGGTCGAGCATCATTTTTACCGCGTGATTCTCGTGAAATATAAAGAACCGATGTGCATTGCGCCTCAAAAAGTTGATTATCAATTTGAACATCATCAACGCTGAGATTTAAATTTGTACTCGCCGATGTCATCATAAAATCCAAATTAATTCCCGCTAAACGTGAAAATATTAATTCTTCAGCTGGTCTACTGGAAATTAGTGACAGTCCCAATCCCGCTTGTAAATTAACATTTAAACGTAATTCTCGTGAATCAATTGTTTGATCGATTTCCGGTTGATTTGTTCGTTGATTTATCGCGATATTCAACCAGTCGCGTTCCTCCAAAAGTGCAAATGTTCGATTCTGAAAAGAAATTGTTTTATTTATTATTTATTATTTTTTATTTTATTATTTATTTCTAAATTAACTTATTTTTATTATTCATTTAGAACTAATTTTTTTTTATTATTCATTTACAATTAATTTAGTTCTATTATTTATTCAGAATAAATTTAGTTCTATTATTTATTCATAGAATAAATTTAGTTCAATTATTTACTTAGAATTTATTTTTATTATTTATTTAGAATTTTAATTCAACTTAACGAGTAAATAAAAATAATTACTCTTTCTTTAATATCCAGAATCTGAAGTACTCGAGTCGGTCCATCAGTTGTTACTCGAACCGATAAAAATCCAGAACCTGGTCTCAAACGTTGTCTGCTCACACGCTGTTCAATTGGAGGTGGACTGCAATGAGTTTCAGGTCCCAAAACAGCTTCACTCCCTAAAAAACAATTAATAAATAAATTTCAACATTTAAAACAATGATTAAATGCAGATAGAGAGTGAGAGAGAAACTAAATGATTAATTTTCTAAATAAAATGTTACATATATATTTTGTGATTAATTTATTTTCTTGGCTATAAAAAGAGTGCAACGAAGTGAGAGTGCGAGACGTGTCAATGACATGAGAAAACAAGCGTTAATTAGTACTTTGATGATTTTAAAAGTAAAATTTTTTAATGAAAATGCAATTATTTTTTGGTTTGAATTACATTTTCCGAAAATGTATACGTACACATTTGCCAACGGGCGACACTGCCGCCTGCAACATTTATAATTCATTTAAGATTTGTCCATAAAAATAGAAAGAAAATAAATGGAAAATTGTTTTCTATTTCTTAAATTTCTAAAAGTTGCTTTCATGTCTCGTAACAACCTATCGAAAAAGGCAACAAAAAAAGGGAAATAATAATAAATTAATTATGTAATGAAATAAGAATGAAATTATTACATGATCAAAGCAATATCATAAGCAACATGTGCGAAAATAATAATAGAAAATTTGCAATCAAAATTTATCTCTAAGAAAAGGCAACGAACACATAAAGTAAAATCTAAAAATGTAAAAATCTAATTATTTAAACGTATTTCCTAAAATAAATTTCTATCGGTAGTAAAAGAAATAGGAGAAATAAAATTCAATCGATTTAAGAAATTAAAAAATCAAAAATAAAATTACTTTTCACTGTTAACAATTTTAACAGAATTAGTTGGAATTAGTAAAAGACTATTTTTTAATATATTTTCATGTCGAAAAGAACGTCTCCAAAAAGTTGATACAAAAAAATGTGTAAAAGATAAAATATGTACAAATAGTCGGGAAGAAAAAAAATACTAATTAAGGAAGAAAATTATTACCAAAACTTTTACGATCAAAGACGAATTATTATTACGAATAAATTAATAAGGAAGAATATTATTAAAAAACTTTTACGATCAAAGACGAATAACAAAAGAATTTATAATTGAAAACATATTTTCATTACCTAATTTATTTTAATTACTAAATTTAATTAAATTTACTTTAGTCATTAAGAATAAATAAATATTACTATGAATAAATAAATATGACTATTAAATAAACAAACATTATCATTAATTAATTAAATAAATATTACTATTAAATTAAACAAATAATAATAATTCTAAAAAGAATATCAATCGCAAAAAACTAATTTAAAAATGTTATTATAAAAAATTTAATTAAATAAATTACAATTAGAAAAGATATTTAAATGAAGAATTGCAATTAAGATATGTAAATAGCGACATGCACAAATATTTATATTCTCAGATAGATAATTTAATGAGATTCAAACCTTCATTAAGTCCCATAAAACCATCTTTTGATTGAACGCACATATTTCTGTGCACGCAACACAATCTTCCATCATCAGTGAATCTCCATGTCTGAGTTGATTTTCTTCTCGGATCTGGTCTTCGCAAAGCAAGAGCGCAATATGTAAATGGCTGCGGAGCCGTTCCAGCAATGTCCAAAACCAAAACAGTGTCCGGTGCTTTTGTCAATTTATCTCGTGGCGGACTGGAACCTAAAAACGAAAGAAAAAAAATGCAATAATTATTAAATTATTATTTTACTAATAAAATATTAATCACAAAACGCTGTATTTAATTTTTTTATTATTATGCAAATTTCAAACTTTGTATTTTCAAATATCAACCTTGAATTTTGATTATATTTAGACTCAAAATTTTTTTAAATTAATTTATTAACTAAATAATTATTTTCTAAAATATTAATAAAATTCTTTAAAACAATTCAATTATTTTCAAAAAATTTTAATAAAATTCTTGTCAAAAATTCAATTATCTTCGTAAGTAATGAAATTCTTTGGAAGTATTCAATTATTTTCATAAATATTAAAATTATTCGAGGGAATTAAATTATTTTTAAAGACTTTAATAAAATTCGTCATACGAATTCAATTATCTTCGTAAGTAATGTAATTCTTTGCAAGAATTCAATTATTTTCATAAATATTAAAATTATTCGCAGGACTTTTATCCTTCACAAGAATTCAATTATTTTCGTCAGTAATAAAATTATTTGCAAAAATTCAACTATTTTAATAAATAATAAAATTTTTCGGAAAAATTCAATTATTTTCATAAACATAATGAAATTCTTCACACCAATTCAACTATTCTCAAAAATTTTGATAATAATTCTCTGCAAGAAATAAATGATTTTGATAAATAATAAAATTCTTTGCAAGAATTAAATCATTTTCAAAAATTTTGATACAATTCTTTGTAAGAACTCAATATATTTTAATTAAATTCCTCGAAAGAATTTAAATTTTCTACGAAACCATTAAAATTCCTTTCAAAAGTATTAAAAAAAATTCTTCGCATGAGTTCAATTATTTTAAACACAATTTCAATAAAATTTCTTGATGGAATTAAATTATTTAAAAAAATTGTAATAAAACTCCTAGAAAGAATCCAATTACTTTTAAAAATTCTGATAAAATTCTTTAAGAAAATTCAATTATTTTCAGTACAATTTGAATTAAATTCCTCGAAAGAATTTAAATTTTCTTCAAAACAATTGAATTTGTATATTTACAAATTTAATTTTTTTGTTTATTGTTTTCACAAATATAATAAAGTGCCTCGCCGGAAAGAATTTAGTTATTTTCAAAAAAAATTTAATGAAATTCTTCAAAACAATTCAATTATTTTCGAAAAACTTAATAAAATTGTTTGCAAAAATTGAATTATTTCAGATTCGAAATTATAAAAGTTAGAAAAATTATAGCTTCTTTTTAACATAAATGTCATAATTTAAAATAAAAAAAAAATATTTTTTTCAGATTAAGAAATTTAAAATTTGGAAAATTAAAAATTAAAAACATCACCAATTACAAAATTCAATTTTAATTTCTGCTTTACCTTCGTGTTGTAATTGTCCACTTCCAGTCATTCTCCAAAGTTGTGATCTTGCTCCATATTGTTTTCTCCGCAAAGCGACCCAGCCTCCGGGTCCAGCTTCTAAGACTAATCTCTGAGTTTCCACGTCCAGTGGATCTAAACTACTCTCACTTGTTCCTAAATCTCCATCCTCTTTGAAAGTACCTATTAAATTTCAATTTTAATTGATTCAATTAATTTGTTACTGTAAATATTTATTAATTTAGAAATATTTATTTATTTTACTGCAAATATTTAATTTATAAATATTTATTTATTTTACTGCAAATATTTAATTTATAAATATTTATTTATTTTACTGCAAATATTTAATTTATAAATATTTATTTATTTTACTGCAAATATTTAATTTATAAATATTTATTTATTTTACTGCAAATATTTACTGTAAATTCGTTACTATAATAATAAAAAATTTCTTTTTATTTGTTTCTGTATTATCAAACACATTTTTTAAAATTTGAATTTCCTTACCAGTGAAGGCAATATAGATAAAGTTTTCATAGGTCAATCCTCTACATTCGCCGAGAAGATTTAAATCATATGATGCTGAGACACCACCGGGTGCAGTGACTGTTAATTCCGCAGGAAGAGTCGGCTCATCGAGTGCATAAGGAACGGATGAATGAGGTCTCACTGACCATTGAATATTATCAGGTACAGAATTCTGGAAATACCAATTTTTTCTTGAAATAAATTCCACAAAGAAGAAAAAGTAGAAAAAGACAATGAAAATATAGAAAAAATTAAAAGAAAGAAAGAATTAGAAAAGAAAGAAAAACAAGAAAAATAAAAAGAAAAAAAGAAAAAGAAAAAAAGAAGAAATAAAAAGAGAAAAAAAAGAAGAAAAAAGTAAAAAATAGAAAAAGGAAGAAATAAAAAAAAGAAAGAAAAAAGAAATACTTTTTGCAAACTTTGATAAATTACCTGATTGACTGAAAGCGGAACTTCCGAGAAATTATCAACTCTAATCGGCGGTGGCATTGTGTGAGCATCAGTGAAAACAATAAAATAAGTACTCTCCTGTAGAACGACGTCAACTCTCAAAAAATGCATTTTTCCAGCCGCATCTCTCACATTAATCGTAAGCGAATGATTCCCCTGGAGAACAATTCCTCCGGACCACATGCACTGCGGCACATCGATAATCTTCACACACAACAACTGATCCTTATCCAATCTCGGCCAATGAAAAGTCATATGACAATCCGGTATCGCCGTCATATAAGTCGCCTGAGCATCCGGATGACTGACAGTCGTCGTAAAACTCTTCTGCGCCAATTCCAAAGTACAAGACGATCGATTATGCAGTTGATATCTCGGCGAAATCGTGACAATATTAGTCGCACTGTACCTTCCCCTGGCCGCTCTCGTCGACACTCCAATCAAATAAACAATATCCGGTCTTCCATCTCTCAAAGTCACTCTCAATCGATGAACCTGAACTCCAATCTGCAAATGAAAATGCTGCGACCACTGGGGAATTCCATTCGGATTCTTTCCCGTTCCCACACGAACCGTCATCGTTCTACTCGCCTCCTCATCACTAAACGAAAACAACAACGGCGTCAACATTCTCGCCTTCTCATGCTCCTCAAACTGTCCCGCAAATTCAACCCCAACTCCCTCTTGTCGAAAAATCAACGGCAATCCCGTCTTATTGATAATCCAATAAGGCGCCGTGATATTAATCCTCACAGCCGATCCTCTCTCCACAATCACTGCTGCCTGCAGGAACAATATCCTCCCCACCGAATCCGACAATCTAATCCTCCCCATAAACGAATTCGTATTCTGCGCCAACAGCAAATAACCAGCTCCCGGATATCCATCCAATTGTATCTTAATCTCCAACTGCTCCTCCAAATTCGCCGAATGCAAATCCGCCGTCCCGCCCGGTTGCATTTTTCCACTCTCAATCCCAACACTATAAAATAATTCATGAGGTAGCAAATTCACAATCGTTATCGGTGCCAATATCATCAGTCTATGTCCCGGAATCGTCTGATTCACATCCGCTGGGTAATTATCCCTCTTAATCGCCACACACATTCGAAACAATTCGTCCTTGTTGCTTTTACAAATAGCCGGAATTTCCACAATCTCCAATGGTTTTTTCGCCATCGTCCAATCAATCGCCTGCGTGCAATATTGAAAAGTCGACAAAACTGGTTTAAAACTCATCAGAACACCGGTGAAGGGGATCGGAATCGAAATTTGCGACTCGGCCGGAACTTGAAGAACTTTACCACTCATCGACGTGTAGGATCCAAAATGATTAAGCGTATTTTCTAATTTAATGTCTAGTGTGTGCGATAATTTATTGATAATCTGTACTGCGGAGCGTACCGTCACCAATTTTCTCGCCGATCCTTCGAGTTCCACATTGAAAATTAATCTCGTCTTCTTATTTACCTTCGATCCGTGGGCGTACCGAAAGTAAACTCCGACCCTATCGACCGAAACTGGATCGGTTACTTTCCATCCTTCCAAGAGAATTGCAATCTGATGTCTTCTCGCAATATGCGTTGAGTCGTGTCGTAATTTTCCGCGGCCCTCAAAAGTGAAGGAAATCGTCTCCCCCGTGTTTACCTGCAACCAAGTTTCGTCCAACTCCAAAGAGGTTTTCTTTTGCTCCGAATCGTTCGCCGTGGCAATTAGAGTCTTGAACCATAATTTAGATCCGGTCTCGTTTTTTAGAGCGAAGGGGACAAAAGGCGATCGACGACGATAATTTTCCATCGAGGATCCTGCTTTCGAATTATTCGTTACGTAATAGTCCTGAATCCAGTTGTTCTTCACCAGGGTGACAAGTTCCACCAGAGTTGAAGTGACGTTCACATTCACCGAGTCTTGCGAATCGACACGAATTTCCAATCGCTTTGTGTTTAAAGTACTCGATAGTGTTTGCTCCCACTGGACCGTAGCTTTCCAACTCTCGACAAAAGGCTCCCAACCACTGAGAACTCGATTGTAGTATCCAAGCGCGAAGCTTGCGGAAACAACCCCGGGGCCAGAGTAACTCTGCCTCATGGATAAATCCAAAAGCGACAACTCTAGTAAAGGAACATCAGCGTCTCTGCAATCGTCAATGATACATATTTTTAGACACGAAGTCTCGAGTTCGATTACCTTGAAAAAATCCCCTTTCGCTCCGGTGCTCGCATTCGGCACCGCATTCTGCGTCAACCACAAGGCGGCGTCGTCCAATTTTCCATCGCATTTATCCAAAGCGGTCTCGCAGTCGATTTCCGCGAAGCCAAGAGCTGACAATTTCGTCACCTGACCCTCCACTTTCCCCTCACTCGATCTCTGCTTCGCTAGCAAAGTCTGCTTCGGCAGGGAGCTCAACATCCTCGCGAACATATTAATGTCGTGATAACTTAGTCTGACACTCAACGGTTGGAGCTGAATTTCCAACGACATCTCCTCCGTGACTTCCAGACTCGCTCCAACCGGATCGATAATCGACAAAGCTGTCTCCTCCTCAAGACCTAGAATACAAGAAAATAGTTCGCAATGCGAAAGATTACAGGAGAGTAACTTTTCTCCCTCTTGCGGAATCGATCGATAAGTCACAACTGCCGTGCACTTTAGAATCACTGCATTCGTATCCCACATGGATGTGTCCTCAACGATCACCAACTCCGAATCGGTGATATTTAGCTTTAGATCGAAAGGTTCCCTCATGCTACTCTCGTCACTCTGCACCAGAATCGGTTGAAAGGTATGAATAATAGGTTCCGGTTCCGGAGCATTAAGGACTAGAAAATCCTTCACAGCCTCCCACCAATCGAGTATCGCGGTCAATCGCATACTATGCAGTAAAATCGTAGTCGCTATGGCATTATTCCGTTTACGATGATGAACCTCCGCTTGTACACGATCTTCATTATTGATCGCGGTCGCATTTCGCAAAGGTTGCAAAATTCCCGTAAATACATTCGAACGTTGATTTACCGGCTCCTCGTGAAATCGGGTATCAGTGACTAGAATTTCCTGCGAGACGAGATCAATATCCTGCGAGCCATCGCTGAGCGAATCGAGAGTGAGTTTCGATTTTATAAAATTGACACAAGCCAGTGCAGCAATACCGTGATGGGGATGTAGCTTTAAAGTAACGTTCAGCAATTCTAGACTAATATAAGACTTGGTCCATACTTTCCCAGGAGAGACGGTGTCATTGCAAGGATTACTCGACTCTAGATCTTGCATAAAGAGTCTAAGATCGTCGAGGTTCTCTCCGATATTATAGGAAAGCAGACCTCGAATCAACATGTACTGGGCCGGATCGAGAGCGCAGTCCATCGTAGACAGAGTCCCATGAATACTTAGGTCGGGAATTTCCCGACTTATATAAGTGTCTAAATTTCGCTCCACTCGTAATTTTAGATGACATTTTTCGGTTAGCAGAGAAGGTCCTGATTTTTGGATAAAAACCCCCCCGACCGAGAGGGTATCGTCCCCCTCGACGCTTATCTTCTTCGCTGCGTACACGTCCATATTAACCAAATCCAAAAACATAACGTCGATCAAACATTCTTCGATGACCTCGGAAAATGTGAAAGAATTATGCGCTGTCAACTCACCAAGATCGAGAAGAATCATCTCATTGGATCTCGAACTAACAGGAATGAAAATAACCGGAGCTCCGGCGTGCAACTCGAGCGACAAGCGCATACTCCGTTCGTTCAGATCAATAGTTCCACTACCCCCAGCACGGAGATTCGCCATAATTGTCCTCAACTGCGAGAAATGGGAGAAGAAAGCTTGTAGTTCGGCGACGAATCTCTGGGTATGAAAATAGTGAACGGCGGACATTTGGATCTTCAAGTGAGCGTCGTGAGGACGTTTCTCCGAATTCACGTAACTTGAGTATTGGAAATTTAGGGCTTTCCGTCCGGAGGAGAGAAATCTTTCTCGATAAAATCGTCCGTGGGGAGTGAGATCCAAAAGAGACATGGAGCCTAGAGATCCAGATATTTTGGTGATTCCGGATGTCTTGAGAATGTGCATGGTCGCATTTGAGACGTTGGCCTTTGCGATCTCTCGTTCGGATTGCGTGAGAACGAGAGTCAGGGATCTGATTTCAATTTCCGTGTCGGAGTGAATTGGCTCGCCGGATTCTGTCGATTTTGGCTGTGTGGCTTTGTCCAGACTTGTGTTCGGTGTGCCGATTCCTAGAAAGTCGAGAACCACCATCCAGGATTCGACACTGACGACTAGATCGAGACAGTTGAAATTAATACTCATGAGCTTTTGTTGACTCTTCTGTTTGCCGATGTGTGTGTCCGGTTGAGTGACAGTTATGCTGATTAGTACCTGTTGGAAAGATAAATTTCCAAAATTAGAAAATCGGTCAAAATAATTGAAATGCTAATTAGTACCTGTTATAAAGATCAATTTCCAAAAGAACATTGGGTACGAAAGTACGCGAAAGAAAAAATATAATCAGGGTTGCCACAAATATTTAATTCTTTCCTCTGATTTCTAGAAAAAATTTTGACTTTTTCCCTGGCCTTAAAGAATTTTTTGAGTATCTAATAAATCTAAATAATAATAATAATAATCTAATTTTAGACTGAACTCTAAAAATGATTAGATACTGAAAAAAATATTCAATTACATTTATTTACGAATTTCGTTAATTTTAAAATTATACGAAAACATCAATAAATTCTTTTTTAAATAAATATTTAATCATTATTATTTTTCAATAGGAATTAAAATTCTTCAAAAGATTCAAATTGAAACCTTTTTGAAATTCAACAACCTTTAAGAATATAAAACATGAAGAAATTGATCACTCCGAGTCTTCGACTCGGAGCAATCGATTTCTTCATATTTTATAATAATTAAAGATTACACGAATGATAAAATCATTATTTTACATTCTAAGAATTATTATTACTGTAACTTCTTCAAAATTATTTTCATCCTTTCGATAAAATTATTATTTTCTAAAATTTTTAACTAAAATGCTTCTTTAAATCAATTATAAGAAATAATTTTTGAAAATTTTAAAAATTCACGCGATAATACTTTGAAAATTCAATTATTATTAAAAATTTTAACTGAAATTCATGTTTAAATCAATTTTTGTTAGAAAATTCTACGAGAATTTAATTATTTAAATAGAAAAATAAATAATTTATATTTGAGTGATTGAATGTTTCTCAAAATTTTATTATAAAGAATTACATAAATAAATGTTTAAATAATTGGATTCTTTAGACAATATTTAATAAAATTTTTAGGAATACATAAATTTCTGAAAAGAATTTTATTCTTTATGAAAATAATTAAAATCTGTATAAAAAATGTTATTATTATTTATGAAAAGAATGGAATTATTGCAATGGAATTTATTAAAAAAATGGTAAATAATAGAATTCCTGTGGAATTTGTATTATTAGTCAATGTTTGCGTAAAATTTTGGTTAAATAATTGAATTTTTTAAAAGTTTTTGAAAATAATTGAAATTTTGTAAAGAATTTTATTAAAATTTTTGAAAATAATTGAATTTTGTAGAAGAATATTATTATTCATAAGGATAATTGTAATTTTGAAGAGAATTTTTATAAAATTTTAAACATTATTGAATTTTTGCGAAGAATTTTATTGCTTTTAAAAATAATTGAATTACTGTGAAAAATTCTAATATTTTCGTAAATAATTGATTTTTTCGATTAATTAATTTAAAATAGTATTAAAAATAATTGAAATTATTCGATGAGTTTTATTATTTATTAAAAGAATGGAATTTTTGCAATGAAATTTATAAAAAAAATTTTAATTAATAGAATTCCTGCAGAATTTTTATTATTAGTCAAAATAATTAAATATTTGCGTAAAATTTTATTAAAATTTTTGTTAAATAATTGAATTTTTTTGGAAACTTTTTGAAAATAATTGAAATTTTGTCAAGAATTCTATTAGAATTTTTGAAAATAATTGAATTTCTGCAATTATTATTTATGAAAATAATTAAATTTCTGAAAAGAATTTCATTATTTATGAGAATAATTGAAATCTTTAAAAAATGTTATAATTTCTTCAATAATTTGTTACTTTTCCAGAATTTAATTATTTTTTAGTGTTTTTAACTAAAATTCTTGTATAAATCCATTATTTTTAATAACTAATTTAAAGTATATATTTAAAAATGTAACTAATTTCACAAAAATTTGAATTATTAAAATTTTTTATAAATCTTTAGTTCTTTAAAGTTTTGAATTAAATTCATTTAAAAGTAAATTTTTCTAAAATTCCAATTTATAACTTTTTTTTAAGTCCTTTAGGAATTTATTAAAATTGTAAACGCAACTCTTTTGAAATTTAATTAATTTTGAAAAATTTTATGTAAAATTATTCATTAAATAATTTCTTAGTAATAATGTTATGATAGTTCTGTAAGAATTAAGTTATTTAAAAAGAAATTCTTGTCAGAAATAGAAAAAATTGAAGGTTTTGTATTAGAATTCTTGGCAATTTCACAGTTTATGAGGAAAACAAAAAAGATTCAAAAATTCAGAATTTTATTATAAATTCTAAAAATTTAATTCTTTCCAGTACTTTTAATAAAAATCCCTGACTTTTCCCTGACCAATTCTAATTTCCCTAATTTTTTCCTGAATTCCCTGACCAATTCTACATTCCCTGTTTTTTTCCCTGAATTCCCTGAGCAATTCTACCTTCTCTGACTTTTCCCTAAATTCCCTGAACCGTAGCAACCCTGAAAATAGATCGAAAGTTTTTTCATTAATAGAAAATAGAAAATTTATGATTTTAAAATGTAATATTACATATTCTAATAAACTATTTGTTCTAAAAAAAATACTTTTTTAACATACCAGATTCTCCTCGCTTGTTGCTCCTGGTGAAGGTGGCGGAGTGTCCGGCGTATCCTCTCCAGAAATCGGTTGCCTCCGCCAATGTGCAGGCACTGCGTAGAGAGTGTCAGCTTCCAACCGATCAGGCAAACTACCTCGATTACTTTCCTGCTTCCATCGTTGAACGTAGGCCAAATCCGGACACGATTTCGAGACCCCGACTGGTAACCTCGCTCGCGTTGGTACTGACGATTGCATCATGTACCGATGTCTCGATCCCACGGGGCAGAGAAGATCTTCCATCAGCAGTGATCTTAGTGACACTTGCGTGGTTGATTCATTTTTGTGTAATTTTTCAAACTTTGCGACGAAATCACGCATTGATAGATCGACCAGTGGTTGCTCCAGACGATCCTGTTTCAGCTCAATACTAAGAACGGGCAGTTCGAACAAAACCTTCAGAGAGAGATCAAATTTTTCGGAGTAGTACGACACTTTTGATGTTTGCGGTTTCTGGACCACGGGTTCCATGTCCGATATCGAGAAGAGACGATGAATTGTGTCCAAGAGTTGTTCGTACTGAAAGCGAGTTAGCGAGACTTTCAAGGGCGTGATCACAGTTCCATGAACCTGAACAATTGGATTCAGTGAATCGGTGTCTAGAATAAAACCCGGACTTTGGATTTCGTTCGCCACTCGCTCCTTTTCAACGACGACTCTTAGTAAAGTGTCGTGTAAAATTGGTTTTCCGGATTCTTTACAACTGTACATTTCCTCGGCTCTAATGGGAAGATTCCCGTGCACTTGACTCAATTTCGACGAGACGTCGAGGGAATACAGATTCATGTCCCTCACTTCCAAACTGAGTTTGTTTTTCGTTCCCTGTAGAGGCTCGTGCTGTAGGGACATTGTTCCCAGATGCGCAACAAACACCTGAGGACTTTGCGACGCCCTAGGAATCACCAGGACCGGACTGTCCAGAACAACATCGAGTTTCAGTGACAAACTCGTCGAAGTGTCGTCCATCGAGAAACTCGGCAAACGCTTTCGTTGTGGAATCGTCCAGTCTTCGGCTTGCACCAAACCGATCGCCATGTCAGTCGCCGCTGCTCCAATCTGTCGAGCTAAATTACTCAAATATTGTTTAAACTCATCAGCACATGATCGTATTTCAGAAATTAAGTGCGGCGCATGTGTGTACCAAACACTACCCACTCGAATCGTTATATCGGCTATTGTTTCAATCCCATCCGAATCTGGCAATTGTCTAAAACTCCGATTAGCCGAGAAACGAAAAGCCTCCACCGGTTGATTCGAAAGACTCGAAAAATGCTCCAAAGGATGATGCGGAGGATCCGCGAGTGGATCCCTCCCAACGCTGATAATTCGCTGATGAGTCTTGCCGATTAGAGTCTGATCCAACACCTGCAGACCTCCAAGTGATCCCGATATGGAATAATTCGAAGTGAATGTTGCCTGAATCCTAGCGTCGGACATTGTCGCCGTTGCGATTTTTTGCCCGACTAGTTGACTCTCCTGCATCACTGCTCGAAGTAACAGTACATTCAACCTATGGAAATCGAAAGTGATTTCCGTTCTCGTCGACGCCTTTAACTCGGAAGTCAAACTCGAGAGTGATTCATACCTCTGCATATTCTTCGAACGCGTCTTCTTCGCCGGGAATAATCTCCTCGCGAATCCCATTAGTTCCACAATCGTCTCCTGATTCGCTATTATATCCAAATTATTAAACTGTATATTCGCCATTCTTAGCGACTCGATAGGATCATCGACCAGTGTCAATTCGATCACGATCAAAGCTTCCGAATCCAATTGATCTAAACCTATCGACGATGTTTTCTTCGGTGAAAAAGGACTCTTCGAATCGTGAGCAAGACTAGAGAGAGCGTGCGTCAAAGCAATCGGCGATGTCAAACGTCTTGGCAGTCCTGGTTCTGGAGAACCTGGCGAGACAGGCGAAACTGGCGACGTTGGCTCCGAATCTCTCAAACTTCCCGAAATACTATCCATTCCAACGTGTTTGTGACTAGCCACCAATAGTTCGAAATCAGGTCCGAATTCCTGCAAAGCATCCACTAGAAGCAAACCATGCACCGATAGCGAAGCACTCAAATCCGCTGGTCTTTTACAAAGAGCCGCTCTTACCCCCGAAACTTGTAGTTCCGCAACACTTCGACCTCGAGATTGCAACTCAAAAGTCATCTGATCGATTATAAATTGCAACATCATGACGTGATTCAAAGTCCTATCGACTATATCCTCCTTCTGTGGACTCTCCGGCTCGGTGTCGATGGTAACTTTCGGTTGTCCGGCCGAAGTCGACAAACTCGACAAAAGATGATACATGGATCGAATCACTTCGACTTTTTGCTCATTCACATGCACCACTAAACGTGGCAAATTTCCCGAAATTGTAATCGAGGGAAATTGCGGATCCATCGTAGTAATGACTCTCCTCTCAATCTGCAGGGAAATGTTAAATCTCTCAAGAACGTGAAGACTGGACATTCCTCTCGTTCTCGCGTGCTTCCAATTATCTTTCACCTTCCCGATCAACACCTGCAGATCCGACAAATCGACAATATAATGATCGTACAATTTTTTATGCAAAGCAGCTTCGGACAAAGCTTGAAAATCCTGCACCGAACCATTTTCCTGACTTCCCGGCGGTGTTGAACAAGGAGTTTCGAACCTTTCCTCGTCATCCGATTCCAGTGAACCTGGTTTTAAGACAACTTCTCCCGTCGTGCCATTCGTTAACCTCAATCTTCCAAAATCAACAACAATCACTGCTGCGTTCGAATCCGTAAATTTCTCCACAAGTAAAATTTGCGGAGCGGAAATATTCAGTTGCAAATCCCACGAGGATCGATAATCAAAATCACCTTCTAGAATCTGTTCCCAATTTTTAATCAACTGTCTTCTTGTCTTTCGCTTCATGGCCTGTAACTTCTGATTCGAGGAATAGCGATGCGGCTTGCAGATAAAATCAATCAACCAGAGAATCGCCACTGGATTGTAGACAACATCCAAAGATCTCGAATTCACTTGCAAAGAATGGTCAACACTCAGGTGTAACGGTCTCTTTTCGTACGTCAATTCGAACAAGGATTGTGACACCTGAGTCACCAACTTCTCCGAAGAACTCCGTAAACGTGAACTTGATACACTGACAATCTGCGGTTGAATTAAAATCGGAAACGTCGTGTCCTCCGTCAAGTAGTCGTGTAAAAATAAAGCACCTAAACTTATGTAGAATTTGTGTGAACTAGATCTTGGTCTCGACTCGTAAGTTAAATTTACCCTCTCAAATTGTAATTCCATTACTGTTTTCACTGATTCGTTGAAATTCTTTGATGTGCACAAAGAAATTGCCCCCTTCGATAGAGCGAAATTAAATTGTCCAAATACTGTGTCGCGTCGCAATAGGGTATCATCGTCTATTGTATCGGAGAGAGCGTCCAAAAGTTCGCCGTCAAATGACGAAGAAGTCGACGGTGTGCTGTTGGGAGTTTTCGTATACCAACCCAACCAATCGGGAAACCATTGGAATAACATTCCTCGCGCTTGCTGAGGTGTTGAAACATTGGAGTCAGATTGAATTTTCGGTGGTCGAACTTTTTCCATCGCCAATTCACGTAGTGTACGAAGTTCATCGTAACTGAGATCCTGCTCCATTTCATCTTTTAATTTCTTTATTTCCGGCGAAAGAATTGCAGTAGGAGCTCCTAAAATTAAATTAAAAAATAATTAATAATATACTTCGCACTGGATAATTAATTTTCAAAAAATAGCTTTCAAACTAAAAAAAAGTGGTAAAAAAGTAGCTATCGAAAAATTAAACTTGACGACAAAAAAACAGGTTTTAAACACTTTAGAAAACTGACAAAATTTCTCTATTCTATATTTTATGTTTACGATTTTTCCTAATTTTCATAAAAAATATATACTTCTTTCTTATCCTGCTAATAAATTTAATTCCTGTAACGAATTTTATTATTCATGAAAGAATTTAAATATATATTTATAAAAATAATTTAATTCTTGCGAATAATTATAAAAAATATTTTAAGTACTTGATTTCTTTCAACAAATTTTATGAAAATTCTAATTTAAATAATTGATTTCCTGAGAAATTTTTATTATTCATAAAAAGAATTGAATTCTTACGAAGATTTCTACAAAAAAATTTTTTAGAAATTAATGTTTAATAATGTTTAGAAATTTAATGAAAATAGTAGATATTGAAAATCATTGAAATGCGAAAAGTTTTTTAATATAATTAAATTTTACAAAGAATTCTATTAAAATTTTTGACAATAATTGAATGTATGTGTGTCATTCTAATAATTTTTTTTTTTTAAATAATTGAATTTCTAAAAAGCATTTTATTATTTATTAAAATAATTGAATTCTTGGAAACGATTTTATTAGAATTTTTTAAAATAATTGAATTTGCAAGAAGAAATTTATTGCTTTTAAAAATAATTTAATTCTTGTGATAAATATTGTTTGTGAAAATAATTGAATTTTGCAAAGTATTTTATTAAAATGCCTCAAAATAATTGAATTTTCGGGAATAATTTTGTTATTGTTCTGCATAATTGAATTCTTTCGAAGAATTATTAATGTAAATAATTGAATTCTTGGGAAGAATTTTATTAAAATCTGTAAATAATTGAATTCCTGCGGAATTTTTATTATTTTTTAAAATAATTAAATGTTTGCGTAGAATTTTAATAAAATTTTTATTAAATAATTGAATTCTTTTGGAAAATTTTATTAAAATAATAGATATTGAAAACCATTGAATTCAGAAAAATTTTTGAAGATAATTGAACTTTTGCTAAGAATTTTATTAAAATTTATGAAAATACTTTCGTCGAGCAATTCCTGCAAAATTGTATTAAAAATAATTTAAATTTTACGATGAATTTTATTATTCATGAAAATAATTGAATAGTTGTTAAGAATTTTATTAAATTAAAAAAAAAATAATTTAATTGCTGAGAAGAATATTATTATTTATGAAAATAATTGACTATTTTAGATTTTTTACCAAAGGGTGGAGACTATTAAATAAGTAAAGTATTTTTGAAGAGCACAAAAATAATGAAGCTAAATGCCATAAAAGAGAAGGAAAAACGTTGAATTTTAAGAAATTCGGTTTTTTGAATTTTTGCTAATTTTCCATATTTTTAGATTTTTTACCAAAGGGTGGAGACTATTAAATAAGTAAAGTATTGTTGAAGAGCACAAAAATAATGAAGCTAAATGCCATAAAAAGGAAGGAAAAATGTTGAATTTTAAGAAATTCGGTTTTTTGAGTTTTTGCTAATTTTCCATTATTTTAAATTTTTTATCAAAGGGTGGAGACTATTAAATAAGTAAATTATTTTTGAAGAGCACAAAAATATTGAAGCTAAATGCCATAAAAGAGAAGAAAAAATGTTGAATTTTAAGAAATTCAGTTTTTTGAATTTTTGCTAATTTTCCATAATTTTAGATTTTTTACCAAAGGGTGGAGACTATTAAATAAGTAAAGTATTGTTGAAGAGCACAAAAATAATGAAGCTAAATGCCATAAAAAGGAAGGAAAAACGTTGAATTTTAAGAAATTCGGTTTTTTGAGTTTTTGCTAATTTTCCATTATTTTAGATTTTTTACCAAAGGGTGGAGACTATTAAATAAGGAAAGTATTGTTAAAGAGCACAAAAATAATGAAGCTAAACGCCATAAAAAGGAAGGAAAAATGTTGAATTTTAAGAAATTCAGTTTTTTGAATTTTTGATAATTTTTAATAATTTTTTATTTTTTACCAAAGAGTAGAGACAATTTAATAAGTAAAGTATTTTCCAAAAGCACAAAAATAATGAAGCTAAATGCCATAAAAGAGAAGGAAAAACGTTGAATTTTAAGAAATTCGGTTTTTTGAATTTTTGCTAATTTTCCATATTTTTAGATTTTTTACCAAAGGGTGGAGACTATTAAATAAGTAAAGTATTGTTGAAGAGCACAAAAATAATGAAATGCCATAAAAAGGAAGGAAAAATGTTGAATTTTAAGAAATTCAGTTTTTTGAATTTTTGATAATTTTTAATAATTTTTTATTTTTTACCAAAGAGTAGAGACAATTTAATAAGTAAAGTATTTTCCAAAAGCACAAAAATAATGAAGCTAAATGCCATAAAAGAGAAGGAAAAATGTTGAATTTTAAGAAATTCAGTTTTTTGAATTTTTGATAATTTTTAATAATTTTTTATTTTTTACCAAAGGGTGGAGACTATTAAATAAGTAAAGTATTGTTGAAGAGCACAAAAATAATGAAGCTAAATGCCATAAAAAGGAAGGAAAAATGTTGAATTTTAAGAAATTCGGTTTTTGGAATTTTTGATAATTTTTTATTTTTTGCTAAAGGGAGGAGACTATTCAAATAGTAATATTATACTACCTAAATAGCTAATGGTAACTAATTATTAATTTTCCGGTCAAATTAAGTACCCGGCTATTTTCTGATTTTCCAGATTGGTAGAAACATTCTTAAATGTATTGGTAGAAACTAAAACCCGTCGAAGACGGGTACGACAGCTAGTTTGAAATATAATTGAATCCTCGTGGAAAACTTTATTTGTGAAAATAATTGGATTTTTCGATTAATTAATTTAAAATAGTATCAAAAATAATTGAAATTCTTCGATGATTTTTATTAATTTTAGAAATAATTGAATTCTTGCTTCGAATTTTATCAAACATTTTTTTAAATAATTGAATTTCTATTAAAATTGTTATTATTAGTAAAAGTAATTGAATTATTGTGAAGAATTGCATACAAATTTTCTTAAATAATACATTTTTTCGAAATTTTTTTGAAAATGCTATTCTCAATTAATTGAATTCCTGTGGCAATTTTATTATTTATGAAAATAATTGAATTTTGGATGAATTTTATCAATTTTTTTTTTAAATAATTGAATTCTTTTGCGAAATTTTATGAAAATAACTAGATATTGAAAATAATTGAATTTCGAATACTTTTTGAAAATAATTGTATCGTTTTAAAGAATTTGATTATAATTTTTGAGAATAGTCTTTTGATTTCTATTATTAGCGAATTTAAAGTAGTGGAAATTCTCAAAAAAAGAAAAATTCCTTACCTAATAATTTTGCGCAAGCCTCGACATAAGTGACATTTCTTTTCCCCCTTTCAATAATATCGTTCCAGGACATTTTTGGTTTTAAACTATCAGGACCAATGTAGCAACGCGCCATGTATTTCCACCAATCTTTCGGCGAATCAAAAACAGAAACTGTTGGTCTACATCTCCACTGTCGTCTTCGTCGATCGATGTCCTCGAGGCCTTTGATACATTTAACCATTTGTTCATATTGTTCCTGAAATAAAGAAATATTCTTCATTGATCAGCAATCATTTTTAACTTGATAATATAGAAACTTACATCAGTCAGTGCCAATGGAACTTGATCTAATAAAAGATCTAAAACTATTCTTGGCTTATTTGCCGATCGAAGTGGTCTTTCCGATCTGTCTCTTTTTATATGAGCCTTCGCACTCACAGGTGACAGGATATATCTGTGATTTGCTTTTTTTAGTTCGTTCATGGCAATCTAAATAAAAAAAATCGAGAATTTAATATTATAATTAGTGCACTTCGAGTAATTTCATTGAGTTTCACTCAATTATTCTCTTTGAGTGAATCTTTCTTTTACTCAATTTCTTTCTTTTCTTTTCTTTTGATTGAGTGAATTTAATACAATTTATTGAGTAAATTTATTTTAATTGATTGAGTAAATTAAATTCAACATACTGCTAAATCTCCGAGGTTTAAATTTTCAAATAAGTCCTCCTTTTTCAAGTGATTCCAGTAGACTGATAGTCCATCGAGTTCCATGAGCTTGAAGGAAGCATCGGAAAGATTCCACGACGTGGAACCTGGAATCCAACTGGCATCGCAACTTTGAGCTGTTATTGCCTCAATTATCACACCGAAAGCAATACCTGTACCTGGAATAAATTGAAAATAATATTTATTACGAAAAAGAAGAATATTAAGCATTCAATAAAAATACATTTAGCATAATTAAACAAAAAACTAAATAAAAATATAAATTTTAATAAAGTTTTTTTTTATAAAATCTTACCATCTGAAAGTGCTTTGGTATCTTCGTACCTCAAATGAACGTTCTTAATATTTAACTGTAAATTTTCAATAATATTAGTCACCAAAGAAGTTCCATAATTTAACCAAGAACTATAACTTGTCGCATAATAACCAGGATCACGTTCTGACTCAGCACGCCATCTCGCCTCCAGTGTCTCCAGTCGACTTAGTTTATAATCTAAAATTGCATGCTCCTCCGCTTCATTGTCGTACTAAAAAGAAAATTAATAATTTGAATATAATTTTCAAAAGAAACTATATATTTGAATTCTTGAAATTCTTGGAAACGTATTAAATTTATCAAATCTATTAAATTCATTTGTTGAATCTATTAAATCTATTTATGAAGTCTATTAAATCTACCTCATCTAAACAAATTGGTCCAGCTACTAAATAAAGTTGTTCAATAGCAATAACCCATGATGCTGTTCTTATTTGTCTAACAGGTACTTGTACTCGAACTTTTCCGATAAATCCTGCTTTAATTTCAACTGGTAAACCAATGTGACGTAGTGCTTCCTTTTTCAATGGCAAATTCTCCAATTCCACTTCACCTGAAACAAAAATTTATTTATTAATTTAAACCTCACCATTATCTACTAAAAAAAATTACTATTTTTAAACGTTAAAAGCTTTCATAATAATTTATAATTTATTTAATAAACTAATAGTCTAATTTAAATTATTATAATAATAAACATAAAATGAAAAATATAGAAATAGTTTGAATAAATAATTATACTTTGTAGTAAGAAATGAAAAACTTATAATTAATATTTTACATTATTAAAAATTATATGTAATTTGATTTGAAATTATAAACATTAAGTAATTACAGTAAATTAATACATTAAAATTATAAATTTGCAAAAATAAAATGTGATAAAAAAAGATAAAAAAAAATGTAAAATGTAGTTTTAATGATGACTGTGCAAAGCGATAAGACAAATTTGTTCGAATATTACATATAGGTAAAACTAAGTCCAATTCAAGAGGCTGAAGGTTAATAAAAATTACGACAATAAAATTCCGCAAAATTTCCTTAAATAAAACCTCTTATTACTCATTGTTCGTTCATTGATTATTAAATTCTATTCATAAGTATTACGATTCATAAAATTAATTAATAATGAATTCAAAAATTCCATTAATTCATTAATTTATTACTAAATAAAACTAATAATTTATTTATAAATAAAATTAATAATTTATTTATAAATGAAACTAATAATTTATTTATAAATAAAACTAAAATTTTATTACTGAAAATTGCTACTATACTATAATTTAATGAAAAAATAATACTTAATTCTACTTCGAAACATAATATAATGGTTTATATTAGTCTCATTTTATTTATAAACAGTCTCAATTAAATTATACATTAAAAATTAAAAAATTTCATTGAACAATACTTTATGCAATAACTAGAAAGTCAATTGTGAAATACTAACAAACTTCTCTCATACACAAAGTTTCGTAATATATAAACTTTCTCACAAATGTAAAATTTGATGTAACATAACAAGGTAGTATTTTAATCAAATTTCCGATTCATTTTATAAATCTTAATGCAAATTGCACAATTTTTATACTGACTCACAAACAGGAAGATAATTCGTTTTTACTTTTAAAGAATTTTTAAACACTTTTTAAAATACTTTTTAAGCTAAAAAATACATTTTTTTCAAAATAAACTAAATTTCGATCTGACTCATCAGAATTTTATTAATTAATTAATTAACACAGTAAATTATAGATTTTTTATTATATTTAAGAGAAAATTAATCTATTTAATCGCATAAAAATCATACGAATGTAAAATAATTTTTTTCCTTATTTAATGCTTCATCAGTTAATTAGTTCACAAGTTAATTATAAATTTATCTGGTAATATTCTTAAGAAAATTCATAAAATTCAAATAACTGTATAATGCGTTCTAGAAATGGGTATAATTAAGAAAAAGTGAGGTTAGGAAACATTTTTGATATAAAAACGTGATTAAAATTAGTCGTACAGCATTGATTGAGTAAAACAATGGTTTAATAAACATCAACTGTAGACAATAAAATAATATCAATGACAAATTCATTGAATAATTGTGAAAATTTAGTGTGAGAATTGATTTTTGAAAAGCAACTATACCTGAGAGAAGGGCAATACTTAGTTGATCGGTATTTAAATTTTCCACATATTTTCCTAAATAATTATTAAGCACCCAAGCGACAAGTCCATCCAACATTTTGAGAAATGCGTCTCAATGTTTGACAATTATTGCAACAATAGTATATACAGAAGAAGGTGAAGTATTTCTTGAAAAATTGTTAATTGATTGTTTCGTCGAAAATCAAGATTCAATGGCAATAACAGCAATTTTGAGTGCCATTCTTGATAGGCTGGCATTTAGACAATTCTTTTTGAAAACTTCTTTTTCTTATTTAATTATTAAATGATGAATAATTCTTTTAAAAAAGTAAAGTACACCTTTGACACGAACAATAATATAGTATTTTTAAAGATGATGATGCCGACATGTTGTTCGCAAGTTGTTGATTTTCCGAACTAGTTAATCGATAACATTCGATACTAATCGATTATTTCTCTTTTGGTAAAGAATAATTGTTCTTTTAGTAAAATTTTATTAACAATTTCTTACATTATCTATTATTATTATTTTCCTTTCATTGATGAATATTTACTCGTTGATTTATTTTCTAATCAATAAAAGTTATGTCAATTGACGAATTTCCCGCTTTAAAATCCATTTTATCGAAACTCGAGAGTAACGTCCTACTGCTAACTTCAGACAATTGACGTTTCGATTTTTGTAAAATTACGAAAACGACGACACGTACATGACTACATTTTAATCTTTTTAAATTAATTAAATTAATAAATATTAAGTTTATACAGTAATGTTTAAATATTCTTAAACTACTGAACCCTATTGTTTTTATTTTTTTACAATAAATAGTTTATAAAAGTAACAATGAAATGTTTATTGTTTGTGTTTTGTATTGTTTACGTGTCAGGGACACTGTCACCACAATCGGAAAAGACTGTGAAGAAGGAGAAAAACAAAGTAGAAAATAAAGTAAGTAATGCTAATAATTAAAAGTAATTCAATAATTAAATGATTATGAATATTAATTGTAAATTAAGCGTTCTATTGTATATAATTGTACTTTTTGATTCCTAACCTCAAAATTTTGGTTACTTTTCAGAAAGGTCCTGTTGATCAGGATGTGTTTGACAGAGGTTTAGTGAGAAATGATTCCAAAGCCCACGATATTTTAAGAGAATCTGGTCTTTATTTTAAAGACACTGAGAGAAAACGATTTTCAGGCGATGTTCTTGGCTACATTACACCGGTAAGAGAAAAAGTTTATTCCAATCGAAAATCTGGTTTTGAAATTTTGTTGTTTTTACCGTTTTTACGAACTTTTAGATCTTAGGTTCATAAAATTTACATTATATTTGTCTAATTTTTTTCAAATTCAAAATTTTTACAGTGGAATGGTCATGGATATGATGTGGGAAAATTATTTCCAAAAAAATTTACGTCGCTTTCTCCTGTTTGGTTTTCATTGCCACCCAGTAAAAGTGGTTCAAAATTCACCCTATCGACTCATGATGTACAAAAGAAATGGTTAAATGAGATTAAACTCACAGGAAAAGAAGATAATAATGTCAAGAGTAATTATATTTTAATTAACTTATAATTAATATTCTTCCCCTTTAATTATAATTAATATTATTTGCATTTACGGAAATTTGAAGATTTGATACTAATTTATTTGATTTTCAGTTCTACCTCGAGTTCTTTTTGAAAATTGGTCATTTAAAGAGGTTTCTGATCTGCATTTAAATAAAGATACAATGGTGCAATTAATAAAAACTCTTAGCAAAACTGCTGAGGTACATAATTATAAATTTATTTATAGTTTCAAAGAGGAAATTTTCTTTCAGATTTTTTATCCCAAAAGAAAATCAAATAGAAAATAATAATTGATAATAGAAAATTAATTCATTTTGTTTTATTTACAGACATATCAATTAGATGGATATGTGTTTGAGATTTGGACGCAGTTTTTATTTATGGGAGTGAATCGAATAGTTATCACTGAAATTGTAAAAGAAATTGCGGATGCATTGAAGGATAGAGAATTGGATACGATTCTAGTTGTTCCACCTTGGAGAGAGTAAATAGAAAATTTAGTTTTAGAATTAGAATTACAGGTAGTTTTAGAATTAGAATTACAGGACATTTTTTTTCAATTTAAAATATTATTTTCAATTATTTTAACTATTAATATATTATTTTTGATGATTAACATAGATTTTTATTTTTAGCAATTAATATCATTTTTATTTTTACGATTATTATATTTGTTTTTTGTCTTAAAACTTTTTTTTTTGTTAATTTTATTTTATTATTTTCCGTTTTATTTTAGAAGCGGCGAAGAAATGTTTAAAAAGAAACATTTTGATCTTCTATCGTCAAGCATCACTGCATTTTCATTAATGACATACGATTATTCAAATTTTGAATATCCGGGTCCAAATGCACCTGTGAGTTGGATTAAAAAATGCGTCAAGGCACTTGTTCACGATAATAAAGATCCAAAAAGAGCACAAATTCTCATGGGACTGAATTTCTATGGGAATAATTATACACCAGAAGGAGGTGGTGCAATTGTCGGTTCACAATATCTTCAACTTCTTGAATCTTATAAAGGAAAATTAAAGTGGGATGAGAAAGCCAAGGAAAACTTTTTCGAAATAAAGTAAGATTTTCCATTACGTTCAGAAAAAAAGAAAAATTACCTGCTTTATAGTCACTGATAAATATTTTACGTAAACACTTTTTTTTTCTCTCTACGATTAAAAATTTCGAATTAGTTACGCAACTATTTTTATTGACTCCGAGACTAAAATCTTTAATTAAAAGTTTCATTCTGAATTTTTATTTTTTTTATTTATTTTATTTACCCAATACTATTTTTTTTAGAGAAATATGTTTTATTTAAAGAAAGAAATATTTTAAGAAAGCAGGTAATTTTCCAATTTATCAAAAAATGTTTCGAATAATTATTTTTGTATTAAAATTCTAGAAACAGAAATCCAGGATATGTTTTCTATCCAACATTGTATTCAATAGAGCAAAGACTGAAACTCGCTGAGAAATTGGGCACTGGAATTGCCATTTGGGAATTGGGACAGGGTCTCGATTATTTTTACGATTTACTTTGAGAATATTATCTTAAATTGTTAATTATAAGAAAGAAACTCTAATAATAAAGTTATTTCGGTTACATAAAACTTTGTGGATAAAAATTAATTTTATATTCAGAAAATTTAATTGGCATATTTAAAGGGGAAAAAAGTAATGGATTTTAAATAGAAGTAAAGTCAATTAAAAAAGAATTCTCTATTATTTTATAAATAGTATCAATTCTTTTATTAAATATTTTTCATTTTTTACAATTTCTATAATTTAAAATTCGTTTTTTTTCTATTTTCTATGATCTTTAAGTCTAAAAATTATTTTTCTCAGTCTTCAAATTATGAAGTGTTGTGAATTCGATGAAAATATTATTCAAAAATAATGTATCAATGCTTAGAAGAATATCACGATCATTCTTGTTTGTTTGATTTAAAAATACTATTAGTCCTTGTTTATAATTGAGAATGTTTCCTTTTTAACATCATCATTGTTTGTGGACCTTTTGCGATATTATACATCATTGCCCAGCACATTTTTGCTGGCAAAATACTAAAAAAATAAATTTAAATTTAAATAAATAACTTTTCAGTTAAATTTAATTAAATTATTATTTAATTAATTAAATATTTAAATTCGATTGAATTTTTATTAAATTAAAAATTTTTCGTAAGTCTTGATTTACTTTTAATTAGAAATAAATCTCTAATTTTATTTTCAATACTATAAAGATTAAAATTATTTAGTAATTGTTTAATTAAATTATTTCTAACTTTTTGGAAGCAAATTAAATGATTTGTTAATCCTTATTAATAAAATCAGATGTCTGTCTGTACATTGCTTAAAACTTCAAAATGTTAACATGATTAGTTATTATGGACATCAGAGATTCCAAAAATGTTCTTAAAAAATTTAATGTATGTATGTATGTATGTATGTATGTATGTATGTATGTATGTATGTTTGTCTGTCACAAAAACTTTGTACCCCAATCACACAAAAACATGTGAATCGATTTAAGTCCAACTTGGTAGGTTATTAGGTATTGACCCAAGGAAGGTTTATAAATTTACAGATTTAAAAAATATTAATTAGAACGGGAGATATTCAATTTTTTCAAAAAATTCAAAAAATCGAAAATTTCAAAATTTTTTATTTTTCATGGATTGCTTTTGAAGTTTATATACTTGAGTATTATATGTTATTTAGTCACATTATAGCATAACTTTGCAAAAAATAAAGTCCTATAACTAATATGTAAGTATAAAAATGTTTTCAAAAAATCGAAAATTTCAAAATTTTACATTTTTTTATGGATTGCTTTTAAACTTTCTATATTTGAGTATTACATGTTATTTGGTCACATTTTAGCATAATTTTTCAAAAAATACTATTCTACAACTAAGATGTAAATATAAAAATATTTTCAAAAACTTGAAAAATGGAAAATTTCCAAATTTCACAATTTTTAATGGATAGCTTTTAAACTTTCTAAAAATGAATATTATATGTTATTTAGTCAGATTTTATCATAATTTTGCAAAAAATACTATCCTACAATAAATATAAAAAAATTTTCAATATATCAAAAAATCGATACTAATTACTATATGAAGTATAATTCAGTAGTATTTTTGGAGTCTCTGATTAATATTTTGATGTCAAAATAGTGCAATTCAAAATTATTTATCAAATCAATCTAATATTTTCAAGAAGTTCAGAAATATTGAAAATGGAAATTTTTTATGATTAAAATGATTTCGCAGGATGTCAAGAATTGTAAGTCACCTGTGATACAATACAAGCATATTATGCCACTAGGCAAAAACTTACATGTTAAAACGTTTTTTCATTTTAACTCTAGATTTAACTTTAAGAGATGTTTTGAGCAATGTAAAGACAAAAGTTAACACGGTGTCTATTTTTGTTTAACAAAATTCCCTGCTTTGTCCAAACTTTTCACGTTTTATCTCTTTTTTGTCAAATTTAAATTTACTTGATTTTATCCATAAATAAATCTACAAATGGCTATAAAAATTTACTTATTTTATGAAAATACTGTTTCTTAAGTTCATATAAATATAGATTGTATTACTTGCTGTCGAACAGTTTTCTGTTTATACTAATACATTTAACTGGGTATCTACCAAACGGGAAAAACTGTAAAAAGCTGGGAATATGCCGAACCGGGAATTTTCCTATCAAACTAAGAAAAAGTTTCATTATATTAATTCGCTTTTAAAAAATTACTTTTTACTTCAATTTTTATTGATGTATAATATTTATGAAAACAGACCCGAGTCAAAATTTAAGCCCTACTTTCAGCCTAAAATTTAGGTCTTATGTTAGGTTTTAGCAGTCGTAACGTAGGGTCTACTTGCGATACAATTAGTTCCAATTAGACTCTACTATAACTCCAAAAACTGTATGGAAAATTTAATTTTTTTAATACATTAATTAAAGTACTACAAATTGATAAATATTCTTCTCTGCATTTGAATTGGTTAAAATAACTAATTTGATAACAAAAAGTCAATCACTGATTCAAATAGTAATATTTTCCTACTAAAATAGCTATAATGGTAACTAATTATTATTTTTTTCCGGTCAAATTAAATTCCCTAGCTATTTCCTGATTTTCCAGATTGGTAGAAACTTAAATGTATTGGTAGAAACTAAAACCCGTCGAAGACGGGTACGACAGCTAGTTAAAAATAAATTTAAAAGAACTCACCTTTTTAGGGGAAAGAAGAATTTGATGATACCCGGGAGAATGATTAACATTCGATTAGTTAAAATTCCAGATACAACTTCATTGGCAACGTACTCTGGTTCTAAACTCTTCATTAGTCTGAAAGTTTTATCAAAATTTAGTTTTATATTCTCGTTTTAGAATCCAAGAGTGAGAAATTTTTTTATTACTTTGGTTTTACTCCGGGAAACATTCCTGTGTTTATAAAATATGGACACACCAAGGTAGCTTGTATTCCATTGTAACCGTGAGACTTAAATTAAAAATCATTAAATTTTATCAAGTATTTTAAATGAATTATAATTATAATTTTTATTATTATTATTATTATTATTATTATTCATATTTGAAAATCCTTATTAATAAAATCAGATGTCTGTCTGTACATTGCTTAAAACTTCAAAATGTTAACATGATTAGTTATTATGGACATCAGGGATTCCAAAAATATTCTTAAAAAATTTAATGTATGTACGTATGTATGTACGTATGTATGTACGTATGTCTGTCACAAAAACTTTGTACCCCAATCACACAAAAACATGTAAATCGATTTAAGTCCAACTTGGTAGGTTATTAGGTATTGACCCAAGGAAGGTTTATAAATTTACAGATTTAAAAAATATTAATTAGAACGGGAGATATTCAATTTCTTCAAAAAATTCAAAAAATCGAAAATTTCAAAATTTTTAATTTTTTCATGGATTGCTTTTAAAGTTTCTATACTTGAGTATCACATGTTATTTAGTCACATTTTAGCATAATTTTGCAAAAAATAAAGTCCTATAACTAATATGTAAGTATACAAATGTTTTCAAAAAATCAAAAATTTCAAAATTTTACATTTTTCATGGATTGCTTTTAATCTTTCTATATTTGAGTATTACATGTTATTCAGTCACATTTTAGAATAATTTTGCAAAAAATACTATCCTATAACTAAGATGTAAATATAAAAATATTTTCAAAAACTTCAAAAAATGGAAAATTTCCAAATTTCACATTTTTAATGGATAGCTTTTAAACTTTCTAAAATTCAATATTATATGTTATTTAGTCAGATTTTAGCATAATTTTGCAAAAAATACTATCCTATAAGTAAATATAAAAATATTTTCAATATCAAAAAATCGATACTTATTACTATGAAGTTTAATTCAGTAGTATTTTTGGAGTCTCTGATTATTATTTTGACGTAAAAATAGTGTAATTGAGAATTATTTATCAAATTAATCTAATATTTTCAAGAATTTCAGAAATATTAAAAATGCAAATTTTTTATGATTAAAATGATATTGCAGGATGTCAAGAAATTGTAAGTCACCTCTGATACAATACAAGCATATTATATGCCACTAGGCAAAAACTTATATGTTAAAACGTTTTTTTTATTTTAACTCTAGATTTAACTTTTAGAGATGTTTTGAGCAATGTAAAGACAAAAGTTAACACGGTGTCTATTTTATTTAACAAAATTTCCTGCTTTGTCCTTTTTCACGGTTTATCTTCTTTTGTTAAATTTAAATTTACTTGATTTTATCCATAAATAAATCTACAAATGGCTATAAAAATTTACTTATTTTTATGAAAATACTCTTTCTTAAGTTCATATAAAATATAGATTATATTACTAGCTGTCGTACCCGTCTACGACAGTTTTTTGTTTCTACTAATACATTTAACAGGGTAACTACCAAACGGGGAAAACTGGAAAAAGCTGGGAATTTTCCAATCAAATTAAGAAAAAGTTTCATTATATTAATTCGCTTTTAAAAAATTGCTTTTTACTTTAATTTTTATTGATGTATAATATTTATGAAAACAGACCCGGGTCAAAATTTAAGCCCTACTTTCAGTCTAAAATATAGGTCTTATGTTAGGTTTTAGCAGTCGTAACCTTTGCGATACAATTAGTTCCAATTAGACTCTACTATAACTCCAAAAACTGGGTGGGAAATTTGATAAATTTTTAATGCATTAATTAAAGTACTACAAATTGACAAATATTGTTCTCTGCATTTGAATTGGTTAAAATAACTAATTTGATAATAAAAAGTCAATCACTGATTCAAATAGTAATATTTTCCTACTGAAATAGCTATAATGGTACCTAACTAATTATTATTTTTTTCCGGTCAAATTAAATTCCTGAGCTATTTCCTTATTTTCCAAATTGGTAGACACACTGTTAAATGTATTGGTAGAAACTAAAACCCGTCGAAGACGGGTACGACAGCTAGTTATAAATATGAAATTATTATTTTTTGATAATTGAAAATTATAAATATTAAATTAGTAATTCTTGATGATAATTTAAACAGTTTTTACCTTCAATTCAGTAAAGAGACTTTCGTGAAAGCCAATAGTTGCAAATTTAGTCGCCGAATAATCGGTACAATTATAAGTTCCCATTAATCCTGCGACACTCGCAATCGTTACAATGTGGCCATGATTATCTTTCATCATGTCCTTCAGAAATGCTTTTGTGGTCTACAAATCATTTGTTTTTTAATATTTATATTCCTTTGAGAAAATTATTTAAAAATTATAAAAAAATTAATTATCAAGAAAAAAAATATTATTACTTACCCAATAATGTGATAAAATATTAACTTTAAACGTTTTTTCAATTTCGTCATCTGGTATTTGTAATAAAGTATCCCCGTAAATATATCCGGCATTATTAATTAATATTGTCACCTAATTGTCGAAAAAATAATTTTTTACTGAAATTTAATTTATTTTTTACAGCCAGAATAAAAATAACTTTGTTGTTTACACTATTTTAATTATTCTTCTATTTACTGTTTAACAAAAGTTTCTTAGTGACATAATTTTTTGAGATAAATATTTGAAAAATTCTTTTTTTATTTAAAACTTACATTGCCAACGTCGACTTGAACTAATTTCGCAGTTCTGTAAATTGCCTCTCTATCAGAAATGTCGCAATAATATCCCCAACACTTTCCTCCGTTTTGTCTTATTTCAATCACAGTTTCTTCAATACCTGAAAATTATTATAAAATAATTATTAAATATTCATAAAATAATTATCTTTGTTAATATTTATATGTAAAAAATATATGTGAACTTTAAATATATTTTTTCATTTTATAAATATACTTTAATGTACATAATTAATTTAATGCAATTAAATTTAGTTTTCAACAAATAAAAATTGTAGTGAATATAAAAAATAGTAATAACAAAATTAGCATAGATATTCACTAACCGGAAGGAGACAAAAGTAATGAATTTGGTTGTATAATTAATTATAATTTTAAACTTTTATGCTCTCGCCATTGTTTCATAAAAAAAGTAATATCTTCTGTTAACATTCTAATTAAGATTGTCGATAAAAAAAACTACAGAGTTTAAAAATATCAGTCAAGGTTGAAATAATTTTTTAAAAATAAAATTCTTATCGTAAATATTCGTATTTTTACATTAAATTAACTTTACATTAAAGCTCATTGTTCTAATTGCTCTAAACGTATTTTTTTTATAAAACTTTATTTTCACTTCGTTTTCTGTTAATTAAAATTATTTAATTTAAAAATTATTGATTGAATTGCGAAATATTCGTTTATTATAAAATAATAAAGTAAATAATAAAGTATATAAAATAAATACATAATGTGAAAATAATAAAATATGTTAAATAAATATAAACCCCAATAAAAAATTGCGAAACTCCGAAAATAATTATTTTTATAACAATTAAAATTGTAATTTTCTTTCTTTCACGTTTATTTTAGTAATAAACACTATTTTAAAAAATCCATTTCTTTATTCTGTTAGTTTAAATTTATTCAACTTAAGTTTGACACCCGCTTTCTCAAAGTTTACACAGAATTCATCATAGACAAATGTAAAGAGATTCTTTTAAACTTAAAATTTCTATTTTTTTATGTTTAAAAAAATAATTGTGAAAGTTCAAATTCTCTTATTTTTTAATTCGTTTTTAAAAACTTTAATTTTATTTCCCTTTTTTTGATTGTAAATTTTTATGTTATTTCTTTTTTTTCTATATTATTTTAACAGTACACGCGCTGTAACAAAATTGGTTTTGAAAGTATAACCACATAAAATGTCAACAAAATGTTTGCCGTTGTCTTTCTTTAGTTTACTTTTATAATTACCACTCATCCACGAACTGCAAATAAATTTTTAAACATGACAAATTTTTTCCGTAGAAATTAATATATATTTTGATAATTATTATTAATAATAAAAATATTAAATTAATAAAAAGAATATTATAAAGCAAAAAAATTTAACAAAAATAAATGAAAAACAAATTTTTTCTATTTAGAAAAATTTCTGATTTTAATAACAAAAAAATATTAAAAAGCAAAAACAACAAAGAAAAGGACAAAAAAATAATTTTTTTTGGTTTGAAAAAAATTGATATTTTTAATAACAAAAATATTTAAAAAACAAAAAAAATTTAAGAAAAAGAAAGGACAAAAAAATTTTTTTCTAGGTATTTAAAAAAAAATTGCTGATGAAAGTAGATTAAAGTTAAAAATCTCTCTTTTTTCAGAAAGTTTCCTTGTCTTGCAAGAAGATAACATTTTTTTTGCCTATTATTATTGACCGTTTCTTTACAGACTTATTATTTTCTCAGAGGTAAATGAGCTTTCACTTGATAGTCTCATTTTAACATAATTTCCACTCATTTATATTATTTCGTTATTTCCAAACAAATAACGATTAACGAAATTTAATTAATTGTTTACTTATACTATTAATATTATTAAAAAAAAAGAAAATCAAATTAAAAAAAAAAGTTCAAAGGCGTTAGAAGACTAATTGCAATTAATTAAATTATTAAATGAAAATTGTCTCTGCCTCAATTAATTAATTTTCTTCTCTAGTGGAATTTAAAGAACGTGTATAGGAATTAAATAGCAGAATAGAAGGTGAAGAACCTTTAATTTTAAATTGCTTACCAATTTTGTTGATATCCCAGATTACTACATTGCATCCAAGATTGGCTAATTCAGTAGCAATTAATTTCCCAATGCCACCTGCTCCTCCAGTAACAAGTGCCACTTCTCCTTTTATGTTTTTTCCACGATAACGTCTTGGAATTAATGTTAAAACTATCGATTCCGTTATATACACTATGGCCATTCCCATGACTATTAAAAAATCGTATAACATACTCAATAAATTTTTGATAACCATTTTCATACCTGAAAATTAAATATTCATTGTTGATTAAAAAATTCAATTTTATTGAGTTTTTAGTCGTTTGTGTTTATTGTATACGATTTATGTGTCTATATTAGAAGTTTGTGTTAATAATCTCTCTCTATAAAAGTGAAAATGTACATTTAATGCGAAATTTCACTTTTTACTGTTTAATTTAATTCTAATTGTGTGTATTTTTTAAAATTCTTTTTTAAAACTTTTTTAAAACTCTTGTTTAAACATTTAATTCAATATAATTTTAACTCTGTTTTATTAAATTCTTTTCTAAAAATTAAGTTTAATTTCATTTCATTTAAATTTTATGTATTTTTTTAAAAATTCTTTTCTAAAAATTTCATTTCATTTCAATTTTATGTATTTTTTAAAATTCTTTTCTAAAAATTTAGTTTAATTTAATTTCACTTAAATTTTAGGTATTTTTTAAAATTCTTTTCTAAAAATTTAGTTTAATTTCATTTCATTTAAATTTTACGTATTTTTTTAAAATTCTTTTCTAAAAATTTAGTTTAATTTAATTTAGTTTTAAATTCTGGTGTTAAAAATGTTACTGTGAAAATAATTATTCTTGTACCAATGTAAATTGGCATTATAATTTCAAAATTGCGTGGATAATTATGAAAAAATGACAAAATTGTTCCATGTGTATAATTTTCCGAAAAAAAGGATCAATAAGCAATTATTAAGTAGTTAAAGAAAAAAAACCATTTGCTCTAATAAATCAACAGGATCTATTACATTTTGTTATTTTCTCGACTTGCGGCATACGAGTTTTAATTAAATTAATACATAGTATACAGTGAAAGTTGTAAATAATATATTCGCGATTAAATTGTAAGATTCGAATATGTTAATAAGGGAATTTATTTTATTTTCATTCATTTCATTCAACAGAAGTTAATTAAAATCGAATTTTCAAGAGTGTTATTATCTTTTTCAAGTTATTAATTTCTTTTTTATTTCAAGATTTTTATTTACCTTTTTAAAGCTGCAAATTCGAATATATTTACCGAATATTTTTATTTTTTTCTAGTTTTAGATCTCATGTAAAATATAAATTAATTTTTATTTATTGAAATTTGAAATAATTCAACTTGGAATTCAACTTTTACATTTTTTAAATTTTTTATTTTCAACTTTTTAACTTTTACTTAATTTAAAAAATAAATATTTGAAATAATTAAACTTTTACTTTTTTTAATTTATACTTTTTAACTTTTAATTAATTTCAAAAATAAAAGTATGAAATAATTTAACTTGTCATTGAACTTTTACTTTTTGTTTAATTTTTTAATTTAAACTTTTTAACTTTTACTTAATTCAAAATTTGAATAATTTTATAATTTTAAAAATATTCCAGTAAAAAGATTCATAGAATATTTTTTCAAATTCTATTATTCAAAAATCAAAAGTTCAATGAAAATTTCATGTAATTTACTTTCATTTTCAATATAAATAGAAATTATATAAAAATATAAAATTTGCTTAAAAAATGTAAATATATAATTAAAATATAATTTAGTTTCCATTTATTGAAATTGAAAGAAAGCGAAATTAAATTTCCATTGAACTTTTAATTGTTTGATTCAAAAATTGAATGATCCTCAAGTTCCGAACGCATTCAAAGGAACGAAATTTATTTCTTCTTTTTCGAATTAAATTTTATAACAATAATTTTGCGTCACTATGGAAAAAAAATTAATTTTAGTTTCTAGATGTAAAGTAAGTTTTTAATTTTTATTCCAATCGGCAACTTATGAAAATATTGATAAAAAATATTCCATTCATTTGAACGTTCAAAACTTGTTGATCATAAAATTGAATTCTTTTCTTCTTTTTCTCTGTTGAACAGTTTAAATATTTTGAAAAATATTTAAACTAGAAGGTTCATTCAATACTTTTTCAATTCTAATCCAACGAATCTAAATTTTAAATTTTCATTTAAATTACAAAATACCCGATGTAAGAAAAAATGTATTTAACAAAAAATTATTTCAAATATGAAAAATAGAAAAATTGGCGTAAGTGAATTTTTTGTATCGAAACGTTTAAATTTGTGTATGAATTAATTTTTATAAAGTTAAGTTTGTAAATTTTGTTTTAAGTGATTAAAGTGAATTAAAGTATATAATTTCAGAGTGTGTCCTACCGAAGATGTGTCAAGTAAGTCACTTTTTTCTTTCGTTTTTCTTTTTCGTTTTCCGTTTTTCTTTTCGAATTCTCTGTTGTGATCGTTGTCTTCGACGAGGATAGAAAGTGGGTGTCTCACTGAGTTTAAGAGAATGTCCTGAGGATGTTGGAACCACTCTTTCCCACACAAGTGCACAATTCGAATTGCGAGGCATTACTTCTTTGCGAATTGAGCTCTCGTAGCGAAACTCACTATAGTCCTCGTGCTGCAAAATCAAGACGGAGGCTCTCGAAATCTAAAGTCAGCAAAACTTTACTGGTACACGACGATTCAAACAGATTCTATGCATGCTAGTGAAACATGAAAGTATCGTTACTCCTATAGGAAAATGCAATCCCTTCTCTTCCGATGCCAAATGGAAACACTCTTTTTCGCCTACTTTTCGACCAATTCAGACATTATCTTCACAATTAAATTCTTGCCCAATTGTATCCAAATCTGTAAAAATAATTACAATCAACAAATTTTCTTTTTAAAACTCAAATAGATAAAAGGAAAAAATTTTTTTCAGAGTCTCAAAGGGGGAATATAAAAAAAAAAAAAAAATTATGGGAAAGTTATGAAATTTACTCTATGGAGAAATATCACAACCTATTTTCAACTTCGCGAGTAAAATATAGTCAGATCGAGGTCGATTCACAATTTATTGCTAAATATTTATTGTAATGTTGCTTGAGATGATTTGAACGGAACTTTAATTGACAATCTGATTCATTGAGCTTGGAAAAAAAAAAAATTATTTCTGCTTTTCGAATTAGAACAAAAGTGAGCAAAAGTGAATAAAAGTAAACAAACGTTAACAAAAATTATTGATCTTTTGAATATTTAATTAGTAATTTTGATTTTTATCAACATTAAAACTTTAATACTTTTCAGCAAAAATTTTACTATTAAAAAGAATTACCTTTCTGCAAAAATTTTATAATTCAAAAAATTATCTTTCAGTAAAAACTTTACTATTAAAAAGAATTACCTTTCAGCAAAAATTTTACCATTCAAAAAATTATCTTTAAGCAAAAATTTTACTATTAACAAATTAACGTTCAGCAAAAATTTTACTATTAAAAAATGTCCTTCAGGAAAAATTTTACTACTAAACAAATTACTTTTCAGCAAAAATTTTACTATTAAAAGCAATTACCTTTCAGCAAAAATTTTACTATTAGAACAAATTACCTTTTATCAAAAATGCTACTATTAAAAGAAAAATGACACTGAATTTCTAAATTAATATCGTAGCATTTAAAGTAAAACAGATTTTTTTGGCAAAATGTTTCATAGATTCCTCTCATTCATTTTTTATGAACAAATGAATGAAATGAAAACAATGTTAATAAATGAAATTATATAAAAATTGTACAGAGACAGAACTGAAACCCGAGGGCAAAAAGAAAAAGTTTGCACAAGAAGGTATTCAATAAAATAAATTTATGCTCATAATATTTCCTGTAAGCTAAGCCAGTCACTGGAATACTAAGTTACAAATGAACTTTAAATAAACATCACTTGTTTTAATCGAAATTTTACTGCAAATTCATTTTAGGCACAAGAAAATTTCTATTATTTAGAAAAAAAAAATTCCAGAATCATAATTTAGAGAATATTTATACATTTCACATATTGAATCGTATTTGCAATTTACTACAGATTTTTAATTTAATTAAATAATTTAATTTTAATTTAAGTATTTACTTAATTTTAATGGTAATTTATTATTTAATTTGGAATTGAAATTAAGTAATAAATTAAAATTAAAATAAAATTAAAATATAATTTATTATTTTTCGAGTTAAAATGAAGTACCTAATAAATTAAAATTTAAATAATCAAACTCAATATTCAAATATCATTTGTTTAATTTCAGATCATTAGAATAAAAATATTCTTTTTTTTTCTAAAAAAAGTGGTTTGACAGATTATAAAAAATACCGCAGTTTATGAAGATGACTTAATCAAGGAAGAAAATTCTTTTTCACATTCATTAACATGTGGTTTTTTTTTTTTTTTTTTGAAAAAAAAATCCGTCTTTGAAAGATATGAATATTTTCTATAGCAAAAATATTATAAATGCAATGACTATTGTTTATGGTCACGTACGTATTTACATACACTCGTGCATTGAAAAAAATTACACCTGTGGTTTCAGAAATTATGTACCAATGTCTCAAGAATCGTGAAACAAGTACCACAAAAGTACCAAATAAATTTAATTACGTAAGAAAATAATATCAATTTTCGTTAATCGTTTCCAGTTGACAATAATTTTCTTTTTCATAAATATTTGATTATATTTATTTATAACTTTTGTGATAATTTTCTAAATAAATAAATAGATTTTTGTTAAACGTTTCTAGTTAACAATAATTTTTTAACATAAATATTTGATTATTTATTTTTAACTTTTGTGATAATTATCTTAATAAATAAATGAATTTTCGTTAATCATTTCTAGTTGCCAATTTTTTTTCATAAATATTTGATTATTTATTTGTAACTTTTGTGATAATTATCTAAATAAATAAATGAATGAAGAAATAAATAAATGAGTGAAAAAAGATAAATAAATGAAGAAATAAATAAATAATCTGGATATTTATTTATTAAGACGGAGAATAAAACGTAAATTAAATTTTTGTAAATTATTATAAATTAATAAATAATGTTGATAATAATTTACCAATTTGCTGACAGTAGAAAACAAAATTTCCTTCCTTTCAAAGTTGCAGATTCTTCTGAAGAACTGAGAACGTGACTCCATCTTTCTAGAATGAAAGGAACTTTTTATTAATTATTTCAAAACAAAAGATTAATAAATATATTGTAGAAAATAAAATACAATAAAAAATATATATATATGCCCCGTTTATATTGTGAATAAATAAATAAATAAATGCAAATAAATAAAATAAAAATATATCATGGAAAATATATTATTTTTCGACAATATTGTAATATTTCCTTTTTACAAACTGAATTTTACAATAATTAGATCGAAATTTCGGAAAATATGCAAATAATTGCCATCGAAAATAAATAATAAGTAAAAGTTTTTTGGCTTTTACAACAAATTTTTTTTCATTCCCCTGACATACTTTTTTTCCACCTTCTAATTTTACAACAATTCTGCGTAGAATAATCGTGTGAATAAAAATAAGAAAAAACTTACAGGATATAATCTTGTATAAAAAAAATACAATAAATAAATATAGGAAAAAATTTGAAAGATTTAATCATTATAATAAATATAAAAAAATTTGAAAGATTTCGTCCTTATAATAAGTAAATTTTTAAAATATTTAAGATTTAATTTTTATGACAAACAAATATAGAAAAAATTAAAAGATTAAATTTTTACAATAAATATAAAAATTTTTGGAAGATTTAAACTTTAGAACAAATAAATATAAAAAATGTTAAGATAGAAAAAATCTAGATTTTAAATTCACTCTGGAAAAAACAGACAATAAAAAATGCAAGTGAGCGAATTATGTCCAAATAGAAAAAAAATTATAAAATAAACTGATTTAGAATGTCAATTATCATTTAAAAGAATCTATTACAAATATAAGTATAATATAAGCCACTTTTGCTTTTACACTATAATAGGACTAATAATTTCTTCAGATATCTTAATAATGACATAATGTGATTTGTGTGTACTCATGTTGATTTCAAATTATGATTAATGATAATTGTGAATCCTGTTAAGATCAACCTTTGGATCTTTCAGGTACACATACAAGCTTAGATGTCTTTTTTTCTCCTCATAATATTCTATGGGCATTGCACAAGATCACATATATACATACTATAAAGTTTACGTAAATTCGCAACAAGTGCTATATGTGTATAATTAGTCATAATGCAATTTTTCAGAAATTACCAAATAATTTATCAATTTTCCAAATCCTTTTTTCTCTTTTTCATTATTTCGTATCGAGAAATATTTCATTTCACAGTATTGACAAATTAACTAATTTCCACGTTCTATTTTTCTTTAAAATGACTTAAAAAAGGAGATAATTTTTTAAATTTTACAGTATGGAAAAAAAAGAATTTTTTTTAATTTAAAAAAGAAAAGAATTATCAGAAGAGCAATCTATTGCGCAAAATGCGAAACTTTATATCGTTTATACGCGAATAATTTCGCAGTCGGTCAAAACAATCTTATTGCCGATTCCCACTTCTTTTTATGGTTCATTCACTTTCACCGGATTCTGAATTATTCAAGCTCAAATAAACGTAATTCACTAGATATAAATTAGTTATCTGAAAATTATTGAACAGAGTTTGTAAAACAATTTTTTCAGTTTTTTTGAAATAAAAATAATTGTCGTTTAAATTATTTTCAGAAATTTAAATATTGTCGTTTCCGTTTGTTTAAATTATTTTTTATAAACATCGCTAAATAAGAATTATATGTAAATTTTTCTAAGAATACTTTTAAAAACTTTTTAAAAAATACTATAAAAATACTCAAAAAAATATTTTGAAAAATATTTAAGTACAATTTTATTTGAATATTTATTCTTATAAAAAAATTGTTTAAAAATGTCTTTAAAAAAGTATTTATTTCTTTTTCTCCTTTTCTTGAATTATTCATGCAATTAAAGAAAATTATTTAGTCGAAAAAAATGAATTGTAATTAATTACTCATTTCCTTATTCAAAACAATATTTTTAAATTATCTGCACGTAGTGACATTTGATTGAATCTATAAAAAACAGATCAGTAATAGAAAATCTAATCAAAACAAAATTGAATCAATAAAAAAAATGCTAATACAATTAAAAAAAACCAGATTGTATGAAGTGTATGAATTGTATGAATTCATAAAATAATATAATTTGTATATATTAATAGTTACGTGAATGTTTTTTATAATTAATTAAATTAATTAAACAAGCGGAAAAATTTCATTTTTAAAAATAAGAAGTTAATTAGAAATTAGAATTTAAAAGTTCATTTGTATATTGAATAAAAAAAAATGATCTTGAAAGAATTGGAAAATTGAAAATTGTAAAAGTAAAACGAAACTTTTTCTCTAAATATGCAATTAACCTTGGCCTTTCAGGTCCATTTAACATTTTTGTTATTAGTATTGTTTTTCCCGCAGCTTTGTATATTTAATTGTAATTATTATACAAACACAGAGCAGTAAATACGTACTTGCAAGAAGTTTGTTTTAAATGTATAAGGAAGTAAACCGGTTTTGTGATTTAATATCGATTGGCATCGTTTGTGAAATCATAAAAGTGCATCTTGCACTATTGCAGAACTATCCTGTCACACTTCTAGTTCAAGGACACCGAACAACTTTGACCAGAATTCCTTCGCAAAACTGTTTCATCTTCTGAAAAACATTTAAATTATTAAATTTAGAAAAATTAGAAAAATAGAAAAATTTAGAGAATTTAAAGAAAAAAAATCAATTTTATTTCAAACAATTTTCAAAAGGTTCTAAATTTTTCTAAATTGTTCTAAAGTTCAAAAAATTGTTCTAAAAATCATCCCTCTTCTTTGTTTTAATTTTTCTCCATAATTTTTTTTTTTTTTTTGTAAACCAGTATCTTGACATATTAATTTATTATTATTTTGCAATTCTCTTATAAAAACAACTATTTCAACTATATCGTAAAATTTAAAACTTGTTTTTATAATACAACAAGATCTATCGGAGAAATAAAAAAAAATCTTTCCCCTTATTTTTCACGAAATAACTATAAATGTTGTATCTAGAGAGAATTTCATAAGAGGCAGATCTTTTTAATTGGTTTTAAAATCCGTATTTACATTGTATTTGCAATCTGATGATGAAAGAAAACAACCTTCCATTTCTAGTCAAAGATTTTTAGTGAAATAAAAATCGCCATTTCTTTACTAAAAACATTTCTCAATATTTAATTTAATTTCAACTGCATTGATAAATTAGTAAACAATATTCGTAAATAGAAATTTTCCCCTAACAAGTAATCAATTTCTTTCGTATTTTAAATATAATAAACTGAATGGAAATTAAAATTTTTTTTTCATGATCTACTTTAAACAGATAATTTGAATTTTCTTTCATGGTAAAATTTATTAATTGAATTTTTCCTTCGGGGTAAAATTTATTGAATTAAAAGTATAAAATAATAATTTGTTGGGAAACATTTTTTAATATTATCGATGTGACGAAAGATGGTAGAATAAAAAATAAAAACAAAAAGGGAAGAAAAAAAAGTTTTGATAAAAAGATGCGATTGAAATAATGAAGCAGGTGAAGGGCGTTCAGGTAATAATGCAAGAGAATGTATATCTTAAAAGTATGCATTTGATTAAGAGACAGTGCACTGAAATGAAGGCCAAGTTCAGTTTGGCATTGATCCCAATCGGAACGTAAACCAAAGGGTTTCAGGATATATTCGATAGAAAAGGGAGATTAAAAAAAAGGAATATCAAACTTATATATGGGGAGGACGAAATTGAGAAACCTGTTACATTAAAAATAAAACTCGTTCCTTGAAATCTTTCTTTTCTGCTTCCTTTTTATCACCCACAATTTTTTTCATCTCAAGAAGAAATTAATGCAATTCTGTCAAAACAAAGTTTCTTTTTTATATTATTTTTTTTCGCGTATCGTATATAAATCTATAAAATGGAAGTTGTTCAGATTCTTTCTTCTAAATTTATATTTTATAGCCAAGTTGTAAACAAAAAAAAGAAGAACAGTGTAAAAAGGTAAAAAACAAATAAAAAGTAAATGAAAAAAGAAGAAAAAAATTAATGTAATTTTTCCCTCTGAATTATTATTTCAATTAATAAGATATAAATTTCATTTTTAATTTCGAAAATTTTCTTTTGGGAAAATTCTAATTAATTGGAAATTTTTCTATTTTGAAACTAATTTCTGTAAATTTTTCTCTATATTCCAGAATAAAAACAAAAATACTTTACCAACACAGAAGATCTTTTCTTTTAGTAGACAAATATTTTCTACTTAAATTCCATGACCTTTCCATAGCAGTTCGTATCTTTCTCCTCTGAATTCTTCTTTCCTTTCTCGCAAACGTTTCTGAAAACAACTAATAAAATTAATAAATAATCCTTTTAATTCAATAAAAAATTTATTTTCTTTAAATTCCTATTAAATTTAATTTTCATTCAAATTAATTTGTATTAAAATTAATTTCTATTCACATTAATTTCTATTAAAATTAAAATTTTAATTCATTAGAAGATAGAAAATAAATTTATATTCAAATTGATTTCTATCAAAATTAATTTTCAATTAAATTAATGTCTCTAAAATGAAATAATAAAACTAATAGAAAAATAAGGAAAAAACCAAATAAAAAAATAAAAGTTACTTTTTCTCCAAATTATTATTGTTTCAATTAATAGAATGTAAATTTTAATTCCTAATTTCGAAAATTTTGTCTTGGGTAAAATATATTTTATTGGAAAGCTTTCTAAATTTTTAAAACTATAATTTTTGTAAGTTTTTTATTTAATTCCAAAATAAAAAAAAATACTTTACCAACACAATAAATCCTATTTTTTCAGTAGACAAATATTTTTTACTGAATTCCATGACCTTTACAACTTCCATAGCTGTTAGTATTTTTCTCCTCTTCATTTTTCTTTCCTTTTTTCTCGAACACGTTTCTGAAAACAAGCAACAAAATTAATAGGTAAATAATCCTATTAATTGAATAAAAAATTAATTTTCGTTCAAATTAATTTATACTAAAATTAATTTCTATTCAAATTAATTTCATTAAAATTAACTTCCATCAAAATTAATTTCTATTAAAATTCAAATTTTAATTTTTAAAAAAATAGAAAATTAATTGCTATTAAAAAATAATTTTCAATCAAATTAATTTGCATTCAAATTAATTTATGTCAAAATTAATTTGCATTCAAATTAATTCCTATTAAACTTTTTTTCTACCTATTCAAATTAATTTTCATAAAAATTAATTTCTATCAATATTAATTTGCTTTAGAATTAATTTCTATTTAAATTAATTTTTATAAAAATGATTTCTATCAAAATTAATTTCTATTTAAATTAATTTCTATTCAAATTATTTGTGATAAAAATTACTTCTACCAAAATTAATTTTTGATGAAATCGATTTTCATTTAAATTTAAATTTAAATTTATCAGAAAATAGAAAATTAATTTCTGTCAAAATTAATTTGCATTCAAATTATTTCCTAATAAACTTTTTTTTACCTATTCAAATTAATTTTCAGTAAAATTAATTTCTGATAAAATTAATTTGCATTCACATTAATTTCTATTAAAATTCTATAAAAATCAATTTCTGACAAAATTAATTTCTATCAAAATTAATTTCTATTTAAATTAATTTTCATAAAAATGATTTCTATCAAAATTAATTTCTATTGAACTTTTTTTCTAATCAAATTATTTGTGATAAAAATTACTTCTACCAAAATTAAGTTTCGATTAAAATTAATTTCTGCAGAAATTGATTTTCATTAAAATTAAAATTGAAATTTATCAGAAAATATATTATTAATTTCTATTAGCATTAATTTTCATTAAAATTACTGTTTCCCAATTTTTCTCATTAAAAAAAAGAAAATTATATGCAAACAAATATTTGCAATAGATTTTATGCGAATTTAGAGGATATTATTTTGTAAATATGTACAGTTTAAGAGGTGTAAATAGTGGTTTATGCAGGAGTATAATAAAAGTCATTTGAAACTCTAGTGCGTAGGATGTTGGTGGTGATCGGACGTAAATTTAAGTAGAACGATTATAGTTAGAGTCAGACAAGTTCAATTTTAATATTCCCCGCGCTTAGAAAGGCATTAAATATATATTATATAACGCGCGTTGCACTTGAAATTACTTTCGTTGATTCAAAAAATTTTACAGTTGCATTATTTCTTTTATTTTTAATATTTTTTTTTCAATCAATTTCAAAAGAATCAAATTATTTCCTCTAATAATATTTTTTCACATTTTTTCTGCAGATATCAAATTGAGACAAAAAACAAATCAATTTGAAAAATTGAAAAACAAAATGTTGCGAAGCAACTTTTTTATTCGTTTTTTTTTGTCTCAATTCGATATCTGCAGAAAAATTGTTTTATTAATTATTATAATAATATTTATTACTATCATAGTAATATATAAAAATATTAAATTCATATTAATAAAAATATTAATTAAATTCATATTCAATATAAACTTTAGAATGACATTTAATTTCGAAATTTAGAATAATAAATTTAGAGATAAATTTTATCAGTTCCAAACTTTCTGTTGTATTTTTTTCTGTTTACATTATTTTTTGTTCTCTTTCCCTTTTCTGTCAGACCACTAGCAATATATAAAAATATTATTATTAACTTTTAATATTAATAAAAATATGAATTAAATTCATATTCAATATAAACTTTAGAGTGACATTTAATTTAGAAATTTAGAATAATAAATTTGTAGAGATAAATTTTATCAGTTCCAAACTTTCTGTTGTTCTTTTTCCTGTTCATGTTATTTTCTGTCAGACCACTTGTTTGAATTTTTGGAAAAAAGATCCGAGAGAATGTGTAAATAAATAATATTTGTAAGTGATACTATGAATAGATATTCACGTATTGCGATTAGTTGCATTAAATGTAATATAGATAGCTTCAGTGCTCGGAATCCTAGTGAGGTGAACGTGTTCTTGAGACTCTAGCTCCTTTCGGTTCAGTCATTCAAGAGTCATTCAGTGCACCATCTACTTCAGTGACGATAGGACTAAAAGTTATCTCTCTTCGATCCTTTTTTTTTCATTCACGTAAGTATCCGCTTTAAATTTTTTTCCTTCTATTAATTATTAAAGAAAATAAAAAGAAAATTAAAACGTACGGTAAAAGTGATATAATCATCCTTTGCATAGAAGTAAAAATAATTCGAGAAAAAAAATTGGAATTTTCATTGACACTATCATTTTAATAACAGACGTAATCAGGTTTCCTATGTCAGGCAAAGAGGTTTCTGTACATTCAGGACAAATTCCGATTTAATATTTCTACTTATTAAACGGGATAATTAGTCAACCTTGTCATTTAATCCTGAAACTGCAAACAGACCAGATATTAGTAAAAATAAAATATATATTCACACACCAGTTGCATTCTTAAATACACTTGAATTTTAAGTGAAAAATTATTAACGCCAATTTCGTTTATTTTAATAGTTAAATAAATGTTTATAGTGTCGGTAATTAAAATTAATGACAATTCGAAAAAATTACCAAATTAATTTAAAAATGCAATTTTCGTTATTAAATTTTCATTTTATAAAAAAATTTTCTTAAGTATTTTCAACGAAATTGAAATAAAATTGTTAAATATATTGTATTATTCTCGAATTCATAGTCGAGTGTAATTATCTACATAAACATATTTTTTTCTTGCTATTGACCCAATTACATTAATTAATAAATCGATAACTTTTGTCATTAAAAATCGTTTATAGTAAAATTATTAAATTATCAGGAAAGTAAATTTACTGACTTTATTAAAAATTACACTTTCAATAAAAAATTCTCCCTTGATCTACAAATATTTCTCAAATTAGTAAAAATAAAATTAATTTAACCATTTCACTAAAATTCTGAATTTATTCCCTCATTTATCTCTTTGTTAATTTACTGACAATTTAAAATAAAATATTGTTTTACAAAATATATTTTTTTTAATAGTAATTAAAGAATTTGAAATTTATTTCAGAATTTTATTTTCTTTGAAAAATTTTAATTTTAATTTTAATTATCTCTTCGGCAATATTAATAATAATTTTCTTTTAATAAATTAATTCTCTAATAATAGAATATAACAAAAAGTAACTCTAATTAAGTTTATTTTAATCTAATTATTATAAATATTAAAAAATATAATTAATTAATTTTGAAAAAAATCAGAATTTTATTTTCTTTGGAAAATTTTAATTTTCTCTTCGGCAATATTAATAATAATTTTCTTTTAATAAATTAATTCTCTAATAATAGAATATAATAAAAAGTAACTCTAATTACGTTTATTTTAATCTTTTTATAAATATCAAAAAACAATTACCATTAATTTTGTGAAAAAGTTACTTGCCAGGTAAAAAAATATAAAAAAAATGGAGTATAAAAAAAGATTAGAAAAAAATCGAGAATTCTCATTATTATATAAACGAATTGTTGGTAACGATCAAATTCTATTCACTCAAGAATTCAGTGGATATAAAGAAAAATTTTTTCGTATAAATTGAAAAGATCGATCATTTGTGTTGGCTTTCAAATGTACACATTATACGACACACGGAACGAATTAAATCTTATCGCTTATGCTTTGCAATTTCTTATGGTGCTCACATTACATTAGAACGAATGCATTTTCTTAAAATACGCACATATATTATTAAAAAATAATTTATTGAAGAATTACGATAAATTTTTCAAATTACATTAAAGTGAACACACTTCCCTAACGTTTAACATTTATATTATAATCTCTCACAACGTTAAATGTTGATTTAAATATCGATTGTGCAAATGTTTTATTAAAAAAAGAAAAAAATTCTCTAAATACATTTATAATTTGCAATCCCAGGAAGTGAGCGCATGATTTGTTTATAAACATATTTTCATAAATATTTCCCCTGCGATCTTCTTTTTTGACATGTGAATAAATCAGTATTTTTAATACGTGATATATTAAAGCAAACAATTAATTATGGGGAAAAAAAATTGAATTTAAGAAAGGAAAAAAGAAAGAAACGGAAAAAGAGTAAATTGAAAAAAGAGAGAAAAGAAAAAAGAGAGAAAAAGAGAGAAGAAAAAAGAGAGAAAAAGAAAAAAATGAAAAAGTTTGCGAATCGAAAAAAAGAAAAAAGGAATAATTCGACATATTCTAATTATTCATTTAATAAAGAAAAATACACGTGGTGATTCCGCGAAATTCTTATAAATACATTACGTATTCAACCCGTCGCGAACGTATTCAACCAGTAACTATTAGAATCTTTTTACTTTCACTAGATTTTTCTGTTCAACTATTATTACTCTTATTATAGTGTATTCTTGCCACATGCAACAAACTAATATTTATTTTTATATATAACACTGGTGGTCCTCGAAATTGCATACATTTAATAATTTAAAGTATAACACGACATAACATATTATAGTTCGTCAAAAAATATGATTGACGTCTATATATAAGTCGCAAGTCGAGCTATATATGAAATTTTAATATAAGTAACACGCGGAAATCGTTTCACCCTATTTTTAAATAATTAATAGATTTTGTTTTACGATCGAATTCAATTTTTCTTTTTTTTTCCTTCAGTTTTTTGACTTTGCACTACCGGTAGGCTAATTATTACTCTTTAGAATTAATTAGAACCTGTTCTCTTTAAATATTATTTATGGACACATTGAAAAATTAATTCCCATATTTTCATAATTTTATCAAAATAATTAAAAAAGAAATTTACTATTATCTCCACTACTATTCTTTTTTTAATAAAATAAAATTTTCTGCATCTGCATTTTTATTTTTTTTGTATATTTTTTTAATAAAATACTTTTTTACTAAAATTGTATTAAAATTACTTTTTAAACTAAAATACTATTTAAATTCTCGAATTATCATTTCTAGAAAAATAGAAAAAATCTAATAAAAACTAAAATTTATAGACACTTTAAAAAATTAATTTCTATAATCTCATAAATTTATCCAAATAATTAAAAAGAAATTTACTATTATCTCCATTTCTATTTTTTATTGTATTTTTTTCTTTTAATATAACAATTTTTTTACTAAAATTGGTAAAATTACTTTTTATACTAAAATACTTTTAAAATTCTCGAATATTTATTAAAAGAAAAATAGAAAAATAATTTAAAAGTTTACTATTAACTCTAATTTTTTGTATATTTTTTTAATAAAATACGTTTTTACTAAAGTTGAACTAAAATTATTTTTTATACCAAAATTTTTAAATTCTCGAATTTTCATTTCTAGAAAAATAGAAAAACTGTAGGAAATTTAATGAAAATTAATATTTGTAGAAACTAAAAAAAAATAATTCCCATATTTTCATAAATTTATCAAAATAATTAAAAAGAAATTTACTGTTATCTCCATTTCTATTTTTTATTGTATTTTTTTTCTTTTAATAAAACAATGTTTTTTACTAAAATTGGTAAAATTACTTTTTATACTAAAATACTTTTTGAATTTTCGAATATTTATTTATTGAAAAATAGAAAAACTGTACGAAATTTAATGAAAATTATTGTTTATAGAAACTTTAAAAAATTAATTTTTATATTTTCATAAATTTATCAAAATAATTAAAAAGAAATTTCAATATTTGTAGAGACTTTAAGAAAAAAATTCCCATATTGATATAAATTTGTCAAAATAATTAAATAGAAATTTACTACCAACTCCAATTCTATTTTTTTGTACATTTTTTTAATAAAATACTTTTTTGACTAAATTCTCTATAAAAACTGTAATTACTTTTTATTTAAGTATAAAAAAATACCTTTTAAATTCTCGAATATTTATTTCTATAGAAAAATTGAAAAACTTTATGAAATCTAATAAAAACTAATATTTATAGACACTTTAAAAAATTAATTCCCATATTTTCACAATTTTATCAAAAATAATTAAAGAAGAAATTTACTTAATTAACAAAATTTCTATTTTTTGTACATTTTTGTATTGAATTACATTTTTTCACTAAATTTACTAAATGCTAATATTACTCTTTGTACTAAAATACTTTTTAAATTCTCGAATTTTCATTTCTAAATAAGAAAATAGAAAAAATGTTTGAAATCCATTGAACCTATAATTTGGAAAATGAATAAAAAAAATGACTTCAATTACAATTTTGTAATCATTGCAATAAAATGCGAACACATGAGAAGCAATATGCATTAAAGTATAATCTACATAAACAGAAAATATGGGATATTAAAACAATTAGCACGGGACCATTGCCAAAGCGCTTGGTGCGCAAGAAGTGTAAAAATTTCAGTCATAAAAACTCGTCAGACTGGCTACTTTTTCTTTTTTTTGTATCTTTTCTATGATTGGAATGGAGATTGTGGGCTAATGTAATTTCCGACGCAATTTTAGCAAAATTAAATAATGTTTTTTTTGACTAACGAGTTACATTACATTACACTCATGATAAAACATTTGCACTTATTTTAATCAAACATTACGAATTGAATTGCATTTCAAATTAAAGAAAAAAAAAACCTGATTGAACAATTATCACGAATCGCGAAAGAAAATTGCCAATTGTAATAATTTTCTATCCGCTCATTAAACTTTTGTAATAACCTCATTAACGTGATGAATGCAACAGTTGGTGAATATATGATCATCATCATCATGACGATATTCTTTTCTTTGAAGACGGAAAAATTTTTCATATTTTTCATAAGTAGAAAAAAAAATGGTAAATTATACCTTTTTGATTATTTTCAAGTCCTTTTAAATTCTTCTGTCTATAATTGAGGAGATCCATCTCCTTCTTTCATTGATCATTCCTTCTGCGTAAAAAATTTTCTAGAATTGTGGGTCACATTTTTTTTTCGTTATCCGATCGAGGTCGTGAATCTCCCCATTTATGTCGCTGCAAAAAAAAAATCGTCAAAAAATTAATGACGCACAAACTTCTTTTTTTTTAATCATCATAAATATATAAATTTGCGACTATTATGCAATTCTTTGGAAATCTCGCCTCTAATGAATTCCATATCGATTCAAATAAATTTTTGTATGATGCAAATTATTCCTGAAACTAAAAGTATTTTAGATTCCTATATTTTGTGTGTGAGAGGAGATAAAATCAAATCTACGATTGTTGTATTTGAATTGACTTTCATTCACCACTCCCACATTATTTATAAACTAGCAAAATTGATACGCGCGGAACGCGGTATTCAATTTATTATTATTTTGTTAATTAAACAACTTTATATTTTCAAGAATAAACTTCAATTTTTGTATGATTACAAATTAAAAATTTTGAAGAATTCACTTATTATAATATTAAATATTTTTGATTATTATTATTCAAAAATATTAATAAAATTTGTCGCAAGAATTTCATTATTCTCAAAAAATAATAAAATTCCTTAGAGCAATTCAATTATTTTCAATACAATTTTAATAAAATTTCTCGAAAGAATACAATTATTTTTAAAAATATTAATATTAATATAATTTATATCAATTAAATTTATTTACAAATTTCTTTAATTGTAAAATTATTCAAAAACATCAATAACTTCTTTTTTAAATAAATATTTAATCATTATTATTTTTCCGTAGGAATTAAAATTCTTCAAAACTTTTAAATTAAATAAAAATAATTTATTGAATAATTGAATGTTTTTTAAAATTGAATTCTCATAAAGAATTTTATTAATAAATTTTAAAATAATTGAATTCTTTTGACAAATTTTAATAAAAATTTTTTAAGAATAATTACATTTCTCGAGGAATGAGATTAAAATTGTATCAAAAATAATTAAAATCCTGCGATGAGTTTTATTATTTTATGAAAATAATTCAAATTTTCCCAAGAATTTTATTAAAACTTTTCTAAAATAATTGAATTTCGGAGAAGAATTTTATTATATATAAAGATACTGGTAATTTCGACAAGAATTTTTTTTTTAACTTTTGAACTATTCCAACGAATTTCATTCAAGTTTATAAAAATAACTGAATTTCTGTGAAGAATTTTATTATTTATATAAATAATTGAATTTTGGTGAAAAATTTTATTATTTATAAAAATAATTGAATTCTTGAAAAGAACTTTGTTAAATCTTTTTAAATAATTGAATTCTTGCGATGAATTTTACAAAAATCTTATTAAATAATTGATATTTTTCTAAAATTTTTTTGAATTTTTGTATTTTAAATAATTGAATTCCTGTGAAAATTTTTTTTATACTTATAAAAATAATTGAATTATTTCGAAGAAATTTATAAAAAAATTTGTAAATAATTGAATTCCTGTGAAATTTTGCTAAGAATTTTGTTAAAATTTTTTTAAATAATTGAATTTCGGAGTATTTCGAAGAAGAATTTTATTATTTATTCTGCGAACAATTTTTATAACTTTTAGAAATAAGTGAATTTTTGAGAATAATTTTTTGAAAGTTGTATTTAATCTAATTGAATACCTAAGAAAAATTTACTATTTATTGATATAATTGAATTCTTAAGAAGAATTTAAATAATTTTTCCTGGAATTCAATAAAATTGTATTTAAAATAATTGAATTCCAGCGAAAATATTATTATTTATGAAAATAATTGAATTCTTGATAAAATTCAATTACTTTCAAAATTTTCAGTAAAAATTATTTAAAAAAACTCCACTATTTTCAAGAATTTTGAAATAAATTCTTCAAAACAATTAAAATATTTTAAAGAATTTTAAGAAAAATTTTTGCCTAAAATTAAATTATTTTCAATACAATTTTAATTACATTTTCTCAAAAGAATTCAATTATTGAGAAAAATGTTGATAAAGTCCTCGAAGTGAATTCAATTATTTTCAAATTTTTTTTATAAATACTTTGTAAGAATTCAATGATTTTCAGTACATTAATTTTAAAATTTTAAATTTATTTAATTTAAATAAAAAAATTTAAAAAGAAAAATTTAAAAACTTAGTAAATAAAAACTCTTGTAATTTAAAGCCGGTTCTGAATAAATAAACAAAAAATTGATTCACTTGATTTTATGTTTCAAAAATGAATAAAAAATTTAGATTCTGAAAATGATGTAAAAAATCGATTCAATATTTACTTTTTGATAAAAAAGAATGCGTTGTAAAAAATATTGACTCGAGACGAGGAGAAAGAAAATAACAGCAATAAAAAAAAGGTTTACAAAGAAAGTATTTTGAATGTAAATTGCATATAAGGCTTGCATATTCTTTGCAATAGTAAATAGAAGAGCTGTGTCAACATTTGTTCACACAATCATCTCGTATTTTACTTTCATTGCTATTATGATAAAGTAATAAAACTAAAGTGGACTTCTAATTACAAAAATTAAATTAACTGATTAAAAAAAAGTAATAATACCATATTTACTCGTTATGACCAGATTTAACAATTAATAATTAATATATTAAAATAAATGTCAGTTAATTACTAATAAATGTTAATAAATGTTAATTAATTACTACTAGATGTTAGTTATTTAAAAATTAATCTACTATAATTTTCCTGTTTAATAAAAATAGTTAATTTTATAAAGTGTCTAAAATTCTTGTATTTAAATTTTACCTTTGTGAATGCAAGAAAGTCCGATTTGCTAATTTGATATATGCTCCAGACGCAGTTATAATAAAAGTCTAGCTTGAAAAGAACTAAATGTGTATTTAAATCTGAGAACGTTATTTTATGTAATAAAAATTCATGCAGCAGAAAACGAAAGTGACATTTGAGAACTGCTAGAAAGTGCCTCTGTTTAGCACACACATACAGTTTAAGGTCCAAATTTTCTAAAAGTCACTGTCCGATTCCTTCGAATTGTAAAAAAATACCATTTTGGCGAAATAAGAATTAAAAAATGATAATTGTAACACTTTTTGACTTTTTGTTTATAACGACTTAACCTGTACATAGTCAATTAATCATAATTGACACATAGTTTTATCATAGGCAGATAATATTTTCTAAATTCTTTCGCATTTATAATGACAGCAATTAATCATGTTCACTTAATTTCCCACTAACAGTAATATTTTTTACAGTAAAATTAATAATAAAATGAATAAACGAAAAAAGAAAACAAGTGCGAAAAATAATCAACCGTTAAAGTGCAAACTGTCAAACTGTTAAAGTGTTACCAACCTAACAATGAATGATTGTTGCAATAAATCGATAGCAATCGAAAAGAGTAATTTTCATTGGTTGACGATTTAATACGTAAACATTCCCATCCAATCAGGAGGGATAACAAATTATCCGAAAATAAACAAAATGGCGGAACTTCCGTATTTAAAAGCTAACGAACTTTTTCGCATTGTTGACATTTTTAAGTAATTAAAAATGTAACAAAAGATTAATATTTTCATTGTTAAAGTTTACACAGTTATAGTTTACATTGTAAATGTCTAATGTGTTTACATACTTAAAACATTGTATCCTTTGTATAAATAGTATTAATTTATAAACAGAAAATTAAATTATAAACATGAAAAACTTTGTTTTGCAGGATATTCAGGGCGCCGAGGAAATTAATAACAGAAGTGCGTGACCGTGAAAAGTGTTATCAATTGCACGTGGAACACGTTCGGACGACTTCGGCCTTTAGCCGAGGGCAAATTCGTCCAGCCGGTTCCACCCCAAACGCACCCTCGGCAAACGTGGGAATCTAACCTCAAAATTCAATTTGTCAATAATATGAATGGCAGAGCAAAGAACTGAGAGTTTTTAAAGACGCTATGTGGTTTTAAAAATTATTGTGGTGTCGGGTTATTTCACCGATTTGCAAAAGCGTGAAGAGTCATACAATATAAACATAAAAAATAAAAGTGCGGATTTTATTGAGCTTCGGAGAAGGCACAATGTCATTCTTAAAATCTACCGGCGATGTGATAGGATTTCTTCTGCTCTCAGCGATGGCAATTGTTGAGAGCTTGGTCCGGATGTTCATACCATTAAAATATAGAATGAAAAGTGTTTCCGGCGAAATTGCACTTATTACTGGAGGAGGCGGTGGACTTGGACGATTACTTTCTCTTCGCTTGGCTAATCTTGGTGCCATTGTTGTTGTTTGGGACATCAATAAACAAGGTATAAAGTTGTTTTTCATTTTTTTATCATTATTATTTTCCAGTTATCTTTTTATTATCCAGATGAAAATTTTTTTAGTTTTTGTATTTTTATTTCTATTTTATTTATTTTCTGAAATTTGAATTAATATGATGAAAAAATGGAAAATAAGAAAAAAGTTCTTCCGGAATACTCTTGAGGGGAAACAAAAGTTTTTATTGATTTTTGTGACAGAAAGTTGAGAAATGTGTATTTATTATCATTAATATTATATTTCAGTGATGTAGGCCAAGGGTAATATTAAAAACAAATCGCGCGGAATACAAGAAAATAATGTAAATATTTACATTAGCAAAACAAACATCCAGTTTTTAGATAAAAAAATTTGAAATAATTAACTAACTACTTATTATCTTTCATTAAACTTATTAAGTACATAATTACTATTGTTTATTATTTTTAATTATTTTAATAAAATTCATTTCAAGAATTTAATTATTTTCATATTAATAACATTCTTTGGAAGAATTCAATTATTTTTTTTAAAAATTTTATTATAATTTTTCCATAGAATACAATTATTTTCTAAAATTTTAATGCATTCTTAGAAATAATTCTATTATTTTTATAAATAGTAAAATTTTTGTCAGGAATTAAATAATTTTTAAAAATAATAAAATTTGTCTCGGAAATTAAATTATATTCATAAGTAATAAAATTCCTCGGAAGAATTTAATTATTTTCAATACAATTTTAAAAAAATTTCAGGAAATAATTTAATTGTTTTCTAAAATTTTAATAAATTCTTCGAAATAATACAATTTTTCTTATAAATAGCAAGAATTAAATAATAATAGGCTAATAATTATTATTATTATTTTAAAAAACTACATTATTTTTTAATAACTTTAAAAAATTCTTCATGAAATTCAATTACTTTAAAGAATTTCAATTAAAATTATTTTAAAAACTCCATTATTCTCAAAAATTTCAAAGAGTTTCTTCAAAAGTATTTATTTAATTAGGATTTTTAAAAATTTTAATAAAATTCAATTATTTATGTAAATATTAAAATTCTTGCCAAAAATAAAATTAATTGAAATTTATTAACAAAATTCTTCACAAAAATTCAATTATTTATGTAAATAATAGAATTCTTCAAAGGAATTCAATTATTTTCAAATTTATTGATAACATTTTTCTCAAGAATTCAATTATTTATATTAATAATTAAATTCTTTAAAGGAATTTAACTATTTTCAAATTTATTAATAAAATTCTCCACAAAAATTCAATTATTGATATAAATAATTGAATTCTTGATAAAGATTCAATTATTTGAAATTTATTGATGAAATTCTTTGCAAAAATTCAATTATTTATGTAAATAATAGAATTCTTCGAAGGAATTTAATTATTTTTAAATTTATTAATAAAATTCTTCGCAAGAATTCAATTATTTGAAATTTTTTGATGAAATTCTTCGCAAAAATTCGATTATTTATGTAAATAATAGAATTCTTCGAAGGAATTCAATTATTTTTAAATTTATTAATAAAATTCGTCGCAAGAATTCAATTATTTGAAATTTATTGATGAAATTCTTCGCAAAAATTCAATTATTTATGTAAATAATAGAATTCTTCAATGGAATTTAATTATTTTTAAATTTATTAATAAAATTCTTCGCAAGAATTCAATTATTGATATAAATAATAAAATTCTTGCCAAGAATTCAATTATTTGAAATTTATTGATGAAATCCTTTGCAAAAATTCAATTATTTATGTAAATAATATTATTTTCAAATTTATTGATGGAGATTCTTCGCAAAAATTCAATTATTTTTGTAAGTAATAGAATTCTTGAAAGGAATTTAATTATTTTCAAATTTATGAATAAAATTGTTTACAAAAAATCCAATTATTTATATAAATAATAAAATTGTTGCCAAAAATTCAATTATTTGAAATTTATTGATGAAATTCTTCGCAAAAATTCAATTATTTAAGTAAATAATAAAATTCTTTGAAGGAATTCAATTATTTTCAAAAAATTTATTGATGGAAATTCTTCGCAAAAATTCAGTTATTTATGTAAATAATAAAATTCTTCGAAGGAATTGAATTATTTTCAATTTTATTGATAAAATTATTTTCAAAAATTCAATAATTTTCAAAACATTAATTTAATATCGATTTCTCAATCTTAATTTTATACAAAATTACTTTTAGAAGACAAATTATTTTTTTTTTATATAATTTATTTTATCGAAAATTTTTCTTTAACATCAAGAGAAAGAATTATTACTAATTATTGGAAAAAATAACTGTTTATGTTTATTTCATTGCTCGAAATGTTTTCATTCGGTTTTATGATAGAAAGATATTTTTTGCATTTGTTTTAGAACCTCGACTGAAATAATGTAATTCATAGTTTATAGCCTAGTCTACTGACCATAAAGAATGTATTTAAGCAAAATATCAGGATTTATGGCCAATTTTTAAGATTTAACTATTAATTTTCGTATTTCACGTCAATGTTCAGAAAGTTTCAAACAATATTTTTATTACTTGTTTTAATTTAAATTTTATTTACAAAATGTTCTTTGGAAATGAAGAAGAATTAGTTAAATAATTAACTAATTAATTAATTAATTAATTAATTCTTTCATTGTTACTTTAATTTTTTTCTTTAATTACCAAAAATTTTTTCCATCATTAAAAAATTATTTAAATAATTCTTTAATTGTTACTCCAATTTTTTACTTAAATTAACAAACATTTTTTCCAGCATTAAAAAAATCATTTGCGATTGAGAACAAAACGGATAAAAAGAATAATTATCTCTCTCAATTATTATGCAATAATTCAAAGATTTAATGAATGAATTTTTAAAGGAGGAAAAAAGAAAATCTTTCCTTAGACAATAAAGATTATTGTGTCGATGTTATATATACAATTCGCATAAACATGTATAAACTTGTGAAATTATTAGCACACCATCGTGACTAACTTTTACGATCTTTACGATAATTGGACCGCTTCTGGTTAATTTCTAAATGGGCGTAAACAATGATCTCTATATACAATTTTAAAAACATTTCATTCAAGAGTTTCACTTTGCGAAAAGTCAATGTTCCTTTCTTTTTACGATCTTATGAAGCTTGGCATTGTCACTCGAACGTAAAATAATACCATAAATAAAGTGAAACCTTGAAATAGAAACTAAATTATTCTTTTTTATGCAAAAAAAGAAAAAACTCGTTTTATGATTTTCGAAAATTTTTCTTTTTCATTATTCATTTCCAAAACTATTGTTCGAATACAATAGTTTCCCATTTTGAAATTTCTACTATTGTCTATTGTAAAATTTTTATGGAGAAAAAAAGAAATAAAATCTAAGAGTATCTCGAGAGTTAAGAGTGGAATTTAAAATTTAAATATTTCAATATTTTTCATTTTTATTGAGTGATGAAAATTTGCAAAAAATGCAGATGAATAATTAGTCAATTATTATGATAATGACGATAATGAGGAATCTTCACTATTTATTTATAGACGTTCCAGTTTGTGTTAAAACTGGTCTTGTGTCATTAATTTCTTATCATGGAGATTATTTTGAAATTCGTTATAAATTTTATCATTGTTATAGATTTATGTTATATATTTGCGCATAATTATAATCCGGTTGCAAATTTCATTTCTAAAATAGAAATGCAATTTATAAATCAATGTTTAAACAAACTTCTGCGAAAATTACTGAAACGATAAATTTTCATTTGTGAAAATATGTTGAATTTTTTTTGCGAAAGATGTATTTTATTGCATTCAAACAAACGATATTTTACAGTAAATTGGACTATTAGTTATTAAAAGCAATCAGCTTCTGAAATACGCACCTTTTCTATTAATAATGAAACTTTATTATATTAAACTGTATAGATATATATTGTGAAAACAAAACTGTTATCACGAAAATATAGATTTCTTAATATGAATTTATGACGATAGCAAATTTGCCAATTACTTTATCGCAATCGAAAATTACATAATTAGCTTCTATCTAAATTGCATAAGTCCCATAAATTTGAAAAAAATATAACACCTGTAAAGTTGTAATTTATCACACACAATGTTATTGAATGTAAATTTAAATTAAATGTGCGAATTGTTTTGTTGATGTCAAAATAAGATTTTTTCTTTTTTAGTTTCATTCGATTCATTATCGACTTTTTGATAATTGCAATTGAAATTATTTTGTTTATTTTATTTTCAAATTCGATTCCTTTTGAATTTTAGTTTCTGTAAATTAAAATTTCGTCAAAAATATTAAAATACTTTTTTTATACGACACAGGTCGGAAAGTTTTTTATCACTTCCGATCAGACAAATTTTTTTTTCACTCTTCTGATTTTTATTGAATTAATAAATTTATTAATAAATTAATTCAATTACAATTTTTTTTTGTCACTGTCCTGTCTAAGAGACAAAGGAGAATTATTGCTTTTTTATTGAAAAATTAATTTAATTTATTAAACATTTTAATGAAATGAAACAAAAAATAGAATTGAGAGAAAAAATATTTTCATATTTATTAAATTTATTATTTTATTTTTATTTATTATTAGATTTATTATTTATTGTCTTCATTAATTGTAATTTTTTTTCTAGTTGGGGCGCGGAAGTAAATATATTTTCTATTGATGTGATGTAATCATTGGAACGATTGTTATTGAATGACAATATAATGTGAAATATATTATTTCTAAATTGGATAAATACACAATGTTTAAAACAATGAAAAAAAGGGAAATCGCCACATAAGAGAAACAGTTTCGACTAACGGTCCGATCAGAAACAAGTCCCTTGTTCACTATACACTCGCTAAACATCATGAGCAGCCGGTTTTATCTTTTTCAAGGTTTTCAACATTGTTGGAAAAATTCTACTCCACTTTTTAATTACATTGTTTATAAATAACAAAAATAAAATATGCGCGTTTATAATGAAGAAAAACGTAGTAAATTAGAATTATAAATCGTTTCTTTGAAAACAGAAGGAAAGGAAGAGAAAAAAGAAAAAAGAATTCAAAAGCAAAAAAATTTGAGACATTTTTCGAAATATTTTTAAATTCTGAAAAAAGGAGAAGAAGCTGAAAATAAAAAAGCAAAAATTTTTATTTTACTTGACAAAACAAATTTATAATTCAAAAACAAAATAATGAGATGTAAAATAATCAGCTATAAAAAAAGAGCGTTTTGACAATCGTGAATTTTTTCTATAAAAAATGAAAAATTTTTGCAAAAAATATTCTTCAGGAAGAAAGGAAAATGAGGTACCATTTTATGAATAAATATAGGTACCACACTTTTTCTTTTTATTAACTTCCTAAAAAAGAGGAACAAAAAAATTATTCCCATCACGCAATACAAAAATGAGAGCACGCGATTGTATCTTCGTAATTGCGATTATGATGAGGTTACTATTTTTTTTTTTTTTTTTTGCACTTTCAACTATATTTTTGAATCATCCTTGTGCAAAGAAACTGACAGTGTCTTACTCGTTATTTACTTTCACTTTATAACTCACAAAACATGCGTGAGTGTGTGTAAAAAAAAGAATTCTAGTCGATTATTCTTAATTTGAAACAATTATCACTTAGGTTCATGCAACATTTAACACTTAATTGCTATAAATTTAAAAATTGTATAACTTTTTTTTCTATTTTATCTGAAAGAGACAATTTTTTCCTTTTAAGTAATTAAAGAAAAAATAAACTAGAAATACATTTTCTAAAATAATTTTCTTTTTTTTTCTTTTAGGTTTTCTATTTTTCTTTTTTGCAGTTTTGTTAATTTTTTACTTTTAATTTTGTAATTTAATTTTTTTTGTAATTCTTTTTTGACAGTGGGAATAATAATAATTAAATGAATTCTTTTGAAATTTCAAAAAATTAAATTAATGGTTTTGAATATTTCTGAAAAAATAAAGTGGGGTCAAAATTTGTTCCAGTGATGACAATGTTGGCATATTTTTTCTTTTTTTTCCTTTTTAGTGATATATACCGACCATTTACACGTCTGTCTTAACGAGGTTCGCTACTACTTAAAGCCTGACTAATAAATCCTCTCGCATAATGTTTCAAGGAAAGTATCACGCATGCAGTCATGACACTTGTCTCTTATTCCACCTTGTACAAAAAAAGGACACTATAAAATTTATTCACACTCGTATAAGCACAAAAAAAATTCTATTACATTTTTTTTTCTTTTCAATTTTACTATATTAATACTTAAGATTCTTATCTTAAGTATTAATAATTATTCCTATGATTATTATCCGAAAAAATAATTATTCTTATAATTATTTTTCCCGATTTCTTACATTGCAAATTGTCATTAGTAATTATATTTTTTTATCAGCAGGGAAAAATTAATTCATTGTATTTCAAATTTTTTTTCAGAATTTGAGAAAAATTAATTTATATTCCTTATTTTTTCAGAATTGAGAAAAATTAATTAATTATGTTCTATATTTTTCTCCAGAATAGAAAAAAATTAATTATATTCAGAATATAATTAATTTAAAAAAAAAAAAACCAACCTGGAAACCTGGAAATGTCAGGGAATTTTATAAACCTTGAAAAAACCTGGAAAATTAGTGATTATATTAGAAATTATAATTTAATCGTCAAATAATTTTTTTTCTCTTCTTTTGCAGGTATCGAGGAAACGGTGAAATTGGTACAAGCTTCTGGAGGAACTTGTTACGGGTATCTCTGTGACCTCTGTGATCGTGAAGACGTTTACAAAAAAGCGTCAATTCTCAGAAAAGAAGTTGGAAGAGTAAGTTTTGCAAAAAAATAGAGAATTTAGAAATTTATGTCAGTTCTCGATATAATAATCAAGAATTATTTTTTTTCTCCTTTTTTTTCTTTGTTAAAAATTAGTTCCTTCAATTTTTCACTCCGCTGATTTTTATGCTTCGCGTAATTATAAAAACATGACCTGAATGAAATCAGCATTTTAAAATAAGTAATTTGCGGGATGAGTACACATTTGTTTTACATATATATCCACGAAAAAAAACCGAGTAAATTGAGTAAAAAAGGTAAATTAATTTATTTCGCTAATAAGAGTATTTTTATTTTTTTCTATAGTAGTGCTGTCAGAAAGCCACTTGAAACGAGTGTAATTCACTGTATTTATAGTTTAAGTGATTTAAGAAATTTATATAATAATTTATCGGTTAATTTTTATATAAAACCTTATATTTTATATAAAAACATGGGTACTTTATATAATTAATGATGTAAAGAATTATTAATTTATTTATTTCTTTATTTATTATTTACAATCTGTTATTTTTCATTTATTTATCTTATCTTTTACTTTGGTATTTACTTTTTGATTTCGATTTCTTATAACAGTAACAATATTATTGCCAAATGACTTTGTAAATTTATTTGTAATTGTTTGGAATTAATTTGTAGTTTTCTTTGTGGTTAATTTAGTAATTATTAATTAAAGGCATTTAATGAGAAGGCAAGAAATGTAGTTTATTAAAAAACTTTCTTTCTAATGAATTTGTCAGGTAGATATTAAATGTTCTAGAAAAAAAAAGAAAAGGGATATTTTAGCTGTCAATTTTACGGTCGAATTTCGGCCAGTGACGCCATTTTTTTTTTGCATCTGCGACTCAATTTACCGTTTAGCCTACATTTCTTACGGAAATTTATGTACATGCTATTTTTTTCACTACTTTCTCAAAATTTATCTTGATCAAAAAACTATTCACGTTACATAATATCAAAAAAAAAAGTCTTGTCATTTTTTTCTCACAAGGAGTAAAAGTAGTGAAAATATGATCCACAAGTTTCGAATGTTCAAATGAAGGAAGTATTTTTTATTAAAATTATTTTCGTAAATTACTGATTGAAACAAAAATAAAGAAACCTAAATTTTACATTTAGAAACTGTGTAATTAATTATTTTTTTAGTAAAGTAAAATTATTGTCAACGAAATTTAATTTGATGAATAAGAAATAAATAAATTTTGTTCAATTGAATGTTTGGAACTTTAAGATCGTGTAATCATTTTTTTTCCGATTTTAGAAAAATTTCAAAACAAAAATTGTGTAAACTGACATATTTTAGGCGTCGGATGGTATAACTTTTTAGACTTTTTCCGACTATTTTCAAAAATGCTGATTTTTTTTCAATTTATTTTCAAAAAAAGGAGTAAAAAATAATTATAGACAAATTTCTGAAAATTTTTCAATATTTTTATTTAATATTTGAAATAGGTATATAATTAAAAAGTTTCTAAATACTGGAAATTTTCTATAAAATTTTATTGAAAATAATTCATTTAAATAAATTAAATTAATAAATAAAATAATTTTTTTTGAAGAATTTAAATCGCAAAGTATTGAATTTTTAAAAATTTTAATGATAAATCTTCAAAGTGAAAATTTGGAAATAAAAATTAATCAAAATCTACATTAAAAAAATTACATTACAATTTTTGTAAAAAATTATATTTCTTACTATTATTAAAATTTTTAACATTTTCAATTAAAATTCCCAAAAAAATTGATTAGTTTTTAAAAATTATCCAAAAATTCTTTTAAGAAATTCAATTATTTGGGAAAAAACCATTAAAATATTTTTAAAAAATCAATTTTAAAAATGTTTTTAGAAGAATTTATTTTATATTCAATTATTTTCAAAGAAAATAAATTGAAATTTTTGAAAAATCTATTTTTTAGACTTTTCATAACAATTTTTAGAGAAATAATGTTTTTTAAAATTATAAATTAAGATTTTTAAAAATCTTGATTATTCTTGATTATTTTACAAATTCTTTATAAAAAATTCAATTATTTTTCAATTTTTTTTTTACTAAATTTCAATTATTACGAAATTTTTCAAATATGTAATTGAAAAATCTTTTATCTTTCAAAAATTATTTTAAACTACTTTTAAAAAACTAATTTTAAAAATGTTTTCATTAGAATTTTTTATAAATTAAATTATTTACGAAAAAAGTAAATTGAATTTTTAAAAAATTAAATTATTTCCGAAAAAAGTAAATTGAAATTTTTAAAAAACTCACTTTCTCACAATTATTATTAAAAATTTTGGAGAAAACAATTATTTTCAAAAGTTTCAATTAACAGGTAATTTTTCGAAAAATTGATTAGTTTTTTAAATGTCAGAAAATTCTTTTAAAAAATTCAATTATTTGCGAAAAATTATATTTTATTTTTTAATAATTAATTCATAGAATTTTTTCACCATAATTTTTCTAATTTCAATTATTTCCATTTCTTTTTTATTACAAATATTTTCAATAACTCACTTTAGAAAATTTCTTTCCTTTTTTTTGAAAAACTGAATAGTTATTTAGTTTTTTAAAAAAAGGAATAGTTGCAATTATTATAACAAATTGAAGTTTCGTAGTTAAATAATTCACATCTTGGAGAACTTTCGGAAAATTATTGAAAATACACAGTTACAGTTGTAATTTTTAGAAGTAATTAAATTTAAAAATAATTTTGAAAGTTTTAATTTCTTGTGAAAAGATAACTAATGAATATTTAAATATTTAATCAGTAAAATTGTTGATTTTTTGAATAATTCGATTTTTGAATTTGAAAATTAATCAGAAAATCAGGAAAATACAAAATGAAATTTTTGTCATATAACAATAAAATTTAAAAGAAAATGTTTTTTCGAATTTTTCGATTTTTTAAATCTTTAATCGACTAAAGCTTCTTCTTTGCGCCTTAAACTCGACCCAAGACCTGATATTTACTTTTTTAAAATAGTTTTTATAAGAAATTAAATCATTCTGTGTCAATTTATTTTTTCTAGAATAAAAAGGAAAAAAATTTGAATGATAAATATGAATAAATTAAAATCTACTTGACCCGGTTGTAATTATCAACTGAAAAGTTCAGCTTGAGTGAAATTAATGTCAATTTAATGAGTATTTATTTATTTTTCTTTTTCATTTCTTTTTTTTTTATTATTAATGTCGTTGAACTTGAGGAGAGGAGGTCTAGACAAATTATTATCGAACATCCACATAGTGACAATCGTGAATCGTTTATAGAGAAACTTGGAAGAACTTTAAAATGACTTTTACTGCAGAAAAGTTTTGTCTATTATATGTACCTATTTTATACTTGTGTTGCTTGTCGAGTCATTCTGTATGGAAGCGATTCCAAAGAGGGGATGGCATTATGAAAGTCCACATTACGCCATAAGATTGCAATACCTATGTTTCTGATATGTGGCACGCTCGACCTGTTTTAGAAGACTGAAGAACATCACATGTTTGTGGAAAAAAATTTGCAATAGGCATTTTATTCTTGAGAGAAAAAATCAAATTTCCAATTTTTTTCCTTTTTTGTCTTACGAAAGAAAAAAAAATGCCAATAGTTAATTTTTAATTAATATATTTGTTTATTAACTACTGATTTTCTTTTACAGGTCTCGATTCTTATCAATAATGCCGGAATAGTTACGGGACAGAAATTCCTGGACACTCCCGATAAAATGATAATTCGAACTATGGACGTGAATATTATGAGTCATTTTTGGGTGAGTGGAGAAAGAAAAAACAAAAATTACTCTAATAGAAAAATATATATTGCAATTTCTCACTGATGCGGCAAGGACTTTCGAATTGAAAAATTCATTAGAATTTTCGAATTACAAAAGTATGTGCACAGAGAGAACACGATTTCTTAATGCTGAAAGTCTGTTCTCTCGAATCTAATCTCATTAGTAAGAGATTTCACTGGACTTTTTTTTCCGAATTTTTATACTACATGAGTATGAAGTAATTGACACGTTTTAAATTGGGAGACACTTGAAGTAAAACAGAATATTTCCATTCGTTTCGTAAAAGGAGAATTTTTTTTCTTTTTGCATTTAAAAGATCTCTCTTGCGACTAAAAAGGATAAAAACGATTAAAGTTAATCGGTGTTTGAAGATGAAAAATATTTTTGAGCAAGCGAAATTTTCCATTCAATTTAAAAAACAATTTTTTTTTTTGGATCGCAAGGACAGATTTTTAAGAGAAAAAAAAGGCAATTTTCATTGAATGGATAAAGAAAATATAATAAATTACAAGGACTATGGGAATTCAGTCAAGGAATTTGTAGTGAGAGGTACATTATGCGCCCTATGCCTCTTATTTCTCTGACATGTTGCCGTTGGTCAGGTGCATAAACCGGTCGGATCACTCGTTTGTACCGTCATATCATTTGCGAAACTATCAAAGCCTTCCGAATAGAGAAAAATTATTAGATCAAAACGGCAATCGTGTGCCAACAACCTGACTAGAAAAATTAATATGCACAATTATTATTTCTTCAATTTCTCCTTTTTGTTGGAAAAAAAAGAAAAATTATATTTTCGCAATTTTTTCCCCTTGAAATATCTAAATTTAGACGGAGTTTTGAATCTTTCTTAATCTATCGTTAGATTTTGTTATTATCAAAATTAGTTAAGCTTAAGTTATATTAAAATATCTCCGAGTAATAAATTCAATTATTATTTTTTTCATTTTAATTCAATCAAATATTATAATCTATATATAGTTAATTATAATAAAATTTTTTTGATACTTTTTCTTTTTAAATTAATTAAATTCTAATAATTTAATTTCTAATTTAATATTTAATAAAACGTAATTTAATTAATTTAATTTATCATTCTAAAATATAAAAATAGTTTCTTATAAATTATTGTAGAAAAACTAATTTTTATAACAGAAAAAAATTTTTCTTTCACTCTTTCAAGGAATTTTATTAAAATTTTTAAAAAATAATTCTATACCTCCAAAGAATTTTATAACTTATGAAAATAATACTATTCTTGCGACGAATTTTATTCAAATTTTTGAAAATAATTGAAATCCTCCGAAGAATTTTATTATTTAAGAAAATAATTGAAACCTGCAAAAGGATTTTACTTTTTTCGAAGATAATTGAATTTTTAGGAAGAATTTTATTAAAATTTTTGAAAATAATTGAAATCTTTCAAAGATTTTTATTAAAATAATTGAAAATAATTGAAATCCTCCGAAGAATTTTATTATTTAAGAAAATAATTTAAACCTGCAAAAGGATTTTACTTTTTTCGAAGATAATTAAATTTTTAGGAAGAATTTTATTAAAATTTTTGAAAATAATTCAAAAAACTTGCAAAGATTTTTGTTAAAATTTTTGAAAAATAATATATGTAATTGTTTCGATGAAAATTTAAATTCTTTTGAGGAATTTAATTAAGATTGTATTGAAAATAATTGAATTTTTAGAAAAAATTTTATTAAAATTTTAGAAAATAATTGAATTCTTTTGGATAATTTTATAACGAATTGAGAAAAAAATTGAATTCTTTGATATGAATTGAAATTGAATTTAATTGAAATTTTATTGCTAATAATTGAATTTTTGCAAAGATTTTACTATTTTAAAAAATAATTGAATTATTTCGAAAAATTTATTAAAATTTTGATGAAAATAATTGAATTTTTGCAAAAAATTTGATTAAAATTTTTGAGAAAATAATTGAATTTTTTGGAAGATTTTTATTAAAATTTTGGAATTTTTAATTCTTGCAAAGAATTTTATTAGAAATTTCGAAAATAATTGAATTATTTCGAAGAATTTTTTACAAATATTTTGAGATATGTACAATTAAATTTTTTTCAAAAAATTTAATCAAATTTGAATTTTTACGAAAAATTTTATTATTTGTTAAAATAATTCAAAGCTTGTGACAAAATATATTTAAATGTTTGAAAATGATTAAATTCTTTCAAGAAATTTTATTCAAAATGCACTGAAAATAATTGAATTCCTATGTTGAATTTTATTTATTATAACAATATTTGAATTTTTGTGAAGAATTGTATTATTTTCAAGGAATTTATTTAAAATTGTATTAAAAGTAATTGGATTTTTAGAAAGAATTTTTTTAAAAATTTGTTAGAAAATAATTGAATTCTTTGGTAGATTTTTATCAAAGTTTTGGAAAATAATGAATTCCTGTGATGAATTTTATTATTTATGAAAATAATTCAATTCTTGTGATGAATTCTGTTAAAATGTTTGAAAATAATTAAATTCTTTCAAGAAATTTAATCAAAATTGTATTTGAGAATAATTTAATTCTTTCAAGAAATTTACTGAAAATTGTACTTAAAAATAATTGAACTCCTGAATAAAAATTTATTATTTGTGAAAATAATTAAATTCTAGCTCCGAAGTATATTGAAATTTTTGAAAATAATTAAACTCTTTCAATTTTAAAAATTGTATTATAATTGTATAGAATTGAAATTTTATTATAATTGTATAAAATTGAAATTTTATTATAATTGTAGAAAATTGCAATTTTATTATAATTGTAGAAAATTGAAATTTTATTACAATTGTAGAAAATTGAAATTATATTTTATTTCTAAAAAACTGAAAAATAGGGTGAAAAAATGCGAAAATTGAAATAATAGACAAACATAGAAACTGAATGAATACATTTGTCAATGAAATTGAGTTGTAAAGTTTACTTAATGACAGAAATACTGCCAATGATAATACAGGTGTAATTGACCTGGTTTACAACGATTCACTGAACGCCAACGATCCATGAATCTTCCGTATTTCAATGTCATGGTCATTTCGAATAGAATCTCACTGTACACCTCTTCCAATCTCTTTTACCCAGTCACGAGTTCACCTTTAACACTCCAAAGACTTTAACATTTTTTTTTATTTCTTTTTTTTAAATCCTGCTTTCAAATTTCCTGTTTCGAAAATTGCTGTTATTTTTTTTTTGTTTAATTGTAAATTCACATGCGGTAGGTGGTCTAATTGATATTTTATGCCTTTCAATTAGCACATTCTAAATTGATATTCTAAAAAGTTTTAATATCTTTGAGATTTGCCGATTTTTAGAGGAAATTTCGGTTTTTTTTATTTTTTTTTTTTTACTAATTAGGGTATTATTTTTATTTGTGACTCGAGATTATTAAATACTGGCTAATAAATAAATAGTAAATGATAAATAAATAGGCTAAATAATAAATAAATATTACATAATAAATGAGAATAATAAATAAATAGACCAAATAATAAATAAAAAGTAAAATAAATTGTAAACGTAAAATGTTATCAAAGTTTTCAAAAAATTTTGTATTTTTTTTATGAAATTAATTTTTGTACTTTTGAAATTATTCAATTAATGTAATTAATGTTTTGATTGTTTCAGACGGTGAAGGCATTTTTACCCGAAATGCTAGAAGAAAATAAAGGCCACATAGTCAGTATAGCAAGTTTAGCAGGACACGCTGGAATTTATAAATTAGTCGATTATTGCGCATCGAAATTCGCTGCAGTCGGTTTCGATGAAGCTCTTCGAATGGAGCTTGAGGTAATTTTTTTCAAAACTAGTTTATTCTATTATTAAATTACTATTTTTTTCTATAAAAAAACTGAATTTTATTTATTTTAAGATCTCATTCGATGTAGAACTAAAAATTGATTTTCAAAAATTTTATATCACTTTTACTCAAATTAGTTTAAATTTTTAATAATTATGATTCTCGTTCAGATTGAGAGTAAGTTCTGTGATATTATTTTTACAAGAAAAGTTTGAAAATATATTTTCCATAATTTTGCGCGTTTGATAAGTGAATATTTTCTTTAAATTTAAAAAGATAACATTTTTGTTAAAATTGTTATTTTACTATTACTATTTATGAAAATAATTGAATTTTTGCAAAGAATATTATTAAAATTGTATTGAAAAAAAATTGAATTCCTGCGAAGAATTTTAATATTTCTGTGAAAATAATTGAATTCCTGTGAAGAATTTAAATAGGAAGATATTTATAAAAATAATTGAATTCTTATGGAGAATTTCAATAAAACTTTTGAAAATAATTGAATTCTTGTGAAGAATTTCAATAAAATTTTTGAAGATAATCGAATTCTTTCGAAGAATTTCAATAAAATTTTTAAAAATAATTCAATTCTTTCGAAGAATTTCAATAAAATTTTTAAAATAAAAAAATTCTTTTGAGAAATTTTAATAAAATTGAATTGAAAATAATGAAATTCTTTTGAGGAATTTAATTTAAATTCAGATTAAAAATAATCAAAATTTTTCGAGGAATGTAATAAAAATTAAATTTTAAATAATTGAGTTCTTGCAAAGATTATTATTAAATTTTTTGAAAATAATTGATTTATTTCGAATAATAATTATAATAATAATAATAATTAAAAATTAGTAATAACATAATTAGAAATTTTAATATTAGAACAAATTATTTTTCAAACTAATAATATTTTAATAAGATGTTCAAAAGCATTAAAACGTCAATTATTTTCAAATGAACACAAAGTTTACCCAATGCACTTAAAAACCGGTCCCTATACATTAATTTCAATTTGTACACTAATAATAATTATAAATAATTTATTATACATATTTGTCGTCCATAATCGCTAGATAAATTAAGCAATAATAATAGAAAAAACTGAAATTGCAAAATTTAAATAATTTTTGCTTGAGCAAGAGGCAATCATATATTGAATTCTTGTTAAATTTGATCATTTTCAAATTGCAAAGATTAAAAAAAAATTGGAAGGATAAGGAAAAAAACCGGATAATTTGTAATAAAATTATCTAACGGCATATTTGATAATCGAAGGTTGTCTGATGAAATCCTTATTTTTTTTTTTTATTTTTAAATCTTGTAATAAATTTCGCATTACACGTTTCACACACAGCAATGAATTTTGATCTTGGCTATTAAAACGATTTGACGTTCGAGAATATAAAAATCTGCATTCTCCTTTATTTACGTATATCAATTGACACTTATGACAGTGTTTTGCAATTACTAAAATAAAGTTGAATTTGTCAATGTAAAACCGCCAACGAACATTCGAGAGTAGAATATTTTGCGCAATAATTTCGATTCAACATCAAACGATTCAAATTCTTTTCTTTAATCTCTTATTAAATTTATTAATTATTTATTTAATTATCATATATTTATTTATTCTTTAATAATAATAATAATAATAATAATAATAATAATAATAATAATAATAATAATAATATATTATTGTATAATTTTTTATTTAAATAATTTATGATTTAAAATATTTCTCTCTCGTTCTGCGAATTCGTAAATAATTAATACTCAACAGGTAATTAAATGAAAAATAAATAAAACAATTAGGAAAAAATTCTTGAATGTTCAATGAAGAATGTGAAAATTGAGTTGAATGAGAAAAATTGCAGTAACGGTGCAATTGAAGAGTGTATAATGGTTGAAATTGGAAAAACTATTCGCAATTGTTTATTATGTACTGAAATTTTTTGTGAATGACGAACATTATAATTTTTTTTTGACGTGTTTATTTATTCCATGCACATAAAATTAATGTTGATTGCAGGCTGAAGGCTACAATATTAATACCACAGTGATATGTCCCTACTTTATTCGCAGTACAGGAATGTTCGAAGATGTTCTTTCGAGGTAAAAATAAATCAATAATTTTCACAACGTAATAAACAGAAGTAAATAAGAAATTAATAATTGAGAAATAAAAATAATTTAAAGTATTCAAGTTTTTTGAAAATTTTTTCTTGAAAACTTGGAATTATGAATTTAAGTCTTACGAAGAATTTTACTATTCATAAAAATAATTGAATTACTTTTTTTGGAAGGACTTATTAAAACTTGAGAAAATAATTTAATTCTCTTGAAAAATTTAATTTGAAATTTTAAAAAAATAATTAAATCCTTTTGCATAAAATAATAAATAATAATTAATTATGTACTTAATTAAGTGAATTTTTTTAATTTTAAATCTGAAGGTATTCAAAACATGAAAATTTGAAATTAGAAAATTTTGTAATTAATTGTAAATTTAGAAAAGTTTGTCAATTAATTGTTAATTATTTAAGTATAATTTGTGTTTGGTTTATTTGCTATCAGAATAATTTGTAAATTATTATTCAATATTCACAGTTTTGTGCCGACATTGAGTCCAAATGAAGTGGCTGACAGTGTCATCACAGCAATGAGATGCAATGAAAAATTTGCAATTCTTCCTGGTTATTTGCAGATAATACTGGCGTTGAAATGGTATCTACTCTAAAATTTTTTACTTCAAAAATATAGCACATTTTTTAATACTACGTAATTAAAATAAGTAATTAACCTTCTTCTATTTAATAATCGTTGTATTCCGGAAATCTGTTCGCATTTTGAAGTTATAGTTGTTGTTTGCTTTTTTGTTTCTTAACCTTTTTAATAATTCTTCTTTTTAAATATTTTCAATTTAAAATTATTGTATTGAAAATCAACGAATTGTTGCAAAGAATTTTATCAAAAAAATTTATAATACATAGAATTCCTTCGAAGAATTTTATTATTTAGGAAAATAATTTTGTTAAAATTTTTGAAAATTCGAATTAAATTCTTTTTGAAGAATTTCTTTGAATTTTTTTTTTTTAAATAATAGATTTTCTCTAATAATTTTAATTAAAACTTATTTATAAATAATTTAATTTTATGAACAATTTCTTTCAAGTTTTTAAAATAATCGTCTTTGTTAATAATTGAAATTGAAGATTTAATTATTGAATTTTATTAAAAGTTTAGAAAATAATTGAATTCTCTTAAAAAATTGAAAATTCTCTTGTTATTAAATAACAAATTAAGAAAAAAATTGAATTCTTTCGTGGAATTTTCTTTAAAATAATTGAATTTTTGCAAAGAATTTTACTATTTAAAAGGATAATTGAATTTCCAAGAAGAAATTTATTACTTTTAAAAATAAATGACTTCTTCTGATGAATATTGTTATTTATGAAAATAATTGAATTTTGTAAAGAATTTTATGAAAATTTTTGAAAATAATTGAAATCCTCCGAAGCATTTTATTACATATTTATGAACTTTATTGAATTCTTCTAGAGAATTTTATTTTTTATGAAGATCATTGAATTCTTTCGAAGATTTTTATTAAAATTTTTGAAAATAATTGAAATCTTCCAAAGAATTATTATATTAAAATTTTAGAAAATAATTAAATGCTTTTGGAAAATTTTATAACGAATTGAGAAAAAAATTGAATTTTTACATGAAATTTTATTAATAATTGAATTTTTGGAAAGAATTTTACTATTTATTAACATAATTGAATTGTTTCGAAGGATTTATTAAAATTTTAGAAAATAATTGAATACTTTTGAAATATTTTATAACGAATTAAGACAAAAATTGAATTTTGGCAAATAATTTTACTATTAATTAATATAATTGAATTGCTTCGAAGGATTTATTAAAATTTTGGAAAATAATTGAATTCTTTTGAAATATTTTATAACGAATTAAGAAAAAAATTGAATTCTTTCGTGAAATTTTTTTTGAAAATAATTGAATTTTCGAAAGATTTTACTATTTTAAAATATAATTGAATTTTTGCTTTAAGTTTAATTTAGACAAATGAAAGAAATTCTAAACATATTTATATTTGCTAATTTTTTCAGGATGTTCCCGTGGACGTGCGTAAAAATGTTTCTCCGGGGTTTGGTAAAAGATGCATCTCCAGGTTCAGGAAAACCAATTGTACTACCAGAAAAATCAGAAATCACGAATGAGCCTACCAAAGATCAAAATGGATCTACATTACATCAGCAATTAACTAGACGTATTTCTAGTTCCGAACGAAAACCCTAATTCCAAAAACATTTTTGTTTTTATAAATTTGTCCATTTTTACCTTCAATGGACTTGTAAAAAGAATCAAAGAAGGATTATTGCAAAAAAAGAATTTTAATTTACTTCAATTAATTTTTGAAATGAAAGAACAAACGCACAATTTTTTTTTTAACAGTGAGGAAGGAAACGGAAATTGACGTGAACGAAGCACGCTTTCGCGAGCACCTGCTCATTCACTAGAACAATGTGAATCAAAGGTGTTCGTCTATGGAGAGAAGAAAAGAAGACGAAAACGGCAATAAAAAAAAAGTAGCTCAACATTTTCTTCGTTTTCGCAAAAATAATGAATAATCCAGAGAAAATAATTTACTGTAATTTTCCCTATTTTTTTCGTTTCATTGAAATTTTTCTTCGAAACTGAATAAACAAAGTCTTCCATTTTTTATAAAGAAAGAACAAACTCAATACAAATAAGAAAGAAAAAAAGTTCTTTTTATCTATTTCTAATTAATTTAAATTAAATTTTAGTCAGTGGGACCACAATATCATATCTTTTTAATTATTTAGTTTTAAATTTATTTAAAAAAAATATATACAACTACAGTTCATAGATTGAACATGTGACTTTTTTTTCTTGTAAATTTGTAAATTTTTATTTTCAATTGCCATTGAAAGAAATGTCAGGCCTAGTGCCATTACTTGCCTCTAAAAATCGCTGAGCGATTCTTTATTATTAACGACTGTATAGATATTAAGATATATTTGAAAACAGATTTATTGTAAGATTGTATTTTTAGAATAAAAAATTTATCAAGACGTGTATTTTCTAATTAATTAATTTTCTGACAAAAAATTCTCATTTGTATTTTAAATCTGTTAATTATTCTAAAGGGGAGAAAAAATTTAAAATATAGAAAAACTCGTCGAATAGAAAGCTATTTCAATAATTTTTATTATTCATTTTTCTGTAAATTTACAGGAACGACGAATTAAGAGAACTCTGTTCATTTATAGACATTGTATTTACTTTGCCAACATAAATATCATTATAAAGATTATTAGAAATAGACTCTTTGACTAATAAATTACATTTCATTCTTTCTGGGTTTTTTTTTAACTTATGTCACTTTCACAACTTTTTTGACGCACTGCATTCTTATTTTCTAGATTAAGAAAACCTATTTACAGATAATGAACTGTTTAATCATGCGATTTGTTTTTATTTTTAAAAAATAGTTATAGAATTCATCTAAAATAAACTTTAATTAACGGATATGTTGAAAGTTTGGAATGTTCAAATAAACGAAATATTTTTTTTTTAAACAGTTAAAACTAGAAAAAAAGTATTACATTACTTTTTTTTACAAATGTGAATTAAAAGGAATTGATAAAAATATATTCGCTAAACTGAACGTACAATAGTTTGAAAAAATTGAGTATTGATTCGGTTTTTTTTGGCGAACAAACAAAAAAAAATAAATGGGAAAAATAAACGCTTTACATTTCTGAATGATGGTTGGATACAAAATACTTTTTTTTAAGATATTAAATTAGTACTATTTCCTTCGAGTGTTAAACAAATAAGACTTTTTCTTTTTATAAATATTAGTTTCTTGTGAGATCGGATTTAATGAATCGATGAAAAACTAATCGACCAAAAATTATTCTTCTTTTTCTGAAACTAAAGTTAATGTTCTAAAATATTTTGTATTTCTGTTTTGTTACCTAATTTTGTGCTGCTACAAGTTGCATTGTTTCTTGACAATTAATGTGATCCTGCTTATTCATTGATTCTTGAAGAGTTCCATTATTTTCTGATTCTTCGATTAAAATGTCATCATCATCGGTTTTCAACATGAAACTTTCCTCTTCGTCCATCATCTCCTGGGTTACGTCTATTTCGTGTTCGTCTGGTTTTTCAATCAATGCCTAGAGAAATTCAAAAGTGTATAAAAAAAATTCATTAAATTTTTTTTGGCGTAGTTAAAAATTATATAATATATTTATGATTTTTTTGATTTTAATAAAGTTATTCGAAACAATTCAATTATTTTTAAAAGTTTTAACTAAAGAAAGAAAGAATTCAATTACTTTCATAAATAAAAAAATTCTTTGCAGAAATTAAATTATTTACAATGTAAAATTAATAAAATTTCTCAAAATAATTCAATTCTTAAAATTCTAAATAAAATTCTTTATAAGAATTCAATTACTTTAAATTTAATTTTAATTGAATTTCTTGAAAAAATTAATTTAATTACTTCTAAATATTTTAATAAAATTCAATTCGAAACAATTCAATTTAATTATTTTCAAATGTTTTAAAAATTTTCTTCGAAAGAATTCAAATACTTTTATAAATAATGAAAATCATCGCAGGAATTCAATTATTTTCAATACAATTTTAATCAAATTTAACGAAATAATTCAATTATTTAAAGAAGTTTTAATCAATTTCCTTAAGAAAATTTAATAATTTTGAAATATTTTAATAAAGTTCAATTGTAAATAATTAAATTATTTTCGAAAGTTTTAACAAAATTCTTCGCAAGAATTCAATAAAGTTTATAAATAATAATAATAATTTTCGCAGGAATTTAAGGGGACACCTAAGTGGAAAAATGACAAAAAAATCGATTTTTTTTAATTTGATTTTCTAAAAGTAGACTCAATTAGGAATAGAACAAGACTTTTTAAAACCTTTTCTGAAGAGTAGAAAAAATCTGATTACATGATTCTGAATACCATGAGTTTTTAGTATTTTTTCTTTTTTCGTGTCTCCTGTCAAAATTTTTTTTTCCAATTTTTTAACTTTCGGTACACTTTTCTCCGAATCTACTAAACCAATTTGTAATTTCTTTTTTTTACTTTGTTCAGTAAGGTTCCAAGAATACGAATAAGAAGTTTACCATCATTTTGAGTTGTACAAACGGAGATATGAGTCAATGAATCAGAGAAAATGGGATTTTTATTTTGCTTTGGGTATAAATATTCATAAAAAAGTTTCTATTGAAGATAACGTCGTATTACTTCTTATTCATATACTTGATTATATTTGTAATCGAATAAAAAAAGGGCGAACGCAATTGGAATAATAGTTTTCGAGAAAAGTGTACCGAAAGTTGACTCTTTTTGCATTGTTTTTAGGTGACTTAGGTGTCCCCTTAATTATTTTCAAGACAATTTTATTTAAATTTCACGAAATAATTCAATTATTTAAAAAATTTCTAATAAGTTTCCTAATAAGAATTCAATTAAATTCATAAATAAAACTTTTCACAGGAATTCAAATATTTTCAATAATTTTAATAAAATTCGTTATAAGAATTCAATTACTTTTAATAAAATTCGTTATAAAAATTCAATTACTTTTAATTCAATTTAAATTAAATTCCTTGAAAAAATTGAATTATTTTTAAATATTCGAATAAAGTTCTTCGAAACAATTCAATTATTTTCATAAATAATAAAATTCATCTTTGAAATTCAATTATTTTCCAAAATTGTAGTAAAAATCTTCTAGAGAATTCAATTATTATTTAAATTTTAATGAAAGAATATTAAAAAATATATATTATAATTTAACAAAAATGTTATCTTAAAATTAATGAATCGCTTATTAATGCAAAATTTCAGAAAGTTAAAAATAATTTTTAGTTCTTGCAAAAATAATAGCAAAAAACTACTCTAAATCTGAATAAGTAAAAAATTGAACTAATTTTAACAAAAGTTATATAAAATTTATAAAAATTAATTTATTTTAATTCTACACTGAACAAGACATTAAAATATTTAAAATCTAGTTTTTCTCATAAATTAAATAAAATCAAACGCATTTTGCGTTAATAAAAGTTTGATTTTCTATAATTTTAAAATTTTTAATTCTAAAGCTAAACAATTTTGTTTAATTAATTTTTGTCATTTAATTTTTAATTTAGAAATAATTAGAAAAAATAGAGTAAAAAATTAAAACTTAGAAATTAGAATTATTATCAGAATTAAAAATTTTATTTAGAAATTAGAATCAAATTAAATTAGAATTAGAATAATTAGAAGTAGAATAAATTAAAATTAGAATTTCATTAATTTAAAAATTCGAAACATTCAAAAAGAAAATATAATTTGTTTTATACCTTATTCTCAGGATGCTTCTCCAAATATTCATTCTTTGCGTCCCGTATCATTCGAGTTACTTTATTCCTTAAATCTTTGAAATTCTCCCATTCCTTGGCGTCTTTACTTTTTCTTGCTTTCGTATAGAGTTTATTTTTCTTTTGAATTTCAGTTCTTATTGCGTCAGTCATCCAAGGTTTCTTTAATTCAAGTTCCTGTTAAAGAAAAGAAAAATTAAATTTCCTTCCCCTTTTTAAAATTCAAAAAACTATCAATTGTGCGATCATTTAAGAATTTAATACACGCTCAAAGGAAACTGTTTTTTAATGACTTTTTAAAGTATTTTTAACAGCTTAAAATAATTTTAATAATTATTAATACTGTTAATTTTAATTCATTTCATTCAATTCAAAAAAACTATTTTTTAAAATTAGTTATTAAAATTTAACATATTTATCAAAATAAAAGACACAAATATTGAAATAATTTGTTTCTGAATTATTCTGTTTTTTCGATCAAAGTCAATATTGATTTCACCTAGTGAAAAACTGTAATAATACTTTTCCACAAAAAGAAAGTATTACCTAGTCTATTTTTATATTTTGTAAAGAAAAATAAAAGATAGGGAATTATTTTAAAAATGTAACGACTTTGATTGAAATGACTTTTTGATTATATTACTAAAAAACAATTGATAAACAAGACTAGTGAAGAAAAAGAGAGAGAAAAAAAAATGAAAAGCGCGCAAATACCTCGAGCTTGTTGACTTTTTTGACAATAATGCCCTTGTTCTTGAGAGTGTTATTCCCTTGAAGGAACCTCGGTCGCATAAACATATGAGGAAGCATACCACGAGGACCAGGTCTCAAGGGTGGACCACGTGGACCCCTTGGACCCATCATCGGCGGTGGAAGTGGTGGACCGCAACCGATTCTGGGACCAAACATTGGCATTGGTCCACCCGGTCTCATACCTGGCCTTGGAGGTGGCAGTCGCTGACGAATTGGAGGTGGCATCCGTTGCTGCATTGGTGGTGGCATTCGTTGTTGCATCGGGGGTGGCATTCGTTGTTGCATCGGCGGTGGCATTCGTTGTTGCATCGGTGGTGGCATTCGTGGTTGCATCGGTGGTGGTATTCTTTGTTGCATCAAAGGAGGATGATGATGATGATGATGGGGAGGTGGTGGAGGCATACGTTGGCGCATTGGTGGATACATTCCACCCGCTGGCGGTGGCATTCTCATCGGTGGCATTCCTGGTGGTGGTAATCTTGGACCAAATCTCGAGAGCAACGGCGGTGGTGGTCGCATGCCGGGCAATGACATTCTCATTCCCAATAGTGGTCCAGGTCCTCTATTTATTGGGCCCATTTTTTTTATTTCATAAAAAGCACTCCTGATATGTTAATTCCTTCTCTGTAGAAGATTTAATTCTTAATTCTACACTACAGCACTGTATTGAAACTTGGGGAAAATTTGAAGATTATGTGTGAAAATGTCTTGTGGTTACTATTTTGATAAGTATGTGGACATGAATTTTTACACTAGAATGACGAGAATTTGTTAAAATGTAATACTTCTCACTTTTTAATGATTTTTGCCAATTTTTGCGGTCTATTTTTGAGGTTAGCGTTTTTTCCGTTTATCTTTTTGTTTGCACAGCTGTATGTTGCGAAATTTTACTCCTTGAAGTTGGCAACGGATAATCGATAATAAATTTCGATAAATATTCTTTATTCTTATTGGTGGAGGTAATTTCAACGACCAATGAGAAAAAAGTACACCTTGGCCTTTAGGATAAAGTTGTAGGTGCTGAAGTTGAACTACCCAACCCTGATCGTTGTGTATTTCCCTTAAAGTTACCAACGTTTTTGTTTACAAATTACAACGTATGATTTAAAAGTTATATTTTTATTTTATTATTTAACAATTATTTGTGTTTAATAAGCGATAGAAATAACAAATAAATTTAAAATACGAATTTAAAAAATTCGATTCTTAATCAAAGTATTAGGTAACGTATTCATTTTTCTGTAAAGAGTATTTTTATATATAAACATTCAAGTTTAATTACAAAGTTCGTGAATATTTACAAACTTTTTTATATTTATTAACATTACTAAGATTTTAATATTTATATTTTAATATTCATATTTTGATAGTTATATTTTAATTATTTAGGTAATATAAATTCATTTTACAAAAGTATTTAATGAATCGTAAATTTTCAGTTAAATTACTCAAAATAACAAAAAAATCATTGTTGGAACAATGCAACAAAATCAAAACACGACAATTACTTCCTTCTATCAAAAATCAAATACTCTGCATAATGTGGGAGTGGAAAATATTTGCAGTGGTAATCTCATGAAAAAATGCACTGCATGGGATAATCAGAATTATAATACAACAAAATTGAAATTAATTTATAATTGCATAAAAGAGGAGGCGAGAAATAATAAAGAGGCATTAACAAACGAAAGCTGCGTTAAATTGGGAAAAATCCTTCTAATCAATGAAGCTATTAAATGTCAAAACTTTCCCAGCAATTCAGAAAATATTCAAGAGCCCATTGCTTTTCTCGGCGTACTCGATACAATAAAACGTGAACTTGATGAGAAAACGAAATTGGCGATAAAATCCTTCATCGAAGCCAAATTAAGAGAGAGGATATTTAATTTCACTTCTCGGTAAGTATAATTTCTTATAGTTTTCTTTTACTTATTTCTTCAAGTTTTTTTTTTAAATAATCGTGTTTCTTAATAACTGAAATTAAACACTTAATTATTGAATTTTATAAAAAAATTTTAGAAAAGAATTGAATTCGTTCAAAAAATTTCTTTAATTTATTGAATATTATTTCACAATTAAAATGTTATTTAAAATTATTAATAGAAAATTAAACTCTTTTAAACAATTTTATTACAATTTTGCAAAATAATTGAACTAATGTCATGAATTTTATTATCTACGAAAATAATTTAATTTTTTCAAAGAATTGAATTTAAATTGTATTAAAAGTAATTGAATTCTTATAAAGAATTCTTTTAAAATTATTGAATTCCTGCGAAAAGTTATATTGAATTTTATTCAATTTTAATAATTGAATTCTTATTAAGAAATTGATTAAAATTTTATTAAAATAATTTAATTCCTAAGGAGCATTTTATTATTTATAAAAATTAATTAAATTTTTGCGATGAATTTTACTTCGAAAGGATTTCTTGACAAGAATTTGTTTCAAACTTTTGAAAATAATTGAAATCCTCCGAAGAATTTTATTATTATTCAAAATAATTGAAATCTTTCAAAAAATTTAATTTTTTATGGTGATAATTGAGTTCTTGAGAAGAATTTTATTAAGATTTTTGAAAATAATTGAAATCTTGCAATGATTTTTATTAAAATTTTTGAAAAATAATATAATTGTTTCAATGAAAATTTAAATTTTTTAGAGGAATTGAATTAAGATTCTATTGAAAATAATTTAATTTTTAGAAAGAATTTTATTACAATTTTTAGAAAAGAATTGATTTCGTTCAAGAAATTTCTTTAATTTATTGAATATAATCGATTTTGTTAATATTGTAATTAATAATTTTACTATTAAAATTGTATTAAAATTATTGATAGAAAATAAAACTTCTTTAAACAATTTTATTAAAGTTTTTGTAAATAATTTAATTCTTTTAAAGAAGTACTTTGTGTTTTTTTAAATAATGTAGTTTTTTGTATAATCTTCAAAAGAATTTTACTTTTTATGAAGATAATTGAATTTTTAAGAAGAATTTTATTAAAATTTTTGAAAATAATTGAAGTTCTTTAAAAAATTTTATTATTTATGAAAATAATTGAAATCTTGCAAAGATTTTTATTAAAATTTTTGACAAATAATATAATTGTTTCGATGAAAATTTAAATTCTTTGGAGGAATTTAATTAAGATTGTATTGAAAATAATTGAATTTTTAGGAAGAATTTTAATAAGGTTTTAGAAAATAATTGAATTCTTTTGGAAAATTTTATAAATTTTTTTATTTTATATTTTATTATAATTTTATAATTTTTATTTTTTTTTAATTGAGAAAAAAATTGAATTCTTTGATATGAATTGAAATTGAATTGAATTGAAATTTTATTGTTAATAATTGAATTTTTGCAAAGATTTTTCTATTTAAAAAAAAGTAATTGAATTGTTTTGAAGGATTTATTTAAATTTTTTTGAAAATAATTGAATTTTTGCAAAAAATTTTATTATTTATAAAAGTAACTGAATTCTTTCGAAGAATATTTACACTTTATAAAAATAATTGAATTCTTCCGAAGAATCAAAAATCTCGGACGTAAAAGATTAACCAACTAATTAATAATTTAATTTAATATTTCAGTTACAGTGAATTAGGCGGAAAGATAAAGGAAACATCAAAAAATAGAGAGACAGTTAATAGTAAAGTGAATTCACAAAATAATGAATTGATATTGTTAAATTGGTCGAAAAAAATTGACGAGATCCACTTGACCTATAAAAAGAGTTTGCATAATTTCTTCGAACTTTTAACAACTTGGGGAGAATGTAAAATAGCACTCAGTGAATCAAGATTCAAGAGTACGGAATCATCACTAATTCAAGCGCAACTTGTCGAGACGCAGACGATTATCAGCAAATTGTCCTGTCATTTGCGATTATTTTTAGAAACACCGTCAACTATTAAAAGTTTTCGAATTTTAAAAACAACTCTCGATAATAAATTAAATGAAATTGATGACGAAATTCAAAGAAAATTAGCTAAACAAAAGGAATATGATGATCTTAAGTGTACCGAATATGATGATATTTTGAAAAAGTACATCGACATTTGTAATGCAGTGAAGAAACGAAGTCTTATTCTCGATAGATTATAGGTACGCTCGAAAGTTAAATTGTAAATTGAAAAATTAGTATTCTTTAATTAATTTCTGCTCATTTTTATTTTAACTTTTAATTTATTTTCCCAAAGTTTTGAGCGAAATTTTTGTTTTATTTAAATATTTTTAAAAACTACTATACGAAAGAGAAAAAAAGAAAAATTTAACATTTAATTACTTCAGAATTAATTATTAATAGAAAATAATTTATTTTCATTAAAAAAAAGCTCATTCGAAACTTTAGGAAAAATTTAATTTTACTTATTAGAACTATTATACAGATTTAAACTATTTAGTGATCAAATATTGAAAGAGTGGAATTTTTGTATATTTTTCTCGTTTATTATTTCGCAAGGAGAAATTTTTTGTTAAATTATATGAAAGATTAAGAAAAAAGTAAATAAACTCATCTATATGATTATTTGTACAGAAAAATGGAGATTAATTTCAAAGAGGGAAAAAAATTGGTTCATATTCTGTTTCTGTTGTGATCAATTTCTACGGTATCATGTTTTTTTTTTTTTTACTAATATTTGTCTTCACAATTCGTCTCTTTATCTAAAGTGTATTTATCTATACGACCGAGAAATCCTTTGGGGATGGCATGATATAATGGAAAATCAATGATTAAGCATGCGCGTTTGAAAATTTATCAGCACAACGCAGAAGGATCTATTACAAGAAGACGTCATACTACTGAGATGACTTTTGAAAAGATATGTACCATTTCATGTTCTCTTCTTGATCTTAAATTATTGAAAAGTGTCCTTTAATAGTGGTGCAATGAATAATATAAAAATTAAATCGAAAAAAAGGACGTTCAGTTCTGTTGAACGAAAAAGAAAGTGTAAAACATATTTAAAACTTAGAATTTATAAAATTTTTAATTTTATACTAAATCAAACGTTCAATTGTAATTTAATCGCTGATGAAGTAATGAAATTATTTTCAAGATTGTAAATTATTTTTCCTTTGGAAACCTATGACATTAAATTTTATTTTTTCTTAATTATGTTCCAATTATTCTCTAAATCAAAACGGTTTTTATTTTTGTTAATGAATTTTTATTCTTTGGCTATATGCCTTTTTTTCATTAAATAATTATTTTTTATATTTATATTATTAATTATTTCATTTTATATGTAAATTTTGATGTAAAATTTTTCCGATAGAAAAAAATTGGGTAAGTAGACAATTTTTAATTTGAATTTCAATGATCGATATATTCTGCGGCGTCAAGATTGTGAAAAAAGTATAAAAATACTTTTTTTAAACTAAAAATTGATTGAAATGTTATTAATTGTTTATGAAAAAAGGAAAATGCACTGTTTTTCGTTTTAAGGAAATTATTTATAGTATAAATTTTTTTTTTGTTGCTTAAAAGTATAAAAAAAATTTTTTATACTTAAAAGTAAAAAAAAAATATTAAGAAGTATTAGAAAGTATTAAAAATTATGGACTAATTTCGCTTTTTCACCAATTAAAGATCTTTTTCTTCCGGCATAAAATGCCCGTTATGGAGCTAACATTAAACTGGATGAAGATATTCTTAACATTTATTTTATTGGCATCGAGATCATTTTCATTAATTACAGCCACAAATAACGAATTTCGTGACACGTGAGTAATTTTCGTAATTTTACGGTCTCAACTTATTCGTCCGTTAAGGTATGAAAATAAAATTCTCTAATAGGCTAATAGTTTTCTGGAATTATTAAATTTATACTTAACAATAATTTAACATTTTTTAATAAATATTTAAAATACTTATTTGTTTAATAAATTAAATACTTGAGATTTTAATTCAATTTTAGTTTTTTTTTCTTTAAATCTTCTTTATGTTCTGAAAAATTCTTTCTGTGTAATTCTTAATTATAAATTAAATTAAACACGTAATTTAATTAATTTTTTTTCTTCGATTATAAGGAATTTTTAATGACTAAAAAAATAATTACTTCAGAGCACAGCCGACATGGCAAACAATTCGTAATATTCTGCAATATATTCCGAGAACAGAAAGGGAAAATTTGGAGCGGATCGAAAATTTAGAAGTTCAAGATTTAGAAAAGTGAGCAATTTAATCAATCAACTGGAAAAAAATTGATCCCAATTAAATAGATTTAATTAAACGTAATTATTTTCATAAAATATTTTCAGAGCGCAACCAATCTGGCAACGTATTTTAGAAATGAATCCCAGAATTGGAAAGGAAAATTACATCTGGATGGAAAATGGACAGGAAACTGAAAAGTGAGCAATTGTCACAATACTAAATTATAATAATTAATAATTTCAATAAATTAGAAATTAAAAAAAAATGTAGAAAAAAATACAATCGCATTTTTTACTTTTTTCTAATTTAATAAAATTCGTATGATTCATAATCTAATACTTAGTAAAATAAATGATTACATAAATTAATTACAATAATATTATTAAAAATTGATAAATTAATTACTATTTAATAATTAATTAATTAAACTTTTTAATTTTTTTAATTTAATTTTAATTAAACTTTTTTTTTAAATTACTAAAGTTTATTTCTAAATAAAACAATTCAAAAAATGTTAATTAAAATTTATTGATTAATTAATTAATCAAGAACAGTTAAAATGTAAAAAAAATTGTTTAAAATTTAATAATTTGTTGACAGTGTAAAACGTGGATTGGATTTTGGATTAAATCGTGGATTAAGTGGCACGCAAGCAGGAAAGCATTTAATTGGATTGACAACTGCTAATTTTGCTAATGGACCTGGAAGAAGACGTCGTTCTCAATAGAAGAAAATAATTCCAAAATCATCTGATTAGTTTTCCTAATTGTATTTAATATTCATCAAATAAAATGAATTACTCCTCAATATGAATAAACAATTTCAAGCCTTTTTTATTTTTTTCTCTACCATTAATTCCTTACAATAATAACTTAAAAAAATACTTTTTAAAAATTATATTAGAAATAAATATAAAAATGAATTGAAAAATAAATTAAAACTATGAAAAAAAATTAACTCTGCTGCGGATCGAAAAAATAAATATTAAAAATATAAAAGTAGATAAAAATTAAAAATATAAAAGTAGATAAATATTAAAAATATAAAAATACGATAAGAAATTACAAGCAGATATTTGTACGTATTTTTTTATTTATAAAACAAAATAAAGTATATTAGTTATTTCTAATACAAAAAGCAAAATTATATTTAAGTTTTATAAACAGTCTTAAAAATACAGTATTAAGTCATAGGTTTTTTTTCTTCTCTTGTGTTCATTTTACGCAAATTGGTATAATGTACAGTGGAACGTGTTTCTTAAACATCAAACATACCGAAAAGTTCGTTTAAGTAAAAAATGTTGGTTAACATAAATTAAAGAAATTTACTTTTTAAGATTTGAATTCGTTTCTTTTTTCTTAATTGAATTTCGTTTCTTTTTTAATCAGTGGAAATTAAAAAGTAAATTTCTCATTCTTTCTTTTACATAAGTTGTATGTAAAAAAAAATGCGAAAAAAAAGAAAAATAATAATGTAAACGATTTTCTTTTAATTTCTTCCAATCTTTTCAATTTCATCTACATCATCTGTATCTAATAGTTCAATCTTTTTGCCAAAGTGCTGCTCAATTTCACGACACAATAGCATTGCATGATCACTGTCAATTAAGTTGATGGCAATACCCGATTTTCCAAATCTACCGGTTCTACCGATTCGATGTAAGTATGTTTCACAATCTGCCTTTCGACTTTGATCCATTGGCAAATCGAAATTTACGACAATGGTTACTTGCTCGACATCAATGCCTGAAAAAGAAGAAGATAATTATTTTAATAAATTAGTGTTTAGTATTCTTTCTCAGGGTTGCCACGCTTTTGCTGATTTCAAATTCCCTGACTTTTCCAGGTTTTCCAAGTTAAAAAACAAAATTTTTCCAGGTTTTTAAAACATTTATATTATTATTTTTCCAGAAGAGTTAAGTTTTTTAAAAAATTCAAATTTAAACCTTAATAAAATTAAACAACTTATAAAAATTGTTATAAAACATGAAGAAATCGATCACTCCGAGTCTTCGACTCGAAGTGCTCAATTTCTTCATGTTTTACAATAATTAAAGGTTTGCGAATAATAAAATGATAAAATTATTATTTTATATATTATTAAAATATTGTTACTCTAACTTCATCAAAATTATTTTCATCATATCAATTCAATTATTATTTTCTAGAATTTATAACTAAAATTCTTCTAGAAATTAATTATTTTTAAATAATAATTAAAAAAAAAATTGAATTAAACTTTTTCAAAAAATTAATTCTACAGAATTGTTAGTTAAAACGTTAAAAGTATGAAAAATTCATATTTTCAAGGATTTTAATTTAAAACTTTTTCAAAATTAAATTATTTCTAAAAATTCACGCTATAATGCTTTAAATACTCTATTATTATCTAAAATTAGAAGATTATTATATAGTTAATTTTAGCAGAAATTAGAGGTGTGCAAAAAGCTCGAAACCCGAAGCTCGAGCGGGTATTTTCGAGCTTTTCATTTTTCGAGCCGAGCCGAGCCTATTCAGTTCGAGCTCGGGCCGAGCCGAGCCGAGCTTTATAAAAAGCTCGAATAATTTCGGGTACTCGAATTTTTCGGGTACCCGAAACTTTCGGGTACTCGAAATTTTCGAGTACTCGATTTGATTCGAGCCCTTGAGAAAATCCAAAATTTTCTACATTAATTTTTAATTAAATTTTTTTTTGTAAAAAAAAAAAATTTTTTTAATTTAAAAGCTCGAATTAAATCGAGTACTCGAAAATTTCGGGTACCCGAATTCATTCGAGTACCCGAAATATTCGAGTACTCGAGTGAATTCGGGTACCCGAATGTTTCGGGTACTCGAAAATTTCGGGTACCCGATACATCGAGCCCGGCTCGGGCTCGGCTCGGCTCGGCTCGAAAAAATTGCGGCCCGGCTCGGCTCGGCTATTCGAGCTTTTTGCACACCTCTAGCAGAAATTCATTTTTAAATCAATTTTTATTAGAAAATTCTATGAGAATTTTTATTAAAATTGAAATCTCATAAAGAATTTTATCAACAAATTTTTTAAATAATTCAATTCTTTTGACGAATTTTAATAAAATTTTTTTAATTAATTACATTTTTTGATGAATTCGATTAAAATTGTATTAAAGTAATTGAAATTCTGCGATAAGTTTTATTAATCATGAAAATAATTGAATTCTTAAAAAATTGTTACGATAATTTTTAAAAAAATATTTAAAATAATTTTTTTTTCTTTGAAGAATTTTATTACTTTTAAAAATAATTTTATTCCTGTGATGAATATTGCTATTTTTTAAAATAATTGAATTTTGCAAAGAATTTTATTAAAATCCCTTAGAATAATTGAATTTTGCATAGAATTTTATAAAAATACTTAAATATAGTATAATTTCATAAAGAATTTCATTAAAATTTCTAAAAATAATTGAATATTGCAAAAAAAAAGGATTAAAATTCCTAAAAATTATTTAATTTCTGGCAAGAATTTTATTACGTTTAAAAATAACTGAATTTTTTGTGATGAATATTGTTAATTCTGAAAATAATTTAATTTTGCAAAAAAAATTTATTAAACTTCCTGAAAATAATTGAATTTTACAAAGAATTTTATTAAAATTCATGAAAATAATTTAATTTTTGTAATGAATATACTGTTATTGATGAAAATAATTTAATATTGCAAAGAATTTGATTAAAATCCCACAGAATAATTGAATTTTGCATAGAATTTTATAAAAATACCTGAATATAATTAAATTTCATAAAGAAATTCATTAAAATTTCTTAAAATAATTAAATTTTGCAAAATAAATTATTAAAATTCCTGAAAATAATTTAATTTCTGGCAAGAATTTTATTACGTTTAAAAATATCTTAATTTTTGTAATGAATATTCTTAATTCTGAAAATAATTGAATTTTGACAAAAAAAAATTTATTAAACTCCCTGAAAATAATTGATTTTTACAATGAATTTTATTAAAATTCCTGAAAATAATTGAATTTCTGGCAAGAATTTTGATATTTATCAAAATAATTGAATTCTTTAAAAGATATGCCATTTTTGAAATTCCTAAAAAAAATTTTATTGTTTACGAAAATTTTATTAAGTAATAGTAGATATTAAAAATTATTGAATTGAGAAAAGTTGTAAAAAATGTTATTAAAATTTTTGAAAATTGAATTTTGGAGAAGAATTTTATTATTTATAAAAATAATTGAAATTTTGAAGAGGGCTTTTTTCAATTCTTGAACATATGTAATTGAATTTCTGCGAAGAATTTTTTTACTTTTGAAAATAATTGAATTTCCCCAATCATTTGTAACTTCTCCAAAATTCAATTATTTTTTAAGTGTTTTAACTAAAATTCTTTTATAAATCCATTGTTTTCAATAAATAATTAAATATAGATTTATAATTTAACTAGTTTCAGAAGAATTTGAATTATTAAAATTTTTCAAAAATCTAATTTCTCTATAATTTCTAATTAAGTTCATTCAAAATTGAAATTTTATAAAATTGTAAATTTAAAACTTTTGAAATCGATCTATGTACTTATGAAAATTGTAAACGCAACTCTTTTAAAATTGAATTAATTTTGAAATATTTAAGTAAAATTAGATTTCAAGATTAAACACAATAACTTTAGAAAACAACAATTTTCCAGGATTTCGATCAAAATTCCCTGACTTTTCCAGGGTTTTTCAAAGTTTATAAAATTTCCTGACATTTCCAGGTTTTCAGGTTGCGTAGCAACCCAGTTTCTATATAATTAGTATTCTAAGTGATTAGTATTCTTTCTGTATAATTAGTATTCTCTATAATATAAATTATTTTCTTTGTTAGAATAAAAGTAATTTTATTATTAATACAAACCTCGAGCTAAGACGTTCGTCGTGATTAAAACTTTTTCGATTCCATTTCTAAATCGATCCAATACGTCGATTCGCTGTTGAACTGTAAGTTCACCAGATAAAATAGCGACAGCGTGTCCTTCCTTAGACATTTTCTCCGCGAGCCAACCAGCCGTTCGTCTTGTCTGCAAATCAAAATTTATTTTCGTATTTCAATTAAATTTTTATTTATTAATATTTATTTTTTCATTTTATTTTGTATTTGTTTTTCAATGAATAAAATAAAATGAAACTCACGTGACAGAAAATAATGGCCTGGCCGATTGTAATGTTTCCATAAATGTTCGTCATTGCAATATATTTCTCCTCCATATTTTTACATTTAACATAATATTGCTTAATATTATCTAAACTCTCTTCTTCGCGTAATAGTCGAATTATTAAAGGATTCGGCACAATAATTTCGGCAAAATCCATAACTGCCGCCTCGTATGTGGCCGAAAAGAACATCATTTGACAAGTTCTTGGAAGTAATTTATGAATGCGAATACATTGATCCTGATGACCTTGTGTATCGATCATAACGTCCGCTTCGTCCAAGACAAAAACAATTATTTTCGTGAGATCGAAAAACTTAAATTTCACCGCCCAATCCAAAACTTTTCCCGGTGTTCCAATGATTATATGATCTTCAATTTTCGAACCTCTTGGTACTGCAAATATAAAATAAAAATATTAGTCAATGAAATCAATTCTATTCAATTAAAATTTTAATTTAATTAAATAAATTTTACTAATTTAAAATTTTAATTTAATTTAATGAAATAATGTTTATTTATTAAAAATGGCATTTTAAAAAAAGAATCTTTTTAAATAATTGAGTAATATTTCGTATTTAGGAAATAGATATTTGTAATTATTAGACTTCGACCGAGTTTGAAAATTATTAACTCAGTTATTCGAATGGCAAATTCTCTTTACACATGAGACTCTAGATAATTAAATTTCAACTTGGAAATTGGCGGTACTCACTTTCTTCTCCTCTAACTGCGAATTTTATTTTAATCTCAGGGCAATATTGCGACATTTTCGCTGTCACTTCACCAGTTTGCACTGCTAATTCATAAGTAGGAGATAAACACAGCACTTGAGGGTATGGTTTCGATGTATCTACCCTGCTTAACATTGCGAGAATAAATGCAGCAGTTTTACCAGTTCCTGATTGCGACTGTGCGATCATGTTTTGCGGCCTGCAAACAGAAAATCATCATAATTTTTCTTTTCAAATATTTTCAATTTAAAAATTAATGCATTAAAAAACAATAGATTCTTGCAAAGAATTTTATCAAAACATTTGAGAATAATTGAATTTCTTCGCAGAATTTTATTATTTATGAAAATAATTGAATTCCTGGGAAAAATTTTATTATTTATAAAAATAATTGAATTGTTTCGAAGAATTTTATTAAAATATTTGAAAATAATTAAATTTTCTCAAAGAATTTAATTAAAATTAAGTGGAAATTAATTGAATTCTTGACAAGAATTTGTTTCAAATGTTTTTAAAATAATTAAAATTCTGTAAAGAATTCAATTATTTATGTAAAAAATTGAATTATTGACAAGAATTTGTTTCAAATTTTTTAAAAATAATTGAAAATCTGTAAAGAATTCAATTATTTATGAAAAAAATTAAATTCTTGACAAGAATTTGTTTCATATATTTTTAAAATAATTGAAATTCTGTAAAGAATTCAATTATTTATGTAAAAAATTGAATACTTGACAAGAATTTGTTTCAAATTTTTGAAAATAATTGAAATCCTCCGAAGAATTTTATTAATTAATAAAAAAAATCTAAATCCTTCAAAGAATTTTATTATTTATGCAGATAATTAAACTCTTGCGAAGAATTTTATTAATTAAGAAAGTAATTGAAATCTACAAAAGAATTTTGTTTTTTATGAAACTAATTGAACTGTTTGGAAGTATTTTATTAATATTTTTGAAAATGATTGAATTCTTTTGGAAAATTTTATAACGAATTAAGAAAAAAAAATTGAATTCTTTCGTGAAATTTATTATAAAAAATAATTGAATTGTTTCGAAAGATTTATTAAAATTTTGTTGAAAATAATTGAATTTTTGCAACAAATTTTATTAAATTTTTAAAAATAACTGAATTCTTCCGAAGAATGTTATTATTTATGAAAATAATTTGAAATTTTGATTATGAAAATAATCCAAAATTTATGTTTGGAATAAAAAATGTTGCAATTTGCATAATAATAATTAAATTAAATATTTAAACGATTTAAACAAATTTTTTGAAAATTAGAAAATAATTAATTACGGATCAGCTAGAAGTGTCGGCAAAGCAGTCTCTTGTATCCTTGACGGTGCGTTAAAACCCATTGCATAGACACCTTTTAATAATTCCGGTTTCCTAAAAAATCAACAAATAAAATTGTTTTATTTCTCTTTAAATAATAAAATTAAATGGATCAAAATGATTACTGTTAATTAGAAAAATTAAAAGGATTAAAATTATTACTGTCAATTAACAGAATTAAAAGGATCAAAATTATTACTGTTAATTAACAGAATTAAAAGGATCAAAATTATTACAGTTAATTAACAGAATAAAAAGAATCGAAATTATTACTATTAATTCGAAAATTAAAAGAATTTGTTAAGTTTACGAAAAAGTCTTACAAGTGCAAGCCTTCGAAGGATTTTATACTGTATAAAGGTGACGAAGGATCTTTTCTCTGAATCTCTATATCACGTGTTGTTTCGACAAGACCTTTGCGAATAATTTTTTGCAACAACGACTTATCAGCCGCTGATATTTGCTCCGTGCTTTCGTCAGTCTCACTGGAAGTTGTACTACTTTTCTCAATACTTAAATTTGTCACCTGAAAAACATTTAAAAAAAGAAATGAATAAATAAGAGAAAATTAATGATCATTTGTGATGAAATTAATCAAATTTTGACTTTAAAATATCTTTAATCATATTTCCCCGTCTTTTACTATTCAAAGTTTTTTTAAAACCATTTTAAGTACGTTTTTACAAGATCAAAGATAAAGCAACTTGACCTTCAAGGGCCTAATCCAAACAAAGCATATATTTTGTTTTTATTCATTTCCGTAGAAATGCCTAACAATAGAAATAAATCTTTGATTTATACTTTAGTCCACATAATAACGAAGATCTTTTTTTAGAAATAATTAAAGATCTCTCAATAATTTAAAAAATACATTTTATTTGAAATAGATTAGAAGTATCATCGATATTTTTATATTCAAAGAAAAAAAATTGTCATCACAAGAGGTTATGCCGGAAATAGTATAAAAACGATATTACCTGTGACGCTAATTTTTCCTGATCTTGGGCATATTTTCCCCAGTCAATTTTTCCCGATGCCATTTTTGTCGTATTGTTTGCATACACGACGAGAAACTTTTATCTTCAATCTATTTAAATACGTGTAATAAATAATTATAAATTAACTGACAAAATAATCTTAACGTTCTGAATAATATAGAAATTTTCTTCAGGGCAGGGTTGCACAGATAAGACAAGCTTTCGTGATGAACAAGGTTGGGAAGGTTAAAAAGAAAAACTTCCATGAAAATTGTCCAGTTTTGCAGTGTAAACGTGTCATAACGGAAGTATTAAATACCGTTCACACGGACACCTTTGTTGCATTCCACAGTCTCACTTTTCAAATATTAATGTTAATAAAAAATAAAAATTAAATACAAAACCAAGAGAAAAAATTGAAAAGGTATTATTTACAATTATATTTATTAAAACCAACAATTACTACAAAAATAAGCGGATTGGAATGAGAAAAACAAAATTGAACGTTTTGTTTAGTTAAAAAAATGACAACAGGAAAGTAAAATCACAATTTTCTTTCTCACATTACAGTTTATTTTTCACTTTTCAAACAAATCATAATAAGTAAAAAACATTAAAAAGTAAATGCTCAATGTAAATTTAAAATGTGTATAAAAGTATAAATTGACAAATCGCGAGTTTTACATTCATCAGGTCTTTTGAAAATGGCAATTTCGTAACACACGTTTTCAGATCTTCAAAACTTTACAAAAAGTCAGATATAAAAAAATATACATCGAGTATTATTATAATCATTTCAAAATTGATAATTCCATAACTTTTGTTTATACTGTAAAGTTTAAAACAGTCATTCGCAGAATTAAATTTCTGTTAGACCTCAATAAATGAAAACAAGCAAAAACAGTATTCCTCACATTTAATTTCAAACTGGCAAAAACTAATAAAATTCCTTTTGTTCATATCGTCATAATTAGATAAAAATTACTTATTTTTTTTCAAATATTTCATTCTATAGCCTCCTTTTTTTCGTAATATTTCTATAAAAAAAAATCAGCTGCACATTGTGTAAAACTATTTATACTTTAAACTTAAACGTTAATAAAAATGATGAGTTTTGTTTTTAAAAAGTTTTTAAAAACAAGTTGCCAAATTTTTACGTGTTAATCCTTTCGACAGTAATTGAATATTTACTAAACCAAATGTGTATTAATTAATTACTTAATTAATTAAAAAGTGAATTTTCATATACGATTATTTCGAAAAATAAGCTCGATGATACATAAAATTTTACTGAATATAATAATATCTACGAAAACAATATATTTCTCGACAATAATAGTATAAAATCTTATACAATAAACTTATGTTTAAAACGTTTAAAAACTATTTAAGATTTTTATATATTTTTTTTTCATAAAAGACCAGCGTATAATTTAACATTGTAAGGACGAGTGAAATAGAAAAAATTCTATATTAAAAAGAATCGACGTCTTCTTTTCTTTTTTTAATTCCGTTCTGATAAATAAAATAAAAATAAATTCTGATAAATAAATATCAGTTTAAATTTAATTAAAAATTTAATCAGTACTGAATTTAATATTTAAGAATTTAAAAATTCTTTTTAAAGAATTTAAAAATTCTTTCTAAAGAATTTAAGAATTTAAAATTTAAAAATTCTAAAATATTTTTATAAATTAATATCCTGCATTAATTAAATTTCAAAATTACACGCCACTCGAATGTAAGATTTCGTGAAACATTTTCAGTATAAATAAAACAATTATTTATTCGAAAATGTTTAGGTACTAAAATATGTTGTTAGATTGTGTAAGTACTTTGTGCTTTATACGCACCAATATAAATCGATTTTTTGTTTGTAAACATTTTTAGAATATTAGTGTATAAATATAGCTATGTTTTTTTGTCTATTATTCATACAATACAAATGTTTTCAAATATTCGCTAGAGATAATTATAGACTTTTTTTTTGTCATCTTAAAAAATTGGAAACTGTGACTTAGTTTTTCTATTTTGTAAATTTTTCTTTTCTCTTATAACAAGTATAGATAAAAATTCTCGCAAGATTATGACTTTTTTTGGAAGATTTTGTTCTAATATAAATTTGGCATTAATAATAGAAGACAAGAGAATTGATATAGTGCCTATATATATTTATATAAAAAAAATTTTCTTCTTTGCTAAATACGAATATAAAAAGAAATTATTGCTATGGCAAAAAACCTAATTCCAGTAATATTGAAGGCACTTTTTCTTTAATAAGTTTCATTTTTTCACTCTAATTTGCTACTAATATATATCTCTCTATTTAAATAAAATTCTAAATAAAACTAATTAGTAGTGTTAACGTTTTTAGCACTTTAATTCTACGTACGTATTAGATCGTCTTATTTGAGTCTAAAAAGCAAAGAAAAAAAGTTCTAACATGCTAAATGAAGACATTTGAAAATTCTACAAAATTATGGCAGTATTAATTAATAATTAATAATTAATAATTATTTAATTAATAATAATTAATAAATATATACTAGAAAATCATTAGATGCCTCTAAAATCGCAAATTGCACGATACAACACTTATCTAAAAAAAAATGCATTTATCGTAAATTACTTTTTTTAGTTAAAAAAAATTTTTTAGTTTCAATTAAAGAAAAGATACTTTTAACTAAAAAAATTCTAAAATCCTGTTTACGAAAATCTTTTCTGCAAATTTACACAATTAACAGTTTTTTTATATTGTCATTCAAGTCTCAATTTTTTTTTTGTTTGTCAATCAAGTAAAATAATAGTGAAACCATAAATTTGGCACACATATTAATGGCAATGACAAAAAATTGAATGACACGATATTCATATCATTGTGCATTAATCCTTTGGAATGATTCAGTCTCATATAACGCAATTGCTTTGCGTTGCACATTTTTTCCAATCAATAAACCTTGCATTGTTCCTCTCTCTCTCTATTTTTAGTAAATTTCGTTTGCCAAATTATTATTAAATAAATTATTTAAAACAAAAAAAAATTAGTATACCTTTTCATCTTCAGCGTTTAGAAGTCAAATACTGAATAAAATTCAATTTTCATTTCTCCATAGAAAATGAAAATCATCCAAAAGAACATTCTTGTAAAGTTAGGCTCTACTTTTCTCGTGTAGGCGTCTTTAAGATTTTCCGGCGTAAGTGGGATTTTTGAATGTTGAGGTAGCTTGCTTGTAGATTGGATTTTCGCCCTAGAAATATTTTTCGAACGCATTACAGTTTGAAAATTTTGTTAGAATTATTTATGACAAATATTAAAGAATTTTATTTTATTAAATATTAATATTATGTACTTAATAAGTGAATTCTTTAAATGTAAAATCTGTAAATTTTTAATTTACAAAATAATAAGAAATGGAATTCATTTGCTAGTTTATTTATATATTTACTAATAATAATTAAAATATTAAAAATGAATTCCAAATGTAAAAATTAAATTATTCAGGAAAAAAGTAATAATTACCGTGTCCCATTTGGCCATCATTCTCTCCTTCTCGAATTTGGCGAATTCGCGTCTATCGTGAATGGTTGTTAATAATTTCCAAATGAACAGAATAGTGAGACCCATCATTACAATTCCAGCAATAACTGCCATGACAATTCCCAGTAAATAAATTTTTGGCGGGCATTCCTTTTGTTTTTGTGCTTCAATTACGAGTTTTGTATCGTTATAATAATACATAAAAAGATAATTGCAATCGTCTTCGCCTTTATATTTGCAAACAATTTCGTCCTCCATTACTAGTGTTTTATCGATTGCCTCCACGTATTCTATTGGAATTTCTGTACAATTTGTTGGACATTCCTTGATTGTGTCATTCCCAATATTTTCCAATTGACACATAACGCATGGCGTTAATTCCTCGCAACGATCCTTGCATGTCGCACATTTCTGACAATACGAACCCGAATATCGAACGCCATTTTCAATAAGACACTCGCACTGTCCACAAACGCAATTTCCCTTTGAAAGAAAGAAAACATTATTAAAAAAGTGACAATATTACGAAATTACAAAATAACAAAGAGACAAAATTTATTTTCAATATCAAATAAATATTTACTTAAAACGTTTAAAATATTTATATAAAATGCTTAAAATATTTACGTAAAAAATATTCTTACTTTTCCTGAACATTCCAAATTTGTTCCTGGCTGTATGCATGTGTCATTTGATGATTTACATTCACATGCTTTGCCGATCCATCCAGATTTACATTTACAAAATCCATCGCAACCGCATTCACCATTGCCGGAGCAATATTTATTATCACGACGATCGCATGAGAAATTATCACATTCACAATAATCGCCCCATATTTTCTATAAAGAATTATTTTTTTTTTATTAATATTACTATTAATTTATAATTTAATGTCATTATTATATACATTGTTTCAAATTTTCAAAAATTATAATATAATTTTTCGCAAGAATTCAATTATTCCTACAAAATAATAAAATTCTTCTTATGAATTCAATTATTTTCAATATAATTTTAATATTTGTGTAAAGGATTCAATTATTTTAAAACATTATAATAAAATTTATCACAAGAATTCGATAATTATTTTTTATACAATTTTAACAAAATTTCTCGAAAGAATACAATTATTTTTAATAAAATTCTTCGAAAAAATTCAATTAATTTCGTAAACAATAAAATTCTTTACAGGAATTTCATTATTTTCAATACAATTTTAATAAAATTACACGAAATAATCCAATTATTTAAAAAAATTTTAATAAATTTCCTACTAAGAATTCAATTATCTTCACAAATAAAAATCTTCGATGAAATTCAAATATTTTCAAAAATTTTGATAAAAATCTTTATAAGAATTCAATTAATTTTCATTCAATTTTAATAAAATTCTTTGGGAAAATTTAATTATTTTCAAATATTTCAATAAAATTCTTCGAAACAATTCAATTATTTTCATAAATAATAAAATTCTTCGGAGGAATTCAATTATTTTCAATACAATTTTATGAAAGAATACAATTATTTTTAAAAATATTATTTAAATTCAATTTTTTTCAAGAGTTTTAATAAAAATTCAGTTATTTTCAACAATTCTTAAAAAATTCTTCGAAAAAATTCAATTATTTTTATAAAATGTAAAATTTTTGGCAAGAATTTAATTATTTTTGAAATAACAAAATTCTTCTGAGAAATTCAGTTATTTTCAATACAATTTTAATTAAATTTCTAGGAAAAAATTCGACTATATTCAAGATAATTTTAATTAAATTTCTGTAACAAGTCCAATTATTTTTTAAAATTGTAATCAAATTTTTGTAAACAATTCAATTGTTCTCAAAAGTTTTTAATAAAATTCTTTGTAAATTTCAATTATTTTCAAAATTTCTAATTAAAGTTATTTTAAATAATTACAATATTTTTATGAAATTTAATGAAATTCTTCAAAAAAATGTAATTATTTACAAAAACTCTAATGAAATTGTTTAAAAGAATTTAATTTTCTATGAATAATTTTAATATAATTTAATAGGATAATCGTTATTTACAATTTATAATAAACACAATTACTTTAAAAACTTAAAAGAAATTCTTTTTAAAATTCAATTATTTTTAAAAATTCAAAAAAAATTGTTCCAAAAAAGTTAATTTTCTCAATAATTTTAATAAAATTATTAATTACATTTTATCCATAAAATGAATTATATTGAAAAAATTAAAAAAATTCTTTGAAAGAATTCAATTATTTAAAAATATTTTATAAAATTTCTGGAATTAAGTTTTTTTTAAAAATTTTAATGAAATTCTTCGAATCAATTCAATTATTTTTGTAAATAATAAAATTCTTCGCAGGAATTCAATTATTTTCAAAAAATTTTAATACAATTTAATAACCAAACTGATGTTCAATTATCATTACATTTTAAAAACTTGAAAGAAGTTTTTCACAAAATTCAATTAATTTCAAAATTTTCAATTAAAATTATTCAAAATACTTTTCTTCAAAAAAAAATCCATAGAAATTCTTCAATATAATTTAATTATTTTTAATAATTTTAATAAAATTCTTCGCAAAAAAAATTCATTTATTTTCATAAATGAGATTAATATTTCCCGCGATAATTCAATTAATTGTAATACAATTATAATAAAATTTCTTGAAAGAATTTAATTATATCCACGGAGACATTGTAAATAAATAAATTATTTAAAAAATTTTTGATAATGTTCTTCTGAAGAATTCAACAACTAAGTTTAAACTACGAACAGACTCTACCGGAATACAAAGATTTATTTTTTTTTATAATTATAAATAATTTATTAATTTTTGTTTAACTGCAGAGGAAAAAAGACTTACCAAATTTTCACCACTCGGTGGATAACATTCACAAACGCCACAAGTGCATTCTCCTCTACCTGAACAATCCACCAATGATGTATTATCACGTCGGCAATTTTGGAAATTTTTATAATGATCATTCGCTGTATTATTGCATTCGCATTTTTTGCCAAAACTTCCTGGATTACAGTCACAAACCCCACACTTGTACGTTCCATTATTATTGCATTTCGATGAATTTTCTTTGTAAGAAGAATCCTCAGGACGTTCACAATCACATTCGCAAATCATTTCTAAATTAATTCTTAAAGCTTCATTAATGCCCACCTTAAAAATGTAAAATAATTTTAGTAATTTTATAGTAGTTAGTAGTTTATAGCAATTTTAGTAAAGGAAAAATAGTTTAAAAGACTAAAAGGTAAAAGGTTTCAAAGGTAAAAAGAAATTTAGTTTTAAATTTATAAATTTTTTCTTTAAATCTTACCGGATAGATGGTGAATGTTTGATTCCACTCAGATCGATTTGCCGGACAATGAGTGACAGTAATATCAGCGATAAATTCCACTTTATCGCCTTTCTTTAATTTATCACATTTAGTTGTTTCAATTGGTTGAATATTCTTATTACCATTTAAACATTGCGATAAATATTTAATTTTCACAGCATCACTACTCACTGTATCTCTAATTTCAACTGTACTTCGTATTTGATTGTATTGATTTTTAATTAATTCGACGATATTACTTGAATCGTTCGATAATTCACCGGCTGATGAACCTTCAATGTGTGAGCAGAGTCTCGAATAAATTGACATTTCACCTTGAGTAATTGCCCAGATAATATTTATTGCATTTTGCTTGACCTTCTGATTGATTTGCGAGATACTGGGATAATCTTGTAGTGATGAATGCGTATAGAGACCGGAGGAATCTAAATGACACACACCGTCATTAGGCTTAACGATACCACCGAGTTTACCATCGCCAGCATAATGGAAACTGGCATCCGTTGAAAATACCAATAAACGACGTGCTTTATCGCGCCATCCAATCTCATCTTTACAAACAATCGCTTGCATTATTGCATCGAATCCTCCTTCGGGGGCGTCTAAATTTCCCGATACTGAAGCATTTCTCACCAAGTCCTGAACAATGGTAGATATTTAATTAAAGAATTAAAATTGAAATGAAAAAGTAATTATAATTATAAAGTAAAAACGATTGTTATTAAAGAGTAAAAATAACTATAGTTCAAAGTAAAAATAATTATTATCAAAGATTAAAAATAACTATAATTAAAAGTAAAAATAATCATAATCAAAAAGTAAAAATAACCATAATTATAAAGTAAAAATAATTATAATCGAAAAGTGAAAAATAATAACCATAATTATAAAGAAAAAATAATTACAGTAAAAAAATTATATAATTAAAATATTCATGTAATTCTAATTAAGATAATAATTGCTATTTCGATTGATAAGCAGATAAAATGAACTCACTGCAAAAAGACTCGTATCCTGTGAGAGTCGCATAATGTGTTTATAACCATACGGAGCAGCACATGCTTTACATGGTTGTAAAAGCCTGCGATTAAAAAAATATATTTTATTTAATACGTTTACGTAATATTTAAAAATTTACAAAAAATGTAAATTTACAAATTTACAAAATTTAAGTTTACTTACATTTGTGGCACTACACTCACGTAAGGCATTACAACTTTGTCGACAAAACTTCCAAAACCAAGTCGAAATTTACTAGTGAGACTGCTCATTTCCTTAACCAGCAAATCTCCCAGATCGGACAATTTTTTCTTGTCATCTTCCATAGATTTACTTAAATCCATAAGATAATAAAGATCAACTGGATAATCCTCAGCTTGAGAAAATGAAAATCTAATTCTCTGGGCTTGATCTAATTAGACAAGAAATTTCTTAGTAAACAATAATTATTTCTCAATAATAAACAATTATTCTATCATATTATATTTTTTTTAAAAATTACTTATAAACTATGTAATTAAATATTATTTGTTGTTTTCAAAAATTTTAATAAAATCCGAAAGAATTCAATTTCAAATTACAATTATTTTCATAAACAATAAAATTCTTAGCAGGAATAAAATTATTTTTATAAACAATAAAATTCTTCATAGGATTCAATTATTTTTGTAAACAATAAAATTCTTCGCAACAATTTAATTATTTTTGGAAATAATAAAAAATTTTCGCAGGAATTCAATTATTTTTTTAACAATAAAATTCTTCGTGAAAATTCAATTATTTTCGGAAAAACTAAAATTTTTGCAGGAATTCAATTATTTTCAAAAAATTCAATGTAAATACTTTGAAATAATTTAATTATTTTCATAAATAATAAAATTTATCACAGGAATTTGATAATTATTTTTAATACGACTTTCATAAAGTTTGTCGAAAGAATTCAATTATTCTTCAAAGTTTTAATAGCAAACTTTGTAAAAATTCAATTATTTTCGTAAACAATAAAATGTTTCAACAAAATTTCTCGAAAAAATTCAATTATTTTCATAAATAATAAAATTTATTATCACAGGAATTCGATAATTATTTTCAATACGTTTTTTTAATAATTTGAAAAAATTTGTCGAAAAAACTCAATTATTTCTAAAAGTTTCAATAAAAGACTTTGTAAAAATTCAATTAATTTCGTTAAGAATAAAATACATTTTTAATAAAATTTCTCGAATGAATTCAATTATTTTGAAAGCTTTTAATAAAATTCTTCGTAAAAATTTAATTTCATTTAAAAAAGATTTAATAAAAGTTACAGGAAAAATTTAATTAATTTTATAAACAATAAAATTCTTCGCAAGAATTCAATTATTTTTGTAAACAATAGATAATAATAAAATTCTTCACAAGAGTGCAATAATTTTCGTAAACAATAAAATTCTTCGCAAAAATTAAAGTATTTTTAAAAGTTTTAATAAAATTTTTCGTAAAAATTAAATTATTTTTTAAAAATTGAAATAAAATTCTTTGCAGGAATCTAATTTTTATCAAAACCGTAAATCAAATTCGTTGCAAGAATTTAATTATTTCCAATACAATTTTAATAGATTTCCTCGAAAGAATTCAATTATTTTCAAAAATAATACAATTTTTCGCAGGAATTATTAATTAATTATTTTTAATACTATTTTAAGAAAATGTCTCTAAAACATTTAATTATTTTCAAAAATTGTAATAAAATTCTGAGCAAGAATTCAATTTTTTTCATAAATAACTAAATTATTCTCAGGAATTAAATTATTTTTTTTTTAGTTTTAATAAAATTCTTTGCAAAAATATAAAATATTTTCAAGAATATTCATAAAATTCTTCGAAAGAATTTGATTACTTCTTATCAAATATGTTGATAAAATTTATTTTTAAGAATTAAATTATTTTCTATATAGTATTTTAAATAATAAATTCTTTGAAAGAATTTGTTTTTAAAACTTTTAATAAAACTCTATGCAAGAAATAAATTATTTTAAAATCAAAATTATAAAATTTACAAAAATTTATATATTTTTTTTGACAAAAATATCTTTTTAAATTAAAAAAAAATCTCCTATTAATGCAAAATTGTGTAAAATAAAATAATTTCTAAATATTTCTTGCAAAAATAGTAACATAGAACTTATTGTTATTAATGGTAAATTAATTTAGAAATTTAAATTATGACTTTTAAATCAACATAATTTTATTTTTTTAATTTTGTTATTATTTAATTTTCAATGTTTCAATCAATTTCATTCAATTATTTTTTATTAATTTAATTTCATTAATTTCAAAATTCTGAACATTAAGAGAAAATTATTTAAAAAATCAGGAAACAAAAAATCAAACAAAAATAACTAAATTCAAACATGATTTTTAAGTTTCAAACATTCAAATGAACGAAAATTTCTTCCCTCGCGATATTTTTCAATATTATTTTATTTTAAATAAGAAATAAAAAGTAAATTTACTATTTATTGAGTAAAATAATTCATTTTTTAATGGGCAAATTAATATTTCGTGTATCATAATTCAAGCTTTAAAGTAAGTAACAAAAAATTCGTTCAATTAAACGTTCAGAACTTTAGGGACATCAATTTGTGAACTGAGATCTAAAATACGGTTATTAATATATAGATTATTCTATTAGCAATTATATTAATCTTTCATACTGAGCACTTACTTATTCTCACTTTCACATTAACCTCCTGTGGAGCGATTTGAACCGCCTCTTGTTTTCCATCATTCGCATTAAATCTCGTCGATTGCAATCCACTCGATTCTGATTGAGTTTCCGAACTTAAATTACGATTTTGCACAATACTAAAAACATTTGACGGATAGAAGACATATTTTTCTTCACAAAATTTCGATGCATCTGTACCGGGTGCATAGAAACAACGACGTTCAGTTAAATCCTGAAAAAATAGAAAAGAATTAGTTTATAAAATAAATTAATTCGCAAATAAATAAGATAAAGACACAAAATAAATAATAAAAAATTAAATAAATAATAAAGTAATTCGCAAATAAATAAGAAAAACTAAAACAGATAAATAATAAAGTAATACTCAAATAAACAAGATAAAGTATCACAAATAAATAATAAAGTAATACTCAAATAAACAAGATAAAGTATCACAAATAAATAATAAAGTTATACGCAAATAAATAAAATAAAGTAACACACAAATAAATAAAATCCTTCCTCTATGAGGAAGTAAAAAAATAAAGTATTACAATAATAAAATGTTAATAAATACTTACAGGTTGCATACACCAAGCACAAAGTTCCGTTTGAATGCATTCGTGACATGTTTGTCTACTGATGCAATTATTTGTACCTAATTGTGAATTAGCTTCTACACGAGCACACAATAAAATTGCAACAACTATGAATATCCACAAATTACACGTCATTTCTAAAAAGGAAAACAGACAATGTAATATTAGAATTTTATTTCCTAATTTCTATATTCAAAAGTAACAAATCAGAATAACTTGAGGTAAATGCACCATTGAAACAAAAACCAGCTCTCCCACGCTATTGACTTCAGTTCCTCTACATATGTATTCACAGGAAGTATTAAACACAAAATTAAAAAATCACCACCTATTCTTAGAAAGAATTGCTCATAGAAATTTATTCGAAAAACGAGATATTATCACTTGTAAAATTTGTTTACATTCACGTAAATGTTTCTTAATTTGACAAATAAAATATGATGCATTATACGTCAATCAAGTTCTCTGGAGATATAAAATCATTATTAATGAATTGTACTTACTTTTTTTTGTTAAAAAAGAAACACTCTAAACTATTAGAAACGTCAAATTTGTTCGATTTCACTTATTCCTTTTTCTTCACTAAACAGATCATTATTGAAAGTGATTTTAAATTTCCAAGTAATTAAGCAATTAATAATAATAGTAAAATGAAAATGAGCCGCAAAGTGCCACCAAAACTCATGTAAAACCACATGAGTCATAAAATTTAAAACAGATGGGTAAACACCATTTTTTAAAGGTCAGTTCACATTTCTCTGTTATTTCAATAAAAACATGAAGTTTGTCTCAAATACACGTTTCTGATTGGTTGACAGATTCTTACCAACATTACCGACCGATACGAAATTTAAAAAATTCTTTCCTTACATTTCTAGTTAAAAGTAAAAAAACAAAATAAAAACGCAAGAAAACGCTTTCAAAAATACTAACTGTGATTAAAAACAACGAAAGGAATTATTTTACAGAAAGAAATTAATAAAAAGAATGGAATAGAATAGTGATTTACGAAAATAAAGTTGATGGTAAATTTTCCCGCCAGAATCTAAAGAAATTTCAAAGTATTCCATGGAAATTTATAAGGAGGGAAATTTCTAGGAAGTTAAAGGCAGCAGAGGTTAGAGTAGAGTCTGTGTGGTGGGGACTAGTAGTGCTGGGCCAAATGTGTCATGTTCGCGATTGCAAAAAACCAGGATTGTTAATTAGTGTTCCACGATTGTTTTTGCTCAATTGTTTCAAGTGATGGATGAGGAGAGCTGTATTAATTTCATGGATGTTCGAATATATCAAGTATGAAGCAGCATATTAAACGGCTTTTGCATATCTCACAAATAACCACTATCAATGGACGCGGCCATGTTTTCTGGTAGCAGAAATCGCGAAAATCTTGCCCATTAAATTCCTCGGATTAGTTATTGAAATCACGATAGTGGAATCTACAGAATGCCGAAAAACGATGTGAAATTTAAGTGTCTACCAGCTACATTCGCTTGGACCCTTTTGCTCAGCACTACAACACTTTTTTTCTACTTCCCGTAAGTATTTGCACTTCTCGTACTCTTTTTTTTCTTTTTTTTCTTTCTTTTTGTCTTGAGCCCCGTGTGCGCACATCACATCAATCTTTTTCTTCCCTGTTTTTCGATGGACCACATTTTCACATAATTTTCATGTTTGTAGGAATAAAGGGCTGGATGTCACTCTTCAATATTCGTTAAATTCAATGAATTCAATTTGTCATTAATCGTGTCATTTGATTGGTATATGTGACTGTCGTTGTGTTAAAGTTGGTTTCTTTTTTTTAATTTTTTTAGTCTCTTTAATGAACGGGACAAGCCCATAACAAGTTACGATAAACTAGAGGCAAAAACAAGACTTTGATACCTCTAACCCCAGTGTTTTTCTATATGAATTGTCAACTTTGAGAAGGAATGAATTGTCTCGCGTTCTTAGCTTATATTTAATAGATGTTTGTATGATTAAATGAAGACTTTATTATAGTATTCTGAGTATGTTTTTTTTTGAAGAATTTTATTTAACGAGTTTTAATTCGTTTAATTAGTTCGAATACGTTCGTTCATAAATAAAGTGGCTCATGACAAAGTCTAGAGAATAAAGAATTATTTGATCATCAAATATTTCATCTTGTAATTATTTTTTAAATTGAAATTTGAATGAATGAAAAATTTAAAGATTTTGAATCTGGAATTTAGAGATATTTTTCATTTTCATGTTAATAATTTAAAATTATTGGAATATGTGTAGTATAAATAGTTTTGATGTGGAAGAAAAATTCTTTAGAAAGTATCTAAATATAGGTAGCACTTAAAAAATAAAATATATTATCTACAGAGATGAACGAAATTTATTAGGGCAGTTTCTGATTTTAATTCAATACCACTTGACGATTGTGTATTTTTGGAAATGTGAATTTTAAAAATTACAACAAATTGAAAAACTTCTTTTTTAAATGAAGACAATCTATTGAATTTTAATTTTGTAATTTATTTTTTCAATTTAATTTAATTTTGTAATTTAATTTAATTCTTTTTTAATTTTCAGTGAATTAATTTGAGTTTTATTTATTCTATTTTGTTTTTTTTAGGTGCCAGTATTACATTGGACCGTATCCATGGGTTCCTGCACTGCAAGGAGTTATCACTTTCTTTGTTCTGGCAAATTTTACCTTAGCAACGTTTATGGACCCGGGAGTAATACCAAAAGGTATAAATAATAACGAAGAATTGGAATAAAATCGAAAATTTATTACAGGGTCTCCAGAGTTCAGGGAAATGTCAGAGAATTTTATTAAAAGTACTGGAAAAAATTAAATGTTTAGAATTTATAAGAAAATTCTAAATTTTTGTTTCTTTTTGTTTGTCTCATAAACTATGAAATTTCCACGAATTCTAAAAAAAACCTTAAATTTCTTCTCTTTCTGACAATAATTTAATTAAGGACCTATTTTTTTTTTAATTTTATCTTCAATTCTGTTGAAATTAGTTTCAATTTTAAAAATATTCAATTCAAAAATTTTTAAAGCAATTCTTTGAAAAAATTCAACTATCTAAATAAATATTAAAATTCTTTCCAGAAATTAAATTATTTTAAAAAATTTTTAAAAAAGATTCTCGTCAACATTTCAATAATCTTTATAAATAGCAAAATTCTTCGCCGAAATACAATTATATTCAGGAAGTTTTATAAAATTCATTATAAAGTTCCATTATTTTCATAAATAACAATATTCATCACAAGAATTCAATTATTTTCAAAATTTTTAATAAAATTCATAGATAAATTACTATTATTTTCAATTAAATTTCATAATTCAATGATTTTCAATATTCTACTATTTTAATAAATGTTCACAAAATAATTCAATTACTTATAAACAATTTTGACAAAGTTCTACACGAATGTTCAAATATTTTCTAAAATAATGAAAATTTCACAGGAATTAATTTATTAAAAATAGAATTTGCATAAATTTTTTCGAAAAAAATCAATTGTTTGCAATTTTTTTTATAAAATTCTGCGCAATATTTAATGAATCATTTTTACAATTTTCATAAATACTAGATTGATAGAAGAATTTTAGTTAAAAATACCAAAAAAAAATTGTATTTTAGAAAAGTTACAAATGATTCTAGAAATTCAATTATTTTCAAAAGTTATAAAAATTCTTCGCAGAATTTCAATTATGTTCAAAAATTTCTAAATAATTCTCGTCAATATTTCAATTATCTTTATAAATAATAAAATTCTTCTTCATAATCCAATTATTTTTAAAAATTTTAATAAAATTCTTGGCAAAATTCCACAAAAATTCAATTATTTACAAAATTTTTAATAAATTTCTTCGAAATAATTGAATTATTTTCATAAGTAATAAAATTTTCACAGGAATTCAATTATTTAAAATACGAAATTTCATAAAATCTTTCTCCAGAATTTAATTATGTTTATAAACAATTCAATTATTTATATAAATAATAAAATTCTTCACAGTAATTCAGTTATTTTTATAAACTTGAATAAAACTCGTTGGAAGAATTAAATTATTTTCAAAAGTTATAAAATTCTTCGCAAAAATTCAATTATGTTCAAAAAATATTAAAAATTGATTTAAAGAAGAATTTTATTTAAAAATTGTAGAAAATAATAATTGGACAGAAATGATAAAAATAATTTTGAAGAAGTTACAGTAACAATATTCTTATTTTATAATATAAAATTTTTATTTTATCTCTTGATCATCTTTAATTATTGTAAAAAATGAAGATATCGATCACTCGGAGTGAGCGCTTTCTTCATTTTTTACAATAATTTTCTTATAAGTTATTAAATTTCAAAAGGTTTGAATTTAAAATTTTTTGAAAAACTTAATTCCTGTGGGGAAAATAATAATAATTAAATATTTATTTAAAAATGAAGTTCTTGGTGTTTTCGAATAATTTTACAATTAAGGAAATTCGTAAATAAATGTAGAAGAACATTTTTTTGAGTATCAAATAATTTTTAGAGTGAATCAGAATTTTCTTTAGGGAAAAAGTCAAAATTTTGTCTCGAAATCAGGAAAAAAAATTAAATTTTCGTGGCAACCTGTGAATTATTTTCAATTAAACTTTTTTTGTACAGCTCCACCAGACGAAGATCGAGAAGATGATTTCCGAGCTCCTTTATATAAAAATGTAGAAATCAATGGAATTACAGTTCGCATGAAATGGTGTGTCACCTGCAAATTTTACAGACCACCACGTTGTTCCCATTGTAGTGTTTGTAATCATTGTATCGAGGTAAATTTTTCAATTTTCCTTTTTATTGAATATTTTATTTAAATTTTGAATCTGAATCTTTTACTGAATTTCCAATTTCAATCATGATCCTAAAGCCTCCGACGTTCAAAATAAATTTTTATTACAATAATTTTGCGTCAGTGGCAAAAAAACAGAATTATAAACTTTCTAAATGTAAAATTTATCTTTTTAATGTTTATTCAAATCAGTGGTTTATGAAAATATTTTTATTACAATACTTTTGCGTCATTGTAAAAAAAAAATGATTTATAAAGTTTCTAAATGTAAAATTTATGTTTTTAATTTTTATTGCATTCAGTGGTTTATGAAAATATTTTTAATTACGAATAATTCATTTGAACGTTTAAAACCTTTGGATTTTTTGTCTTTTACTGAATTTTCTATTTCTATTTTGCCATTTAAATTTAATGAATTTTTTATTTCAATTTTTCATTTTAATTTTTTATTAAAAATTATTTAAAAAAAATTTTTTATAGAATATAAATAGAAAATACTTGAATACTGAAAAATAGATATTTAAAAGAAATATTTACAGCAAATTGACCTGAAATAATGGCAAACTAATAGAAAAAGAAAAATGTTCTATATTTGTATTGTCCATTATCTTTGGAAAGATAATTATCAACTAACGTCAACAACCTACATATTGAAATTTTCATTTTCTAATCTAATCATTTTTCAAAAGATAATTACTGTACACAATATATAAGGGTATTATTTACTTTTGATATGTATTTCTTTTTTCTAGACATTCGACCATCATTGTCCATGGCTAAACAATTGCATTGGCAGGAGAAATTACCGATTCTTCTTCTTCTTTCTCCTGTCGCTCAGTTCACATATGCTTAGTATATTTGGACTTTGCCTCTATTTTGTCCTTCTACACAAACAGCAACTAGGCGAAGTTCAGACAATTGTCGCGTATCCTTTATTAATACTAAGAAAATCAAATATTATTTTTTTAAGCCATGACATTTTTTTAAAACGGATGTTTTCTAACGAAGTATGGTTGGAATTTTTTTCAAAATACTAAAATTTAGAGAATTTGAAAAAGATAATTTTTTTTGTTTCAGTAATAAAATTATGACAAAGAAACACAATCGAAAATTTCAAAGAAAAAATATTAAATTTTAATTTAATTTAATTAAAATTTAATTTAATTTAATTTATTAGTTATTAAATTAGGTTGTAAAAATTGTTTATCTAATCTAATGTAAAATAATGATTCATAATTGGTCATAGGTGTATTTTTTTGTCGTATTTTATTCGTCTTGTAGTGAGTGTAAAAAACGTAAGTGCATAATATTTTCGCTCTGCAACGCAGTATTTGATTAAAATTATGAAAGAATAATGCAAAGTAATTTTTTGGGTATTTCCTTAATTGAATAAATAGAATGGTACTCATGGGCGTGGTAACGATACTGGTGATTCCAATATTTGGATTAACCGGATTCCATGTAGTGCTCGTTTTTAGAGGACGCACGACGAATGAACAAGTCACCGGCAAATTCAATACTGGTTACAATCCCTTCTCTCGCGGATGTTTGCACAATTGCTGTTACACACAATGTGGACCGCAGTTTCCGAGGTATTTCTGTCACCAATTAATAAACGAAATCTATTTTTAGATCATTAAAAGAAATCAATTTTAATTGTTTCTAGTTTTTTTTCCATCCTTTTTTTAAATTGAAATTGATTTTTTGAAATGATTATTAATATTTCGATGATTTGAAATAATTGATTATTAATAATTTACAGGCTTCGCACTCATCTACTAAAATCTACTATTTACTATTATTTTTACCTTATGCTACTATTTGGGCATTTTTTTAGATTTCAGCTACTAAAAGCTACTATTTTTGTTTTTTTTTTAGAATTTACACTACTTTAAATTCGCTAATACTAGAAATCAAAAAACTATAATGAAATTCTTCAAAACGATTTAATTATTTTCAAAAAATATTCAAAATTCAATTATTTATAATATCTAGTATTTGCATAAAATTTCGCAAAAGAATTCAATTATTTAAAGAAAAAATTGATAAAATTCATCCAAAATTCAATTATTTTCATAAATAATAAGATTTCCACAGAAATTAATTAATTCTTATGAAGACTTCAATTATTTTCAAAAATAACAAAACTTTTCACAGAAATTCAATTCTTTTTAAACATTTTGATAAAATTTATCGCAATAATTCAATTATTTTCATAAGTAATAAAATTCTTCTCAGCAATTCAATGATTTTTAAAATTTTAATAAAAATTCTTTGCAACTATTCAATTATTTTCATTACTAATAAAATTCATCGCAGGATTTCAAATTATTTAATACAATTTTACAGGAATTGCTCAAAAAATGTAATTGATTTTAAAAATTTAATTTAAAATCCTCGAAAAAATCACTTATTTAATCAAATGTTTTTTTAAATTCTTTTGAATAATTCAATTATTTACAAAAATTATTTTAATAATTAAAATAACTAATACGAACGAGTGATAAAGTCATATTACTATTTACAAAAATATTAGAAGTTTTTACAGGAATTAAATTATTTTCAAATATTTTAATAAAATTTTTCCCAAGAAATCAATTATTTACATAAATAATTCTTCGAAAGAATACAATTATGTCGATAAATATCAAAATTATTCTCGAAAATTCAATTATTTTGAAGTATTTTAATAAAATTATTTGCAAAATTTAATTATTTTCATAAATAACAATATTCATCACAAAAATTCAATTCTAATAAAATACCACACAGACATTCAATTATTCTCAAAAATTTTAATAGAATTCTTTATAAATTGTAATTATTTTAAAAAACTTTTTGCAATTCAATGATTTTCAATATCTACTATTTTCACAAAATTTCCAAATAGAATTCAATTATTTAAAAAAGATTTTGTAAAGATTTTCGTAAGAATTCAATTCTTTTCATAAATAATAAAAATTTATCAGGAATTCAATTTCGCAAAAAATTAGGTAGTCGGAAGAAATCAATATATTTAAAATTTTTTATTAAATTCTTTGCAAGAATTAAATTATTTTTGTAAATATTTAAATGTCTTTCAAGAATAATATGAAATTCGTTACAGGAATTCAATTTACTATTAGGATAAGAAAGAAGGAAATATTTTTAATAAAAATTAGGAAAATGTCAGGAAAATAAAATATAAAATGGAATTTTTGTCAGTTTTGTGAAGTGTCTAAAATGAGTTTTTTTGGTTGTCATGTTTAATTTTTTCAATAGCTACTTTTTTACTACTTTTTTTAGTTTCAAAGCCACTTTTTGTTGCTTTTTTAAAATTAATCATCGAGTGCGAAGTCTGAATTTAAAATCGTTTGAAATTATTTTTTCGTTCATTTGTTTTTTGTTGAATTTATTTTTTGTTGAAATTATTCTTTCGTTGATTTGATTTTTTGGTGAAAATATTATTTCGTTGCTTTGATTATTATTTTTCATTGAAATGATTATTAATTGAATGTTGTTGTTTGTGCAGTTTAATAAAACCTGAAAAGTATTCAGGAAAACGACGCGGAGCTTGCACGTCCGACATCTCGATCATCGCCACTGAGAACCAGGTAAAAACCTACATGGATAGCAGCAATGGTGTTAGAAATGCCAGTTCAAATGCTTACAATAAGGTAAGAGCTAGCACAGAGTAGCTCCATTTTTTTTAAAATTCTCACGTAACTACAACGTCGGTGGCGGCGTAATGCTTCCTTTTATGCACGATGTTAACCGAGTTGATAAAGCTTCCGAGTTTCTCTCAATTCCAGGTTTCAGTATAACTTACTTTATTTCTTTTTCTAAACCAAACGTAGAATTTTGTTCCAAATAACTAAAAAAAAATTAAATTTTCTTTTTGCTTTTTCCTACTTGTGATAAAAATATATCAAAAACAAAAAAAATTTACTTAACTTTGGAACGAGAAATCAGATTTTAAAAAAACTACGTTTGATTTATTAGGAAGTTCATAGAATTGTAGTTCTATTCTGCATTTGCATGAGTGATGCTTTTTTAGTTAGTTTTATAAAGGAATTTTTTAGAAAAATTCTCAAATATTTAAAAAAGTGCTTTTATTTTTATTCAGAAAACTACGATCAGAATTGAAATTCCTTCGCACAATCCACGTCAGAAGAAGTACTATTTTTGATTCCTTTTACCCTCTTTGGTCCTTAATTCCGGCTCCTTGCCTTCCAATTATGTTTCACAAGGTTTCTAATTAAATTAAACGATTTTATTTCTTTTGATAGTATGAGAATGGTGATGATTATCAAAAGAGGAATGTATAATTTTTGAAAATTACAGTTATCGCCTGGTCGTGATGGATCCGATACGGATATGGAGCCAACGGCTTCTCAATCGGCCGATTGTGAACCAACGCCTCCATTGCAGAGGCACGGATCGAAAAGTAATTTTTTCCTGCCATCCATGGAGAATAATGACTCTCCAAGACATCCTCTTCCACCGAGAGGAAGGGGACTGCCAAGAGGCAGTCCACATCCCAGGCCGAGGTATTTTTTAATCCAATTTTACTTTTCTTTTAATTTCTCAGTCTTGCATTCTAAATGCTTTCGATATTCATCTATTTCTCTTTTCTCATTTCATTAATTATCAATAATAATAAAAATAATAATTTTAATATTAATCGCAGTACTGAATTTATTACCTATTAATATTCAAATTACAACATTTTTTACTTTTAAATATCAACTTCAATTATTTAATAATTACAGATTTAAAATTGAAATAATTAACATATTAACTAATTTATTCTAATTTACTATTTTCAATCCCAAATTTTAATGAAATTCTTCGCGAGAATTCAATTACTTTTATAAAAAAAGAAAAAATTCAATTATTTTTAAAGATTTTTTAATTAAAATTCCTCGAAGAAATTCAATTGTTTTCAAGAAAATTTTAATATAATTCTTTGCAAGAATTTGATAATATTTAAAAATTTTAATAAAATTCTTCTGCGAAATTCAATTAACTGCAAAAATTATGTAATAAAATTTCTTTTGAGCCAAATAAATTATTTTCATAAATAATAAAATTCTTCAAAATAATTCAATTATTTACAATTCAATTTTAATAAAATTTCTTGAATGAATTTAAATTTTAATAAAATTTCTTGAATGAATTTAAATTTTAATAAAAATCTTCAAAACAATTCAATTATTTTTAAAAATAATATAATACTTTCTACGAAATCAATTATTTTTATATAAATGATAAAATTATTCGCTATAATTCAATTATTTTTCTAAAAAATAAAATTTTCAAAAGAATTCAATTTTTCAATAATTTTAGTCTTAAAATTAAAAAGATTAATTAATAACTACCTAATAATATAATTATTATTGTTTTCAAAATTTTTAATAAAATTGTTTGGAAAAATTAAATTATTTTTAAAAATTTTAATATTCTTTAAAGGAATTCAATTACTTTTACAAAAAATTCGATAACATTCTTTATAAGAATTGAATTATTTTCAATACAATATTTTAATTTAATTCATTTTCGTATATCGTAAAAAATAAAATTCTTCTTAGGAATTCAATTATTTTCATAAATAATAAAATTTTTTCTAGGCAATTCAATTATTTTATAAAAATTCCAATAGAATTCTGCAAAAAAATTTAATTATTTTCATAAATTTTGATAACATTTTTGTTACAATTGAATTATTTTTTATTTTAATTGAAATCCTCAAAAGAATTGAATTGTTTTTAAAAAATTTAATAAAATTTATGCAAAGTTTTGATAAAATGTTTTATAAGAATTCAATTATTTTCGTAAATTATAAATATTTTCATATGAATTCAATTATTTTTATAAATTATAAATTTCTTCATATGCATTTAAATTTTTTCCTCGAAATTTTATCACATTTCTCGTAATAATTCAATTATTCTTAAAATTTTTAATAAAATTCTTTATAAGAATTCAATTATCTTTAAAAAATAAAATTCTTTGCAGGAATTTGAATATTTTCAAAAATTTTGATAAAAATTCAATTAATTTTAAATCAATTTTAATTAAATTCCTTGAAAAAATTTAATTATTTTCAAATATTTTAATAAAATACTTCGAAAAATTCTATTATTTCGATAAATAATAAAATTCCTTGAATCAATTCAATTATTTTTATAAATAGTAAAATATCTACTTTACAGGAATTCAATTATTTTCAATACAATTTGAATAAAGAAAAAATTGAATTTTTTTTTAAAAATTTAATAAATTTCATGCAAATAATTTGAAAAATTATAATAAAATTTATCGATTGAATTTAGTTAGTTTTGTAAAAAATGAAATTCTTCTTAAGAATTCTACTATTGTCAAAAAATTTTAGAAAAAATCTTCGAAACATTTCAATTATTTTCATAAATAATAAAATTCTTTCTAGGAATTCAATTATTTTATAAAAATTTCGATAAAATTCTTCGAAAGAATTTAATTATTGTCTGTAACTTTGATAAAATTTCTTATAAACATTTATTTTCAATTTTATTTAAATTCCTCGAAAGTATTGAGTTGTTTAAAAAAAAAATGTTAACAAAATTCTTCTGAACAATTCAATTAATTTCAAAAATTTTCATAAAATTCTATGTAATTGTTTATTTTGGAAATTATGATTTTTTATATAAAAAGATTTTGTCTAATTAATTATTATTTAATCTTAAAACATTAAATTAGAGTTTTTTAAATTTTATAATTCAAAACCTTTAGAGAAAGAAATTATCAAAAAAAATTAAGAAACAAAAAAGCAAACGAAAAGAATTAATTCAAACTGCGCACAGATTATCAGAATACAACGATTATTAATATAGAATTATTATTTATATTTATTATTATTTTATTTTTGTTATCATTTTATTATTATTGTTATTATTTTATTAAATTATTACCTATATTATTTTATTATTACATTATAATACTATTATTATTATTTTTGCAGAAACGATTTATTAATTTGAGAAATATTTTTGTTTGTTTTCCCTGAATGGCTTTCGTATAAAAAGCGATCTTTACAGAGGAATGAATGGATCTCGTAGTCACACGCCAGATGCATTATCACCAGAAGGTAGTGGATCTCCGGCAATAGGTCCGCAGAGAGGTCAGGGCCAAGGTGGTGCAAGTCCAACGATGCAGCAACGAATCAAAGCCATCGGTGTACCCACCCCTCTTGCCATTTCCAGTCCAATTCGCAGGTATATATATAATTTTCATTGCGTAATAAAATATCTTTATAAAACGATCCTTTAAAAAAAAAAGAAAATTTTTCTCATTCGACAATTTTCTTTTTCTGTTGAAGCAATGCGCACTATAACAAAAAATATTCTAATTTTCAATTAATACTCTAAAAGAAATTTAAAAAAAAACAAATTTTAAACTAATTTGCTAATTTTGTTAAATTAATAACTAATACTTTTTTCAAATTACTAATATGATTAATTAATATTATAAAATACTGCTGCATAATGCGATAATTATTTTTTCATTTTTTTCTTTTTTCGAAATATAGCTTCGCATGCATCGCGATTCATTATATATATATATTGTAATATAAGAAAGTGACGCTCTATAGGATATTAATATTGTACCTCACGAGCACGTTGTAAAACAGATAAATAATGTTTGTATTCTTTTTTTTGTCAACCCTTTATGGGGCATGGTATATTGTAAGCAAGAGCAAATGAAAAGATAATCCCTTATTTTTTTTTTCATCACTTTTAACTATTATGCACTTCGCTTTCATTGGATATTGTCCCCTGTAAGGAACTTGAAATTCGGTGTTTAAATTGCCTTCCAATTCTACGATTAATTTATACCCAATACCACTTTTTTCAGGAAAATAAATTTAATTTTTTATCTTTTATATAGAACAGGCTTCGCACTCATCTACTAACACCTAATATTTACTACTTTTTTTACGTTATGCTACTAATATTCACAATAATTGAATTACTTTTACTAATATAATAACATTTTTCATGGAAATTCAATTTTTGGAAAAAATTTTTGATAAAATTCTAAGTAAGAATTCAAATTTAAATTAATTAATAGAAAAATTCAATTATTTTCACAAGTAAAGTTTTCCACAAGAATTCAATTGTTTAAAATAAAATTATTATAATATATTATATTTCGGAAAAATTAATTATTGTAAACAATTGAATTCTTCTTCAATTGTTTAAAATAAAATTTTTATAATATATTATATTTCGGAAAAATTAATTATTTTAAATAATTGAATTCTTGTGGAAAACTTTATTTGTGAAAGTAATAAAATTTTTCACAGAAATTCAATTCTTTTTAAATATTTTAATAAAGTTTTTCTCAATAATTCAATTATTTTTAATAATATTTTAAATTAATTAATCGAAAAATTCAACTATTTTCACAAATAAAGTTTTCCACAAGAATTCAATTATTTAAAATAAAATTTTCATTATAATTTATTTTCTTTCGAAAAAATTAATTATTTAAAACAATATTTATAAAATTCTTACGAAGAATTCAATTATTTTTAAAAATAACAAAATTTATCACAGAAATTAAATTGTTTTTAAATATTTTAATACAATTTTTCTCAATAATTCAATTATTTTCATAAATAACAAAATTATTCCCGAAAATTCAATTATTTTAAAACATTTTAATAAAATTATTTGCAAAATTCAATTATTTTCATAAATAACAATATTCGTCATAAGAATTCAATTATTTTTAAAAGTAATAAATTTTTTCTTAGAAATTCAATTATTTTTAAAAAAAATTCTAATAAAATCGTTTGCAAGAATTCAATTATTTTCAACAAAAATTTTAAAAAATGCGACACAGACATTCAATTATACTCTCAAAAATGTTAATACAATTCTTTATAAATTGTAATTATTTTGAAAAACTTTTTGCAATTCAATGATTTTCAATATCTACTATTTTCACAAAATTTCCAAACAGAATTCAATTTTTTTTTAAATTTATGACAAAATTCTAAACAAAAATTCAATTATTTTTATAAATTATTTTTAAAAATAACAATAATTTTCACAGAAATTCAATTCTTTTTAAATATTTTAATAAAATTTTTCTCAATAATTCAATAATTTTCGTAAATAATAAAATTCTTCTCAGGAATTTAATGATTTTTTAAAATGTCAATGAAAATTCGTTTCAACTATTCAATTTTTTTCATAAATAATAAAATTCATCGCAGGATTTAATTTCGATTCCACGAAAAAATCAATTATTTAAAAAAATGTTTTTTTTTTTAATTCTTTGGAAGAATTCAATTATTTACAAAAATATTAGAATTTTCCACAGAAATTCAATTATTTTTAATATTTTTTGTAAAAATCTTCATAAGAATTCAATTATTTCCATGAATAATAAAAATTTCCTTAGGAATTCAATTATTTAAATTATAGAATTTGCATAAAATTAGTCGAAAGAAATCAATTATTTAAAAATTTTTATAAAATTCTTCTCAAGAACTAAATTATTTTTATAAATATTTCAATTCTTTCTTGAATAATGTGAAATTCGTTGCAGGAATTCAATTTATTATCAGGATAAGAAAGAAGTAAATTTTTTTTTTTTATGAAAATTGGGAAAAAGTCAGATAGGAAAATAAAATATAGAATGGAATTTTTGTCAGTTTTGTGAAGTGTCTAAAACGAGTTTTTTTTTGGTTGTCAAGTTTAATTTTTTCGATAGCTACTTTTTTACTACTTTTTTTTAGTTTGAAAGCTACTTTTTGCTACTTTCTTAAAATTAATTGTCGAGTGCGAAGTCTGATGGAATTTTCCAAAATATTGTAAATAAAATTTTATTTTTAAAAAATCCATTCAATGGACAAGTGAAAATTGAAAAATTAATTTAGAGAAAAATTAGAATAAAAAGATGAATATATATTGTAAATTTAATAAATTCATTACTTAATATTTATTATTAATTCAATATTTTGAAATTAAATTTTCAAATAATAGTTGTTTTTCGAAAAAAGGGTAAAGAAATAATTTTGATTATAAATTGGGACAATTGTCGAGAATTGGAAGTTATCAATTTGCCCTATGAAAGGTCTGTGTCACCCTTGAAAGTCTAAAAGTCCTTTTTTTTTGTATCTTCTCTTTGATATAATTTAAATATATATCTCTGCTCGTGATCTCAGTTGCCCCCGTTTCTTTCTGATTTTCTCTTCTTTTTTTTTAAAATAATTATTATATATCTCGTGTATATTATTGTACAATTTAAATAGCAAAACAGAAAGAACTCGTAAAAAGAAAGTTGCTCAAGAAAATCTAGAGGGAATTAGTTTTTTCTGCACGATTAATAAAAAAAAAAAAAGAAAAAAAAGATATGTGGTATATAGATAAGTTTGTGTCCCACTGCAGGGGGTGGTAACTGCAAGGAGCTGCTTTCTGCCAACATGTTGCAACCTACTGCAGGTAAACACGAACTTCATCCTACGAGGACGTTCTGTAGTTTACAATTGTACGCTTCTCTTACGCATAAAAAAAATTAAGAATTAATTAAATCTTTCATTCATCATATAATCATTAATCCATATATAATATAAATAGTCATTTATCTGTGCCAAATACTTTTTCATTTTCGTCCCCGATAAATATTTGTTTCGATCACTCGCGATTAGCGCTCTTTTCACTTTTTTATTCTGTGATCGAACCAGATTTTTCGTTTCTATTTTTTGTTCCCCTTTTTTCATTCACTAAAATATATTTAAATTTTTTTTTAATAGTGAATTACGTATTTCATTGAATGTATTTTATCGAATTACGTATTTCATTCAATGTATTTTATTGAATTATGTATTTTATTGAATTACGTATTCCATTGAATGCATTTTATTGAATTATCTATTTTATTGAATTACGTGCTTCATTGAATGTATTTTATCGAATTACGCATTTTATTGAATTAAGTATTTAATTGAATCGAATTATTATTTAGATTAAAAATTGAAAATTAAAAAATTAAAATTAAAAATTGACAACTGATAATATTTCATTTGAAAAAGTATTCGCACAGAGCTAGAAATTTATGGACTGGATAAATGTTTTGGTTTTTAATTTTGTCTCAAGTATTTATATTATGAAACTTTTGGTAAAAATTTTGGGGAAGAGATTTTATAACTCAGAAAAGTTTAAATTTAAATTAATAAATTTGATATCGAAAAAAGAGAAAAAGATCATTTATCCAGAGAATTTTGTTCAAAAAAAAAAAAAAAAAATCTCGCTATTCTTTTTACGTTTCTTGAATAGAATGCTACTCACGAGGAATGCTGCAACGCTGCTCTAATTATTATCTTTGTGTATAAAATCAATATTTTCTATTTTTCTCTTTCTCTATTTTTTCCTCTCTTGTATTACGAATCGCCAGATTATTAATTGTATGCAAAAAGCCAACATCAGCACTCGCATATTGGTATTCACTTTGTACCGCGCATTGTGGATTTTTCCTCTCTATTTTTTACCGCTCGAAACCTATTTTATTCTCCTTTTTTATTATAATTATATTATTAATAATAACAATAATAAAAATAATAATAATAATCTATAATCTATATTAATAATCGTTGTAATCCGGAAATCTGTTCGCAGTTTAAAGTTAATTCTTTTTGTTTGCTACTTTGTTTCTTAATTTTTTTCCATAATTTCTTTTTCTAAATTTTTTGACTTTTAAAATTAACAAAAAACTGTAATTTAATGTTTTCAAGATTAAATAATAACAATTAATTAGACAAAATGTTCTTATATTTTTATAATTAATTGAATTGCTCGGAAGAATTTTATTAAAATTTAAAAAAGTAATTCATTTTTTTCCAGGAGTTTAATTAAAATTGAAAATAATTAAATTGTCTTAAGAAATGTTATTAAAATTGGTGAAAATTTTTGAAATTAATTGAATTGTTTGGAAAAATTTCATTAAAAATTTTAAAATCAATTCAATTCTTGGGAGGAATTAAATTAAAAATGAAAATAATTAAATTGTTATAAGGAATTTTATCAAAATTCTTGGAAATAATTAATTTCTTTTGAAGAATTTTATTGAAATTTTTATAAAATAATTTAATTCCTAGAGAGAATTTTTTTATTTATGAAAATATTTGAATTCTTCCATGAATTAAATTAAAATATTGTATTAAAGATAATTCAAGTCCTATAAAGAATTTTATGAAATTTTTTGATAATAATTGAATTTTTCCAAAGAATTTTATTACAAATTTGGAAAATCCATAATTTTTCAAATTATTTGAATTTATTAGAAGGAGTTTATGAAAATTTTTAAAAATAATTAAATTCATCTCATAAATTTAATTAAAATTTTGTAAATAATTTTTTGAAAATACTTGAATTCCTAGAAATAATTTTATTAATTATAAAAATAATTGAATTGTCTCGATGATTTTTACTAAATTTTTTAAAAAAATAATTGAATTTTTCCAAAGAATTTTATTAAAAATTTGGAAAATAATAATAATTATATTAGTATGTAGTTAATAAATAAATCTTTTTAATTTTGAAACTGAAAGTATTGAAAAATTGGATTCTTTTGAGACATTTTATTATTTATAAAAGTAATTGAATTCTAACAAAAAATTTTATCGCTATTTTTTAAAAATTTATAAAAATAATTGTTTCGTAGATTTTGATTAAAATTTTTGACAATAATTTAATTCCTGATAATTTTTTTTAAGAAAAGTAACTGAAGTCTATTGATAAATTTTCTTATAATTTTTCAAATGTATTTAAATTGATTGGAAGGAGTTTATGAAAATTTTTAAAAATAATTAACTTCATCTTATGAATTTAATTAAATATTTGTAAATTTTTGAAAATACTTGAATTTCTATCAAGAATTTTATTAATTATAAAAATAATTGGATTTTTTCTAACATTTTTACTAAAATTCTTGACAATAAGTTAATTCCTGATAATTTTTTTTACGAAAAGTAATTGAATTCTATCCACAATTTTTATTATAATTTTTCAAATTACTTGAATTAAATTCGTCTTATAAATTTAATTAAAATTTTGTAAATAATTGAATTCCTAGAAAAAATTCTATTATTTATAAAAATAATTGAATTGTTTCGATGATTTTTACTAACATTTTTGTCAATTAATTGAATTTCTCAGAAAAATTTTATTAAAATTTTTAAAGATTATCAAATTTTTTCAATCAATTGTATAAAAATTATATTACATTAAAATTTACATTAAAATGATAGAAATTGAATTTCTTTGAGGAATTTTATTAAAATCTGTATAAATAATTGAATTTCTACAAGGGAGAGAGAGATTACCGATCACTGTCGGTCAAAATCTCGGAGTGATCGATTATCTCAAAGTTTTATTTATAATAACAATATTTATTATTATTGTTAATATTTTTGTTATTCTTGTCATTATTATTAATATTATTGATATTATTATTATTAATATTATTCTTATTATTGTTATTATTGTTAATATTATTATTATCGTTATTTTAATTATTATATTAATTTTATTGAAATTATTATTAATAAAATAGAATTAGTTGCGTTAGCAGAAAAAATCATCCTCGTTCTGTTGTAGATCGAACCCAGGAACCCCGACGCAGGTCCGTCGGCCGGATTTCATTGGTGTGAATGACGCCCCAGCTTATTATGACGTCCAACAGTGTAATGTTGCCTGTACACACAGTAATTACAGTCCACAGCGACGTTTTCTCTCCGAAAGTGAATTAGTACGTCAGGGCAACGAGCATCCCTATTCAAGAACAAATAACACCGTTGACAATATCCGTGAACTCGCCGGCTCGCCACAACGGGGAGTTTACATGTGGAAGGACAATTCACCAGGCAGCTATCCAGTATCATCGATGATTCAGCCATCACCCTCACAACGTCCGCCACCCTACGATTATTATCGTTCGAATCCAACGAGTCCCACGCAACAATTTGCCAATAATGCCCAAGTTGTAGCTCAACAAGTACCAAGACCAGCTTATCATCCAGCGATGAGAGGCGGCGTTCCCGTATTTCCACCTCAGCATCCACATCAATCGCCTCAAGTCAAACGAAAAACAATGGCAACACCAACAACGCCAACATCAAATGATGGTCGACGACGTCCAATGAGCTTTGTCAGAGCTTTAGAAATGACCGACTCCATGGAAATGGTCTCAGCGCCAAATGACACGAGGTCACAACGACCCACAACACCAACGCCCGATCGCGCCAGCGTTTATGACATGAATTACGAAATATCCGTATAGCGCACCCTCATCATCTTCGCGCCATTCTATCGAAAAGCGCCGAAGATCGTCCGAGACACTGCAGACTGTTTCCACGTCAAGTGCATCAGCGAGCAGAAGTTACGGGGCTACGAGATTTTTGTTTAAAAAAAAAAGAAGAAAAAAATTGAGTGCCGAAATGAAAATACGGAAAAAACACCCAGTGGAGCAATAAGTCAATATCCGGGAATTATTCCTATTTTTTTCCAGTATTCTAAAAAAAAAATTTATTTAAAAAAAAATTGCTTTCCATAATCGAAAAGTGTGGATTTCCAAAAGGGAATTTTTTTTGCTTAGTTTTCAAGAAATAAATTCCCGGATATACGAAAATTTCCCTTAAGAAAAACCGGATATTTTGGGAAAATTTGGTGATGCGTTTTACATTTTCTTCTCGACAGAGAAGCAATTCTTTTTTTCCCCCAAAAGGAATGTGTATTTTTCAGAGGAAAGGTGCAATTTAGGATATATTCCGTTGACGATGAGAAACTCTGTGTGCGCGAATAAAATCGATCAGAACTCAAAAAGTGTCTAAAACAAATCAGATTTTCAATTAATGTTTTCGAGATTTTAAAGTCGGGAATTCTGTAAATTTTGTACAATCTTTTCATTATTGTTTTTTTTCTTTTTTTCTTATCTAGTTCAATGTTTCACTCTATTATTAAGTTAATTTATTTATTTTTAATTTCCTCCATTTTACTGCGAGCTATTTTTATATTTTGGTTAAAAGAATATTTTTTTTTTGCGCTAATTGTGAAGACTTCTTTTTGTGTTATCGCGAGTGAAAGTTAATAGAAGTAAATTTTAAGAATAGCAAATTCAGACTAGGATTGAATAGAAATTCTTGTGAATTATTTGAATTTTAAAAATAATTTAGAATTACGTTTTCTAAAGACGGATTTTAACTGATTCCATAAAAATCCCCTACTTTGTTTTAAAAGTATTGTAAAAACAAGAAAAAAAAGAACTGAATTTTTATACGTTTTTTACAAATATATTTGAAAAAATTCCAAACTAGAAATGAAGGAAATTTCTTTTTGTAAAGGGAGATTATTATTTTTACTGATGAATTTATTTGCTAACGAAAATTTTTATTTTCTACCGAAATAAGAAAAAATCGATTAAAAATTGAAATGAAATAAAATTCAATAAAATAAAAAAAATTTTTAAATTAAAAAAATCAAATATTTTAAATACAAAATTACTAAATTACAATATGTAGAAATATTTATCTAAAAGTTTATTTCTGATTTTCTGTACTAAAAATCAAAAATATTAATATTTACGTAAAATTGTTTAAAAGCGACGCGATTTTGATAAATTCGCAGGGTAAATTTGTAGAGAAGTTTTTGCTCAATATATAAAAAAAACGAGTCGCTTTTGAAAACTTTTATAAAAAAATATCAATTTTTTACGAGTAGAAATTTAAAAAAAAAAATATTTCTACGAGTAGAAATTAAAAAAAAAAATTATTTTTACGGTAGAAAATTTGCAAAGTAATATTCGTTTTTTCTTTTGCAAAATTGTTGAATGTAAATAAATTCGATTATTTCTTCGCATTGAGAAAATCATCAGAGAAAATAATATTCTGTCTATAGTTTTTAAATTACAAAAAGAAAATCTCCGCCAGTGAAAGTATTGAAAAGAAAAGTAAAATTTAGATTTTTTAAAAATAAACCCAAAATGTATAGAATATTTAGATTTTTAAAAATAAAATACCAAGGTTCAAGAACTCAAAAAAAAAATGTTCAATTGAATTCAATTTTTCGATGAATTTTTGATGATTCAACGATTTGAAAAAAATTTCGAAATATTTCTTTACACTAACATGACTTTTAAAATGAATTTTTTAAATATAATAATTTTGTTTTTATTAAATTACTCACGGTGAAAAAAGTTTTTCAATTTATTTTTAATTTTTTGAAACGAGTGAAAAATAACTATTTTGCATTTTTTTTTTACTAACTTTTAGATCTTGAAAATTGCATTTACAAAATTGAAAATCTGATTTTTTTCGACTCTTCTTTGAAGAATGATCTCAAAATAAAAACGGGTTTATCAGTGAAATTTCCTCTTGGAAATTCTAAATGTCTGACTTTTCGGCATGAACAAAAAAGGGCTGAACACTTTTTTTAATTAACACGTAAGGTCAGTTTAGATTTTGATACAGTGTTAATCGTGATTATTTGATTTTTTTAAAAAGCATAAAAACCACGAAAGTCAATCACACTTTTTTCCCAATTACGATGCGACGAATTAAAGTGTGATGTGGACCTTGGAGATATTTCCCCATTGAACTCTCTTTTTATCTATATCTCTCTCTTCCTCTTTCAATTCTATCTTTCACCAAATGAAAAAAAAAGAAAATAAATAAAAAATAAAAAAATTGTCCGTGTCCAAGTAAAAGAGAGTTACTTAATCGAACTTAAGTCATCGTCAGGATAGAATAACAAATTTTGTGTAAAATAATCGTGGAAACTGTGTAGTAAATTTTTAATATACGAAAAAATATTTAATGAGATATTTATACGTAAAATGATATAAACATAAGACCTTTGTTAAACAAATTTTGTTTTTCAATAATGTGTCCAGTAAAACGTTATTATTTTTTGTTATTAAACTTTTTTTTTTGTCTCGAAGACGATTCAACAGAAGAATTTTTTAAAATTAATTAGATAAAAAAAACGAATTTTTCAAAGTGTGCAAGTGATTAATGAATAAATGAGTGAAAATGATTTTTTGGTTGAGACTTTTAAGCTTTTTTGTTATACAAATATATATATAAAAAAAGGAAATGATTTTGTAATATATACATTGCATAAATCAATCGCTATGTACTTCTTTCTAATTTTTCTTACAAAAAAAATGAAACCTTTTCTTTTTGTTATTTATTTTTTAATGAAAAAATACATCACAATTTTTATGAAAAATAGTTTAAGATGATATATATATACACATATTGTTTGAAAGGGTCAAAGTAAAATAGTGCATATCGAAGAAAAATGATACTGAACCAATTCAAGTTTCGTGGAACAAATTATTGCATTTCTTTTTCAGGAATTCTGAGTCTGACCAAATTCTTATTCTTGTGAAAAAAAACAAAAAAAAAAAATAGTAAATCGTGCCAAACGGAGATTTTTCAGAAAAAAAAATATATATCTCACGCATCCTGCCCATTATTTCAGCACTGATAACAACGGTACAATCTTTACGAAATGGTAATGATTTAAAATAAAAAAAAAGAATGTACAAGATGCGACGTATATTTAGTGTTTGTAATTTGATGTACTTGTACATACTACTCTAATTATTTCAATGTACATACGTATATATTTCGATACATCACGTATCATCGCTATTCTATAAAAATAAATACTCTAAAATCAATCTTTTGTTTTCTCTAATACATTTTTCGACGATATTAATTCATGAAAAAAAAAAATAAAAATTTATAAGCTAAAAAGCTTTTTTTTACTGAGAATGAATGAAAAATTTGATTAGTAAATTTAATTATTAAATTTATTGTTAGATTTTTTATTAAATTTTTTATTAATTGAATACATTTAGTAAATTTCATCAACAAAAGACTTAAGAAAATTTGAGCTTAAAAATAAGTTAACAGTCTTACGATATCATGACTAGTCTCTTTTGTTCTCAGTAACGTAATAAAAAAAAATTTTAGTGGTATTTATTATAATAACAATATTTTCATTTAAATTTTAATACACTTTTTAGTAATATCAATACTAAATTCGAATAAATTTCTAATAAAAAACGTTCTTTTTAATCTCTGTGCTTATAAAATTATTTTTTGAAAATAATTTTCTCTTTAATAATATATAATATGTATATTGAATTTGAATTTGAATTTTATTCATTTCATTCATTTTATTTTTCTACTCTTCTAGATTCTTTGTTTTCTAATGTTTTCGTCTCTTTAATTCTAAGAGAGGAAAATTGACCCTTTCAATCGAACGAACAAATGGTTTTTTCATTTCATTGAATATTGGTTTTGTTTCTAATGGTGAGTCTTTTAATTTTTCAACATCCTCCTTACTTGTTGGACTGTCGGTATCTAAGGAACTTACTTGTGAACTACATGAATTGAGAAGCCAATTTTTAACGAAATCTTGTTTCGAATAAGTTCCAGAGAATTCGGGTGGTTTTGAACTGTTGATACTCGATTGGAATGTATTTTGAAATGAAAACGACGAACAGTGGCTGCTCAAACTTTTTGTCGGTGAGTTCACATTCATTTGAAATAGAAGACTCTTCAAATTTTTTGGATCACAATTAAATGCTTTTGTAGTGGTGAAATTGCTGTTGAAACAGGGATTTTTAACGAGAGAGGAATTTGGTGATTGATCGATCTGTGGGAGAAGAAAATTCACAATTAGACGAATTTTGAGTAAATTATTTAGTATTCATATTATTTGATTCATCAGATGTTAGATAAACTTTGAGTAAATTACTTAGTAAATTCATTATATTTTCGATAAATTTTTCTATTTTTCAAATTGTCTTTTTCAGGCATCACAGTATCTTTTTTCCTCAAAAAAGGTGAAAATTGAAAAAATTAATTCCACAGAATTGTTAGTTAAAAATATGAAAAATTCAGATTTTCAAAGATTTCAATTTAAAAATTTTTCAAAATTCAATTATTTCTAAAATTTCACGCTATAATGCTTTTAATATTCAATTATTTTGTAAAATTTTAACTGAAATTAACTTAAATCAATTTCTATTAGAAATTTCTACGAGAATTTAATTATTTAAATACAAAAATAAATAATTTATATTAGGTATATTATATTGAATGTTTCTAAATATTGAATTCTCATAAAGAATTTTATCAACAAATTTTTAAATAATAAAATTATTGCGAAGAAATTTATAAAAAATTTGTAAATAATAGAATTCTTGTGAAATTATTTTATTATTTTTGAAAATAATAAAACGTTTGCGTAGAATTTTAATAAAAATTTATTTAAATAATTGAATTCTTTTGGAAAACTTTATTAAAATAGTAGATATTGAATATCACTGAATTTAGGAAAATTTTTTCAAATAATTGAAATTTTTCCAAAAATTTTATTAAAATTTTTGAAAATAATTGAATTTCAAAGAAGAATTATAATGTTTATAAAGAGAATTGAAATTATGACGAGAATTTCTTTAAATTTTTTAATATAATTGAATTTTTGCGAAGAATTTTATTATTTTTGAAAATAATTGAATTTTTGTAATTATATGAAACTTCTCCAAAATTCAAATTTTTTTTGTGTTTTTATCTAAAATTCCTGGATAAATTCATTATTTTTAATAATTAATTAAATATATATATATATATATATTACAAAATTTTAAATTCTAAAATTTTAACAATTTCAGAATTATTTAAATTTTAAACATTTTTGCAAAAATTTAAGTTCTTTAAAATTTCCAATAAAATTCATTCAAAATTGAAATTTTATAAAATTTAAAATTAAAATCTTTTCAAGTTCATCTATTTATGAAAATTGTAAACGAAATTATTTTGAAATTCAATTAATTTTGAATGTTAATTAATTATTTTTCTAGAGGTCTGCATTCTGTTGAATGAACCACCTTATAATTAGTATTTATAAAATTCTTTACAATATCTATATTATTCAAATCATTGACATAAAAAGACATATTTATATTATGTTGTGGTGTTAATAATCTAAATCAGAAATAAAACGCACTGAATTCTATAACATTGAGTCTAAATTTTATGATTACATTTTGAAAAAGATTTTTAAAAAAAGAAAAACTTGTTTATTTTTTATTTTGAAAAAGGTGAAAAAGGGGACAAATCAGCAAAAAATAGGAAAAAGTTGATAAAGCGTCAAAAAAGATGGTAAGGTGATAAAATTGAAATAAGGGGACAAAAGAGGATTATTAGATAAAAAGTAAATTGGGAAATAAATTCGAAATTGTGTTTAAAAAAAACTGTAAAGCAATCATAAAAATTACCTTCATTGATTTAGAAGAATTCGCACAATTTTCAGAAATTTGAAAATTAAATGAAACCGGTTTGTCGCAAATTTGGGTAACATTTGCTTTCAGATCGTTGAAAAATTTATTTCTAATTTCACTTTTGTTGTTGCATTTGACAGTAGTTGGCAGTGAGGTTTGTAAACAAAAGTGCGGATGTACGAGAATTGAATTCTCAGATTCCGAACTACTGACCAGGTAGTAATTGATATTTTTCGGATTCCTCGGCAATCTGATTCCATACTGAAAATAAAACAAGTTATCAATTTAAATTATTCAATTATTATTTAAATATTTAAATTTATTCTTATTAATAGAAAAATATTTCGGGAAATCTAAATTACCATATGTTTCCAGTGATCCCGAAAAACATCATAACTTTTAAATTGACTGCCTTGAGGAATGTTCTTTGACACTTCGAGTAGTTTGCATTTGTGGAAACTTGAAAAATTGAGAATTTAAAAATACAAAAAACTTTATTTATCTCTTTTTTTAATTAATTTATTTCTTGACTTAGTTTCGAATTAAGATAAGAATAAATTACAATACCTGGGTAAAATAAATGCTATCTCTCTTTGGTGCAATTTTTCAGATGCTTTATCAGTCTTTAAATTCAATGGATAAATTTTAATTCTCGCCGGAGTAATTTTCAAAATCATCTCCTCATCTAAAATGATGTGAAATTTAGAAATGATTTGAAAAAAAACTAAATTGAATAAAAAAAAATAAAATTTTAATTTAGTAAATTTAAATAACAATTTCATAATAATAATAAGAATAATTATAATAATAATAATTTACCTTCGACAGTTACGTCTAATTTCACAGCATCCAATTCATCTGTAGGATTTCTAAAGTCTAGCCCGGTGGATAAAAATTCATGACATTTGTTCCAATTTGGCATTAAGTGAAAAGTAATCGTGTATTTTACACACAACTTGAAAATTTTCACTGTCAACTTTTGCAAACTTGTGTGCTGTAATTTTATTTACAGAATTGAAAATAATTTCATTTTTTATTACTTATTGTTATTAATTTATATTCGGATTGTAATTTTAATAACGAAAATATCGATTTCTTTTCAAATAAAAGAGAAAACTTACATTTATTATTCTGTAATCTAAATATTGCTGCAGTTTTTTCGTTTGATAAAATTCCTTCGACATTACAATGTAAGCATAGTTTAGTGTCCTGGGAACTGGTGAAGCTAACACTCCAGGGAAAGTCTTGATAATATCCCTGGAATCAAATAATTCGGTTAATAAACCAAAAATCATTGACATTCAGACAATAAGAAAAAAATTACTAGTAATTACTAATTTACAAATACTTTTCAGTACCTGCAGCAAATAACTTGACAATGTTTGACATTGGCAAAAATTTCATGATCAATTTGATGTTTACTAAAAATACAGCGAATACAGCATAAATTTTCAAATTTCGGTATTGCTGTAAATATCGTATTGCTCCGATCCATTGTAAATAATCTATTAATTACGATAATTACAATTAACACAAGAATCACAAGAATAACAAGAGTTTACAAATTTAGCAAGAAACAATTAGGTTATAATGGAACAAACGTAAACAATTGCATACTTTAACGATTTTAATTAAAAAAAATACTTTTAAACAGCCATTACATTTATGGTAATGAAAACTGAAACACTTAATTTATAATTAACATAATATAAACGTCTCAGTTATATAAAATAATTACTTTAGAAAAATAATAAATAAACCGGCTTTTTTTGCACTTTTGACACTTTTTAACCTCAATATCAATGGAGTCAACTGCACGTGCGCTGTGAGCGTTGAATTTTCTAATTCCTTTTGATTATCGGAATTAATTTTAAACCAAATTTTTAATAAACAATTTATGATGGACAATTTCAAAAATAATCTACATAAATATGCATAAACTTTTAAATAATTAATTATTAATTATGCAATTTCAAATTCATGTTGCTATATTCACACTGTCAAATTTGGAGGGAGTATAAAACGTATAAAAAAAGTCTTTTTAATTTTCTTTTAATTATCCTCCAATTTTTATAACAATATAGAAAGAAAGGCAAAAAATTGTCTTAATATATGAATTTTATTAGAACAGTTACATAATTTTATTCATTTTATTATTTAATTACAAAAAAATTACAAATTGATTTGTTTCTTTACGATTGGTAACACTGATCTCGATATTTTCGATACTTTGCAAGCGTTTCGAGCTTTCCAAATTCCAATTCTTTAAATTCAACGAATTCAACGTTTTTGGAAGGAAAATTTTCAGTAAATAATTATCTTTTTAGGAATTACGTAGTGAAATAATGTATCGGGAAACAGTTTTATTCACTCAGATTCCAGAATGTGAAAATTTGAGTCGCTTTATATGCAAATTAAATGATGTGATAATCATTAATGGATCTCCAATGTCATTTTATTTCTCACAAATTTACAGAGTCAGGTATATTTTCATTTCTTTATTTAATAATTAATAAGTAACATCATTAACATTTAATCATTTAATTTAATTTAAACATTTAATTATTCTGCATTGTCATTAGATATAACAAATGGTAGTTTTGTTTACCACATTTACCATTTTGAACCGTTTTTTAAACATAACCTATAACTTTTTTGTTTACTCCGCTGGCTCCGCTGTTTTTCTTATTGTTATTCATTTTTTTACATCTTTGTTTATTGTTCTTTTTTATAGATTCATTCTCGAAGAATTTCCAGGAATTATAGCTTCGCCAATGCGAGGAACGGACAATTATATCGAAATAATTACTGAAAATGATTATTTTCAAATCAAGAAATTGCAAATTTTTCTGAAAAATGAAAACATGTTTGTGAGTATATCGGAAAATGTATTTTGTATAACGAATATGCGTATGAAATTTTTATTTTTATTTACTTTATTATATTATATTATTTAATTAATTTTATTATTTTTATTTTGTAGAAAATATTTAATTTAATTTATTGTTTTTCACAGTGTTCCGAAGCAAGATCTGTAAGTTTCGAGAATTACAAAGAATGTCTAATGTACACGATAAAATATAAAATTTCATCTTCGTGGAATAAATTCGGACAGTATCTTTGTCAAGGAAACGATTTTTTAGCTAAGAGCGAAGAAATCAATGCTGTGAAATTTGATCTTCACATAATAAGTAAGTGCGAGAATTGATCAACAAAAATTTTTAAAATTCACTTATTAAGTGCGTAATTAATTGTTATTGTTTGAATTCTATTATTATCAAATTTTTTGATCAAATTCTTTGCAACAATTCAATGATTTTCAATACATTAATTTTAAAATTGAAAATATTTGAAAGGAAAAAATATTAAAATAGTTAGAAAAAAAAAGCTAACAACAACTAATTTCAAACTGTGAACAGATTACCAGAATACAACGATTATTAATAAAGATTTTTTGTTCTTAAATTTTACTAATGTTACATCTTTTTTCTTTCTATAGAGCAGGAAATGATGTTAAAGTTTCAATCATTCACGATACAAATTTATCCTTTAAAACTTGAGGATCTTGATCTCAATTTATCGTTTCTGGAAGAATTCAAACAAAATCCTGAAGGTTTCGTTGAACTTGATCAAACGTGGTTCAACGTTTTGCCTAGGTATAAAATATTTTACAGTAAATATTATATTCTCTACTTCTTTTTTACTTATAGTAAAATAATTTCTTTTTCTATGAATTAATTTTTTTTACAGTTTATTTAAAGCGAGACTTTTGTCCGTTTCAAAGCAAATACCATCGGGGACTCCATTCAAAACTTATCAAGAACTTCGATTACACTGGAAAAATATGGTAAAGCTTTCATATAATATTAAATTTTCTATTTTTATTTAAATATGTTTGTAATTTAATTATTATGTGTAAAATAATTTTTTTTCCAAATTTTTAGCACGGATACATACTGCCAGAGAATAATGAGGGAATTTTATATTATCAAGTCCACTTCAAAACATTTCCCGATCAAGTGTTTTTATATCCAGATGTCTGTCTACACTCACAGGCTCCTAAGATAATTCATCAAAAGAGTCACGGACCCACGAGCAATAAATTCATAGAAGACTTGAAAAATAATGTCCAATCAATTTGTGGAAAAACTCTTTCTTTCGTGATAGAGGAAAAGAAGGATTTCAAATTTAGTCCAAGTCAGAATTTCTTCTCTGCTAAACAGGTATATTTATTTCGTATTTTTTTTTGTATTTGTTTCTATTTTTGAAAATTAACAACTGTAAAATTATCACTATTTAATGATTTTTTCCAATTAGTTACATATAATTGTTATATAAATGTTTTTATCAAGTTTAATTTTTAAAATTATATTTTGAATGTTTCTTATTTGTAAATCACTTTTTCCAGGTAAAAACGGAAAAAGCAAATTTGTTCGCTACTCCACTGTCATCGCTATTCAAAAAATCCGATGTTTCGAGAAGTGTTCCATTCTCATCGGTATACAAAAAATCAAATTCGAATGAATCGACAACTATTCCACTGTCGTCTGTATTCAAAAATTTAATACCCGATTCTTCGGAAGTTGAGGAACAAAAATCGATTTTGAAATTAAAACAACAGACGGTAAAGTTAATTTACAGAATTAAAAAAACAAAAATTAATTTAAAACCAATAACATTACTACAATTTTAAATGTCATTTAAATTATTCAAATTTCTATTTTAAATTTTACGTTTCATTTTAATTTTAACTCTAATTTTTCCTCAATTTTTTATAATTTACAAATTTTTTACTCATTGCAGTTAAATTTCCCCAAAAAAGTGAGCATTGCCGAAAATCCATCAACGAGCAATTTGGTGGAAAAATCGAATGATTCTTCGCAAGACACAACAACGAATGTCATGAATATTCTGAGTCCTCAATTGTCAAAAAAAATTATGACCGAATACACGCAATCGCAGCCAATCATTAGAAAATTAACTATCGATCAAAAAGGCGAAGTCGACAGTGAAGAGAAAAACGAAACTTACAACAGTATTTTGAATAATACAAATTTCAAAAATGTTAATGAGAAAAAACCTCCAAAGGAAAAGGAATTATTTAACGCTTTACTCGAGGAAAAATCAGATAATGATGTTTTCAAATTTATTGCTCCACCGCCAGCGAAAAAAAGTCGAATTTCAAAACAAAAACATTCAACAACACCAATTACGGAATCGATTTCTAAATACTTTAAAGTACAAAAGCCAATTCAACAGAGACAAGCTCAAACTCAGGTAATTTTTAGTGAATACTCTAATTATAATAATTTACTTAATTTTAAATTTTACATATAATTTTTCGCATAGATAATGAAATAATTTTCTAAATAATAATTTTTTATAATAGAAATAATTAAATCGTAGAAGTGGATTTCTATGGTTAAAGTATTATCGTTCAAAAATTTTATTTCTTGAAAATAACATTTTATTTTTAAAAATAAAAATTTTAATCAATTTAATTAATAACTAGCAAATGTTGCGCGCGATAGTTCGCGGCACGTGGCATTCAATTTATTATTATTATACAAATTACAAATTTTTTTATTTTCAAATTTCAATTTATGAAAAAAATTTTTTTTAATTAAAAAATTCACTTATTAAGTACATAATTAATTGTTATTGTTTATATTTTCAAAAATTTTAATATAATTCTTCGCAAGAATTCAATTATTTTCTAGAGAAGAATTCAATAATTTTTATAAATAGTAAAATTTTTTCCAAAAATTCAATTATTTTCAATAAAATTTTGATAAATTTCACGAAAGAATTCAATTATTATGTATAATTTCAATAAATCTCTTATTTTTTCATATTTTTAAATTTATTTTTCAATAGTAAAGTCTATGCAAAAATTGTAATTATTTAAAAAATTTATATTTGAAAATAAAAAATTTTGTTATTTGCATAACAATAATAAATTGAATTAATTAAATAATTAATAATTGAATAATTAAATAATAATTGAATTATTAAGAAACGCCATTATTTTACAACATTGAAAGAAACGTAGATTAATTAATAAAAATAATTAAATAATAGAAGTTCATGTCGACGATTAATGTTTTTTTTTCAGAAAATATTATTTCTTGAAAATAACATTTTATTGTTAAAAAATAAATTCTAATCTGTAAAAATAGAGATGAAAAAAATTAATTTGTTTTGCAAATAAATTATATTTTTCATTTAGTAAATATTTTATCATTTTTGTTTAAATTTAACAAATTTTTAACGGAAATTTTATTTTTTAGGGCAACTTGCAATTATGGAAACTTAAGAAAGAAGAAAAAAATCGTTAATTTGATACTCTGTTAATTGTTGTCGTTATTCTATAATTTATTTTGTCGTTGAATATTAATTTATTAATTAGTTAATAATTTATGATTTTAAAATCTCGTTTTAAAGTTTAAAACACTTATTAATTGTTGTCATTAATATAGAATTTATTTTATTCCTAAAAAATTAAAATTAACGATTAATTTAGTTAATTTATTAATTATGATTTAAAATTATCGTTTTAATGCTCAAAACATTGATTAATTGTTTTTATTTTTGTAGAATTTACAAATTATCTAATTTAATTTATCTAAATTTCAGTTATTTATATCAATTACCAATTTACTAATTTAGTAATTAGTTAATTATTTATAATTTTAATTTTTGTTTTAAAGTTTAAAACATTGATTAATTGTTGTTAATAATACAGAATTTATTTTATCGTTAAAAATGATAAAATTAGTTCATTTAATATTTGTAATTTTAATAATTAATAATTGTTAATATTTATTGTTAATAATGTTAATTTCATATTAATTGTGAATTTTAATTGTTAATTTCCTATTAATTGTTAACTTTAATTGTTAATTTCCTACTAATTGTTGACAATTATTCTTGTAATAATATCTAATCAAATGTAATTCATGAAATAACAATTGTTATAAAATAAAATATAAAAAAGTCATTTTATTCTTTTTTTGATCACATTTTTTTATATTATTATATTTATCACACGCAGTGTAGAGTAAAAGATTAAATTAACAATTTTTTTTCAAAATTCCCGCAATGTTTCGCGTTGTCAGCGATAAGCCGATAAGTGTACGTAAGAACAGTGACTTCCCATCCCTGGTGCGGACGCCAAAGTTCATTATGAACGGTACTTAAGAAAAAACTCTTCTGCCATTTTGTAAAACGGCCAAATTGACATAAACGTCGCGCTTTCCTTCAAGAAGTTTAATAATTTTACTAATGATTAGTAAATAATCGTTGATTGAAAGTTAATTTTAATAATCATTATCATGTAAGTATTGAATAATACAATTATCAGACAATTAATATCATGAATTTCCATTTGTTTGACGTTATGTTTAATGCGTTAACAGGGCTCGCAGCCGCAAAGATAGTGCGGGCAAAAGCGATTCCGAAATTACGGAGAAGGAAAACAAACGAGAACGAGGCAAAGATAAAGAACGAAAGAAACGTGCTGCATCAAGTTCTAGTAGCAATACGAGGTGAGAAATATTTTAATTAATTTTGATATATTTTTTTGCGAGAGAGAAAAAATCTCCTCATACTTATGCGGCTTTAATGTCTCTCGGAAATTGATCAAAATTTTATTTCTCCTTATACTGCTGATTATTCACAGTGTTCACAATCTGCCGATAGACATTATTTATTCAAATTCTCACCTTATCTTAAAGAATCATTACATTGAATTTTTTTCTCTATTTAAAAAATTAGTTTCCAAATTTTCTTTTAGATAAACAAAACATAACCTAAAAATGCAAACTTTCTTATTTAAAATTTTTATTTGCAACGAAATAAATTAATTAATTTCTAAAAGAATAAATTAATTTAAGTAAAAATAAATGTAAAACAAAAAAATTGTTCGAAATGAAATTTTTCTCTTAAGAGGTGAAAATTCGTCTGAAATCTAAATTTTTAGTAGTTCTGACAGTAGTTCAGGGAGTTCGAGCTCGAGCAGTGGAAGCAGTTCCCGGTCGAGTTCGTCGTCAAGTTCGAGTTCATCGAGTTCGGGAAGTTCTTCAGGAAGTTCACGGGAGAGGACTCGCAAACGTAGCCGCAGCAAAAGTGCGGATGCATCGAGAAGACATGAGAACAAAGAGAAGGATAAGGATAAGGAACGTGAAAGAGAGAGGGAGAGAGAGCGCGAACGTGAACGTGAACGAGAGCGTGAACGCGAAAGAGAACGCGAGAGGGAGAAGGATAAGAAGAAGAGTAATTCAGTTCCTGAGAAACCAAAACCAAAGCCCCGATCAAGGTATAATTTTTTCCAAATCTCAAATTCAAATCAAATTATGTATTTATCAAAATTTTAAATTAACTTCTTTATCGATTTTAAATCAATTTCTTTATCGAATTATTTATCAACTTTAAACTAAAATATTTATCAATTTTAAATCAATTTTATTATTGACATTAAATCAAATTATTTATCAACTTTAAACTAAATTATTTATCAATTTTAAATCAGTTTCTTTATCGAATTTAAATCAAATTATTTATTAACTTTAAACTAAATTATTTATCTATTTTAAATCAATTTTTTTATTGATTTTAAATCAAATTATTTATTTGATTTTAGACCAAATTATTTATTTGATTTTAAATCAAATTATTTATCTGTTTTTAAATTATTATTTATCAATTTCTTTATCGATTTTGAATCAAATTATTTATCAATTAGCATAATTATTTTCCAAATTTTTTTAGAATTCTTCAAAAAGCACAATAATGTTAATAATTTTCTGCATTTAATTAAATTTTGTTTCATAAATATTTGAAGACTTATTGTTATTTATCTGTCTAAGAGTAATTAGAATTTCAAAATACTTTCAATGTTAAAACTTTTTGAAAATTAATTATTTCTAAAAATTAAAAAAAAAATTAAAAATTAAAATTAAAACTGTAATTCTTCCAATTCTTTAAATATTTTCTAAAATTTTAATTGAAATTCATATTCAAATTAATTTTAATCAAAAATTTTTTCGAGAATTAAATTATTTAAATACATTATTGTGTTAAAAAATTTGACGAAATTCTCATCAAAATGCCAATTATCTTTATAAATAAAAAAATTCTTCACTGAAATTCAATTATTTTCAAAAATTCTATAAAAATTATTGTCAAAATTTCAATCATTTTCAAAAACTTTCCTCAATTCAATGAAACCAATATCTACTATTTTAATAGAATTCTCAAAAGAATTTAATCTATTTAAAACCTTATTTAAATATAATTCTACGCAAACATTTAACTATTTTCATAAATAATATTTATAAATAATACAATTCTTTGCAAGAATTTAATTATTTTAGAAAAATGTAATAAAATTCTTTGAAAGAATTCAACTATTTTCATAATTATTAAAATTTTATTATTTTCAATTTCAATACAATTTGAATAAAATCTCTCAAAGAATTAAATTATTTTTTAAAAATTTTTATAAAATTCTTTGAAAGAATTTAATTATTTTCAAAAATTTCAATAAATTTCTTCGAATTATTTGATTTTCATAAATTTTAATAAAATTATTCAAATGAATTTAATTATTTTTAATACAATTTAAATAAAATTTCTCAAAAAATGCAATTATTTTTGACAATTTTATTATAATTCGTCGAAAGAATTCAATTATTTAGAAATTTGTTAATAAAATTCTTTTTGAGAATTCAATTTTAAGAAACATTCAATTATTTAAAACAAATTATTTATTTTTGTATTTAAATAATTAAATTCTCATTAAATTTTCTAATAAAAATTGATATCAAAATTAATTTCAATTTAAAAATTAAAATTTTAGATAATAATTGAATATTAAAAGCATTGTAGCGTGAATTTTAGAAATAATTGAATTTTTCATACTTTTAACTATACCTAATAATTCTGTAGAATTAATTTTTTTGAAAAAGTTTAATTGAATTTTTTAAAATTATTTCAAAGTTTTATTTTCTAATATACAATTGAAAAATTTCCGAGTAATCGATAAAATTTTGTAAAATTGAATTATAAACAAATCGATTTGAAAATTCTCAAAGAACTTTTTAAAAAATTATTAAAAATAATTGATTTAAAGAAGAATTTTAGTTAAAAATTTTGGAAAATAATAATTAAATTGAAATTATGAACATCAGAATATTCTTTAGGGTCAAAATTTTGTCTGGAAATCAGGGAAAAATTAAATTAAATTTTTGTGGCAACCCTGGAATAATTTCAAATCAGTTTTTTTAATCGATTTTATATCAATTTCTTTATCAAATTGTTTGAATTAATTTTGTTAGGAATTAGAAATTTCTTTTTCTTATCGTTTTTTTCTAAAAATTGTTGTAGATCTCCAAGTCCTCGGAGGAAACGCAGAGAAAGATCTCCAATTCCAAGGCCAACGAAGATACACATTGGCCACTTAACTCGAAACGTCACCAAGGAACACATTATGGAAATATTTTCGACCTACGGAAATATTAAATTAGTCGATTTTGGAGTTGATAAATTTCATCCAAATCATGGACGAGGTTTTGCTTATGTCGAATTTGAAACAGCAGACGAGGCTGAAAATGCTATGAAACACATGGACGGAGGTGAAATATTTTCTTTTCTTTTCTGAATTGTGCAATGTTTTATCAAATCATAATTTTTTTCCATCTTAAGAAATTAATCAAATTTGTACGATTTTCTTTTCTATTTTTTTTTCTTTTTTTCTGAGATGATTTTTGAAATAAATGTAAAATTATTTTTCACAGGACAAATTGATGGTCAGGAGATAACTGCCGCTCCTGTATTATTGCCAAAGCCAAGACCACAATTAATGCGTCGAATGTCACCGATGATGGGAAGAAGGCCACCGCCAAGATGGATGGGAGGCGGTGGAAGGAATTCACCACCACGCTATCGACGTCGTTCACCGCCAATGAATCGTCGACGCAGTCCACGACCTCCACGACGTAGGCCCCGATCACGTTCACGTAGTCCTCAGAATAATCCTCGACATCGTCATCGCCGATATACCAGGTCAAGTTCAAGTAGTTCCCGATAATGATATATAATTATTATTATTATTATTATTATTAATTTCTTTTCTGAAACAATTATATCCAAAAACCCTCACTCAATTGTTGATGATCCTATTTGGATGAAGCTTAAATCAGAATGAGTGTAAAATGAGAGAAAGTTGAGAGAGAAAGAGAGAGAAAGAGAAAAAGAGAACAGAAAACAATTTTTTTTTAAATCGTATCAATTTTTTTTTCATTGATACAAAAGATACATTTATTACTTATATAATTGAATTGTTTTCAAGTATCAATGATACTCGTGAACATTTTTTTTTTTGTCATGTATTGCAATTTCCAATTTATACTTTTGATTGTCTTTATTTTCTTAGCTGATTATCAAGTAAAATGAAAAAAAGAAGAAAAATTATTATTCCAGGTTGGACGAGTATGTATGATGATTGTCTTGCAGTTTTTTATACATATGCTCGTTTATATACATAAATATTAACTTGGTAAAAAGCTCGAGGGATCGAGTGAGTGATTGCTTAAAACTCGAAAAAAAAATCAAGAAAACGAAGTGATTTGACTTTTTCGTCGTCTGCGTATTGTGAAAGAAAAAAAAATAGAATGTTTTTGGATTTATTAGGAAGTGTGTGTTGTTTTTTTTTAAACAAGTGGAATATTTGACAAACTAGAAAATATTTCATTAAAAAGGAATATACGTGAAATAAAGTCATAATAATGATAAAAAAAATAATATCTCTGACTCCAAAAAAAACTCATCAGTTTTCGAATTTTTTTACGGACAAAAAGCTAAGTTTCTTAGTATAAAGATGTATGGAAACTGTGAAAATTGTATAAAAAGCAATTAAAAAAAAAAATGTACATCAACTATTTTCTTGAATTATTCAGAAAATTAGATTTGATAATAATATACATATATTATCATTAATTATATATCGAGATAAAATATGTCTTAATTACAATTCAAAAGTATAATTTTAATTTTTATCAGAAAAGAATTCGAAACTATTTTCGAATGTCTTTTTTTAAATTTAGTGATTAAATTATCATGCACGATAATTAAATGATCTGTTAATTACTCATATCCCTAATAATTATTTAATTAGTAATTAATAAATTAATAGATAATTTAAAAATCTTTCAAAACAATTCAATTACTTTTATAAATAATAAACTTCTTCGCAAGAATTAAATCGTTTTTATAAATAATAAAATTCTTCTCGGGAATTCAATTATTTTCAATACAATATTAATAAAATTGAATAATAAAATTTTTAATTACAATTATTAACGGATATGATTATTTTCTAAATTTTCAATTATAAAATTATTAAAAAAGATACATTATTTTCAAAAATTTTTAGAGAAATTCTTCTAAAAAATTTAATTATTTACAGAAACTCTAATAAAATTTAATAGTAAATTTATAAATTACAATTATTAACAAAATCGAATATATTAAAAAAATTGAAGCAATTTTTGGAAAGAATTAATTTATTTTCAATGTTTTATGGAAATTTCTTGAATGAATTGAATAAAGTTCTTCTCAGAATTTTACTATTTTCTAAAAATTGTAATAAAATTCTATAATTAATATTAAATTTCAATTATTAACAAACACGATTATTTGAAAAACTTGAAAGAAATTCTTTAAAAAAATTCAATTACTTTCAAATTTTTTGATAAAATTCTTTCCATGATTTCAATGATTTTCAAAACATTAATTTTAAAATTGAAAAAGGTTGAAAAAATTTTTAAATTGACAAAAACGATTATCAATAATATAATTTTTTTAATTATTTCTCTTGTAAAATTTTTAGAAAGGGAAAAAGAATGGATGAAAAGTATAATGAAAACAATTAAATATACTTTGATAGAAACTATGATTATTAGACCCTTTTACAAAGAATCGATTTTAGAAAAAACCTATTCACACAAAACTTCCTTTATACTCGCGATATCTACAAAAACAGAACCATTGCATTTGCATTGCAATAATTTTGCATCGATGAAAAATATCTACAATTTTCAAGGCGTGTATAATTATATAATAATTACAATTTGTTTTACGGTGACTTTACAGTGTAAAAACAAATTATTACGGTAGGTGGAAAAAAACCAACCAATGGATCAAATAAAAAAAAATTATCCGGTTTAAAAAAAATAATACAATTCTGGCTCCATGGCACGCAAAAGACATTTTCCCTCCGAAGAAAATTAATTAATTCATTTAATTTTAATAACATTAATTGACTTTTAATATAGATTTTCAGTAAATTTCATTAATTTTCAAATTAAATTTAAAGTGCATTATTAATAATTGATAACAATTATCGAATTTGTATTTGTGTTTTAATTTTATAACAATTTATAATAAAATCGCTTGATTTCAGAGAATTAAATGAATTAATTAATTACAATAATGATTGACTTCGTGGTAACAAAAAACGCGTACGGCTGTCAAACAATTTTGCAGACGAGAAAATAATCGAAGTCTCGGTTCCATTTAAAGGAGCAGCAAAATTAGGAGATTTTAATTAAGGAATGATAAAAATCGAAATAAGAGAATTCGTGCAAGAAGTACCCGACGACACATATTTTTTTTTTCTTTTTAAAAAGACTTTTGTCACAAACACCCTTTGGCACAAACAAACTTACTTGCGACGCTTACGAAGGAATTGCATTTGTTTTTCTTATTGCCTTTTATAATCGAGGAATTAAGAAATTTTTATCTAACCAAACAAGTTTTCCTCATTTTTTTTCTTTTGAGCAATATAAAGCTTCCAATTTCACTTTTTTTTCTTGCAAAATAAAAAGTTTTCACAAGAACTCATTTGTGGGAAAAAAATTTTTCGCTAAATTTAATAACACAGCATTTTTATCAAAAATAATAAAAAAAAGTAATGAAATAAATTAGTTATCAAGTTTATCTGAATTAACTTATTGTTTAAAATCAGTACAATTTAAAGAAGAAAAAGTCCAAATCAACTTTAAAGGAAAAATATAATTTAAAGTTGAAAAAATAATTTTTTCTAATCAATATTTACAAAAAACGGATATAAAATTATTTGAAAATTAATTCAATTTATTGTTGTGACTTTCAGTTAAAAATTTGAGAGCCAACTTTAAGATTAAAATAAATTAAAAGAATTTATTTCCTCATTTATTAAAATGTTTTTTAAAATCTGTTTCTTTTTCCACAATTGTCATAATTTCTTTTACATTTTTTGAAATTTTTGACAATGTGAGAAAAAAAATAATTTTAAAATGTGGAAGCTTCGCAATAGCAATTCGCACATAATTAAAAACAAAAAAATTCTTAAAGTATTATTCAAAATTAAGATCCTCGCCTCTTAATTGCATTTTTTTCGAAAAAAAAAATTGGCTACGTCTCCATAAACAAGGATTCTAATGACGAAAAAGTCAATTTCTTTTTTTTAAATTTTCTATATATCATTTACTATGTATATCACAGGAAAGTACTGAGTGCCTTTTTTTCATCTTTTTTTAACTAATAATTCTCTTTCTCGTTTTTAGTCTCCAGCATCGAAAGAAAATTGCAATTTTTTTTACTCAATTTAAATAACAAGCGTACAGTCGCCGGAGGTACTTGCTCGCTTCTTTCGTGTCGTCTAAAAACTTACATTTTTTTGTCCTACCCGATAAAAATGAAAATTTACACAATATTTTTTTTTCTTTATATTACAATTGATCAAATCAGTGAAAACGCTTCTTCGCCAGTGATTTCATGCGCGTGTTTAACAGAGATTCGATTTCATTTCGGTTAATACGTCACAAATAAATAAATAATTAAATAATTTCTCGTTTCAGTAAACGCTAGAGATCCGTTTAGTTTTCATTTTTTTTTTTTGTTTTGTTTTAACTAGCTTACTTGCATTTTTTTTTCTTCTTTTACATTATGTAGCATCGACTCGCAATCTACAATAATTATAATATTACACACGATATTTAGCTGTACGCGTAGTATCATTGTTTAGAATAATAATAATAATAATAATAATAATAATGTTTATATATATATTTATATATTTATATATAGCTATAGACAGACAGTCAAATTCCTCGATACTGTGTTTCGAGTTACGTTACTCCGTTATAGTAACAAATCGTTTCTTCTCTCTTCATTTAATATCTATAAATATCGCATATATAATCTATTTACAATTTCTTTGAAATAACGCTATTATACCAAAATATCGGCGATTTCGCGACGGGAGACACTTGAGGTTTGTCGAAAAATTTCTATTGTAATCGAAAATTTACAAGATGAAAATGAAAATTTAACCGGTTAACTTTTCTAAAATTTCATAAATTTTTTAAATGGAAATAATTTAGTGGAAATTTAAAATTTTAACTAACGTCTCCCCTGAAATGTAATTTAAAAAAGCGAAATAAAATTCGCTAATAAAATAAATTTTTCTCGATTATTTACATTACTCGAGGAGAATTAATTTTCGAATTAAAAAAAAATCGAAAATTAAAATATTTGTATCTAAAGTTCAAAAATTGTACAAAATTAAAAAAAAATCCCCGAGGTAAAATACAAGAATTTCAATTTACTGAATTAGTTAAATATTAACTAAAATTGATTTAATTATTAATTATTAATTGTCAATCAATAATTTTAAATTGTAAAAAAATTGGTCCAATTATTAATTGAGAATTAATAATCTAAAATCTTACTTGTAAGTACAAGTACAAAATAAAAAAAAATGCATAACAAAAAGATGAAAATTAAATTTGTTCTAACTATAAAAATCCCCTCGTGGAGAATTCGAATAAAAATGTTCTTTCAGAAATTATAAACAATTTCTCAAATTCGAATTAAGAGAAAAAAAAAGTTAAAATTGCAACGAGCATTCAATCATTCTGAATAATAATTCATATTTTCTTAACTATAAAATCGTGCTATTTTAAATTTCAAGAAAAAAGAAGAGTGAAGTCAAAATTTGTTTTAAAATTTGCCATTTCAGGGTGTCTGCTATTTTCGTTCAACAAAATTTCCGGCTTTTTCCTAATTTTTCCCGGTTTTTTTTTCATTAAATTTTAATTTATTTGATTTCAAACATAAATAAAATATCTAAAAATGGCTTCGAAAATTTTTACTAGAGTTTTTATGAATAATTAAATTCTTTTGACAAAGTTCTTTAAATTTTTTGAAAATAATGTTTTTTTTAATAATTTTAATTGAAAATTTGGAAAATAATTGAATTAAACAAAGAATTTTTTCAATTTTTTAAAATAATCTTGCCTATTTATAATTATAATTGAAAATTTTAGTTACGATTTTTCGAAAGACTAATTTTTTTCACAATTTCTAAATTAAACTGTTCAAAACTTGAATAATTTTTGTTAAATAAATATTGAAAATTAATAACTTAATAATTTTTTAAAACAAATATTTAAATATTATTAGTTTCACAACATATTAAATGTCCAAAGACTTGAATTTAAAAATCTATTGAAATTCAATTATTTCTAAAAATTCTTTCTATAATGATTTTAATATTCAATTATTATCTAAAATTTTATCTGAAATTCATTTTTAAATCAATTCTTTTCGGAGAGTTTTAAGGTAATTTAATTATTTAAATACAAAAATAAATAATTTAATGCGCAATCGATTATTTCTGAAAGTTGAATTCTTATAAAGAATTTAATTAGACATTTTAGAAATAATTGAATTTTTTCGAAAAGTTTTAATACAAATTTTTAAGAATAATTATGTTTTTGGAGGAATTTGTTTCAAATCGTATATTAAAAATAATTTAAGTCTTACGAAGAATTATATTATTTTTGATAATATAATTGAATTCATGTGAAGAATTTAATTAAATAAGTAATAAAAAATTTAATTTGATCAAGAAATAAATGAATATCATTTATTTGAAGATTCAGAAATTTAAAATTATAAAAATTTAAGAGAAGTCCAATATAATTATATTTATTTAGAAGGAAAAATTGATATAAAACTTTAAGAGGAACTTTATAAAATAAAATTATAATTACGGCGATTAACTTGCCTTGATTATTTTAGAAAAATTTAAATAAAATTCTTTAAAAGAATTCAATTATTTTTAATAGAATGTAAAGAAATGTCAATTACTTCAAAAATTTTCAATTATCTGTTTAAAAAAATTCAATTATCTTGAAACAATACAATTGAAAAATTTCAAAAATCTTATTTTTCAGAATTTTCAAAAAAACTTTGCGAAAATTCAATTTTATTAAAAAAGTTAAAGTATCTTTCTTTAAATTAACTAATAAAAATTTTAATTATCAATCTTCGCACTAAAAAACATGAATACGTGTCTCTTTATAAAATTCAATTATATATCAATTATTAAATTAAAATATTTTGAAATTTCGATTTGTTCAAAAGTTCTTAATGAAATTCTTTAACAAATTTAATTATTTTCAGTTGAATTTCACAAAATTTCTATTAATTCGATAATTTTTTAAAAAATTTATTTACATACTGTATTTGAATCAGTGACCGATTTTTTACAATCAAATTAATTATCTTTAATCTAATTCAAATTTCGAGAACAGTATAAATATCTATAAAAATTGAAATAAAAAGCGATTTTTTAAAAACAAATTAAGTTAATAAAACTTTTTTTAATTTGGTTGAAAAAATTCCTGGTTTGGCAAAAAATTCCTGGCTAATTTCCGGTTATTTCCCGGTTAGTAGACACCCTGCATTTGAGTGAAAAATTGACTAGAAAATATCGTGAAAGTAATTAAATACTTTTCTGGTCGTAAATCTTCTTTTTAAACTATAAAATAAATTCATGAATAGAGAAAAAGAAATTTCCACTTAAAAATCCACTATAAAATTTTGTTGGAAAAATTATTTTCGATAATCGTTCAAGTGTCTTAACAACGTGAGAAGAATCGCGCTCTTAAGACGACGGGAAAGTTACGGGGACGATGTATCATCGAGACTGGGAATTGTCCTCCTTCTTGTGAATATCCGCTGGATGCATAAGCGAGGGTTCGAGTTGTCTGCCAAGAACGCCGGGGACTCCGGGTCCGGGTCCAGCTCTATGATGCATATGAAGATTGCTCAATGGTCCGGGATTTGGATCCTTGACACGCATTGCGTTCACCGGTGGCGGCGGATAGGCCGCGTACAATTTCGCTCGTTCCTCCTCTTCGGCGCGGAATGCCGCCATCATTGGATTGTAGCGAAGCTGCTGCAGAGGATCGTATCTATAGGGATCGCGGAACGGATCACCTGGCCACGGTCCACCTGGTTGAGAGGCTGGACCTGATGGTGGCGGGAACGGTTGCATTGGATGACCGCCAAGTGATTGTAACATGCTTCGCGACATTGTGTGCGGCGCTGGAACACTGTGCGGATGCCTCGCGAGATAAGGGTGCGGATGAGAATGATGATATCTGGAATTGGAAAATAAATATTTAGTATATTGTGTGAAATCAGGAGAAAACTATTTTATGAGATTTTGCAATTAAATGCATAATAGAAATACGTAGTTAAAAAATAAAAAATTATAATATATGAAGTGTAAATACTCTTTTTTTTAAAGCCACTTATAAAGTAGTTTTTTTATTAAAAAATTATTATTACAGGGATCACAGTACCTTTTCTAATTTATAAAATTTTGCGTAAATAAGTGAATTTTTATTTAATTTTAGAATCTGACATTTTATTGTTAATAAACTTTTGTAATTTTAGTAACATTTATAATTTTTAATATACTGTTAATTCATTTCTTGCATACAATTTTATTAAAACTTTTGGTAATAATTGAATTCTTACGAAGAATTTTATTCAAATTATTGAAAATAATATTCAATTCTATCGAAGAATTTTAATGAAATTTGGAAAAATAAATCAATTCTTTCAAAGAATTTTATTAAAATTTTTAAAAATAATTATATTCCATTGAGAAGCTTAATTCAAATTGTATTGGAAATAATTGGATTTTTCGGGGAATTTTAATAAAATTTACAAAAATAATTGAATTATTTTAGAAAATATATACAAATTGTATTAAAAATAATTGAATTTATTCGAAGAATTTAACTAAAATTTAAAAGAAATTTTAATTGTTTGAGAAATTTTATTCAAATTGTATTGAAAATAAAAAAATGTAAATATTCATGAAAATCAAATCATTCCAAGAAATTTATTGAAATTTTTTTAATATAATTAAATTCTTTCGAAGAATTTTATAAAAAATTTTTTAAAATAATTGAATTCTTTATTCAAATTGTATTAAGATTGAAAATAATAAAATTTTAATTATTATAAAAATAATTTAATTGTTTTAAAGTATTTTATTACATTCTTTTAAAATAATTGAATTCTTTCTAAGAATTTTATTAAAATTTATGAAAATAATTCAATTCTTTTTAAAAGAAATTTAAATTTAAAAAAAATAATTAGATTTCGTGGAGAAATTTAATTAAAATTGTATTGGAAATAATTGAATTCTTTCAGAGCATTTTATTAAAATTTAGAAAAATAATTTAATTTTTTGAGAAATTATATTCAAATTGTATTAAAAATAATTGAATTCATTCGAAGAATTTCATTAAAATTTTTAAAACAATTTAATTGTTTGAGAAATTTTATTCAAATTGTATTGAAAATAAAATTTTTTTAATATTTATGAAAATATTTAAATTGTTTTGAAGAATTTAAATACATTTTTATAAAATAATTGAAGTCCTTTGAACAATTTTTTTAAAATTTATGAAAATCAAATCATTCCAAGAAATTTATTGAAATTTTTTTAAAATAATCGAATTCAATCGAAGAATTTTATAGAAAAATTTAAAAAATAATTGAATTCTTTATTCAAATTGTATTGAGATTGAAAATGATAAAATTTTAATTATTATAAAAATAATTTAATTGTTTTCATGAATTTTATTACATTTTTTAAAAATAATTGAATTCTTTCAAAGAATTTTATTGAAATTTTTGAAAATAATTGAATTCTTGCTAAAAATTTTAGAAATTTTTTTTAAAAAATTGAATCGTTTGAGAGATTTTTTTCAAATTGTATTAAAAATAATTAAGTTTTAATAATTATGTGAATAACAGAATAGTTTCAAAGAGTTTTATAACATTTTTTTTTTTTATAATTGAATTCTTTTGCTTTTGAGTAATTAAATTAAAAAGAATTGAATTCTCATAAAAAATATTATCAAAATTTTTGAAAAAATAATTGATTTCTTTTGAGAAATTTGATTAAAAAACATTGTATTGAATGTTATTGAATTCTAGAGAAGAATTTTATCAAGATTTTTGAAAAAATAATTGCTTTCTTTTGAGAAATTTGATTAAAAATAATTGTAGTGAATGTAATTGAATTCTAGCGAAGAATTTTATCATTTATGAAAATAAATGAAGTCTTATGAAGAATTTTATTAAAATTTTTACGCCCTTAACAATTGTTATATTTTTTAATAATTTTTGAGAAAGTTCTTTGAGAGTTCAATTATTCAAAGAAAATAAAAGAAAGTTCACTTCAATATTATGAAATATCGATTATTCGAAAATTCTCCAATTAAATATATTATATTCAACTAATTTCAAAAAGAAAAAATATATAAAAATTATCCAAAAACTAACTGGTTCAGAATTTTCAATTTAAAGCATTTAAAATTTAAATATTCTGAAAATTCCATTTTGAAACATTTTGAAATTCAATTATTTATAAAAAATTGAAAAGTCAAGTCTTATAAAATTCAATTATTTTGATAATTTTTATACAACATGAATTTGAGCTTATTTAAAAATACAATATATTAGAATTCCAAAAATTGAAAATTTTGACGAATTAAGTTCAGAGTCAATTGCGACTTTAAACGATGAAAGTTTTAATAAATTAAAATTTACTAAATTAGGAATGAATTAAAAATGTTTGGAATTTAACTTTTGAAGGCAAATATTTGAAAAACGTATAAAAAGGGAAAAATAGACGAAAGTGAACGAAATAGGTGACAAAATTTTAAAAAATGGGAAAAGGTGAAAAGGTGCCAGTCATCCCTGTAAATTAAACATTAAATCTAAATTCGAGAAGTTAAATTAAATTCGAAAAGATAAATTAAATTAAATTTATTTAAAAGTTTCAAAATTGAAATTAAAAATTCGAGGCAAAAGAATAAAAAAAGAAGAAAGTTAGGAATAGAAAAAGTTTACCTAGGATCGGGAAGCTGATTTGGTCCAGGACCGGGACCAGAACCAGGTCCGGGTCCAACGGGAGGCGGCCTCGGTAGCATAACGACCTCATCCTCCTTGCTCCTTGGCTCTTCCTTGACTCGAATTTCTCCCGTGTCAATTGACGTGCCACCATTTCTAATTGGCGATCTCTCACGACCAACAACCATGTGCTGACGATTTTTCATCATCAATCTCTCGCGCTCCATTTCCCTTCTCTCCATTTCGCGTCTCTCCTTCTCTCGTCTCTCGCGTTCCCTCTCGGCCGCTTCCTGTTTTCTTTTTTCCTCTTTCTCCCGTTCCCGTCTCTCCTTCTCCCTCTGCTCCTCTCTCTCCCTCTCGCGTCTAACTCTCTCGCGCTCGCGTTCACGTTCCCGCTCACGTTCGCGCTCCCTCTCACGTTCCCTCTCTCGCTCACGCTCTTCAAACTCGGCCCTTCTGTCGATAGTCGGCATCTCTGGTTTTATCGCCCAGGAGACGGTCGTCGGAGGAAAACCTGATGGCGCTCGTTGTAATCTAAAAGAAATCACGAATCGATTAGATTATAATTATAATCGATTAGAAACAACAAAATTGCTCTTTGATAATAAAAAAAAGAGGAAGAATTTACCCTCTCCATGGATCATGAACTGATCCGAGTCCACCCAAGGGGGGCATTTCTCTCGACGAGGGGAAGCCGGAGAATCCTGGAAAATTGGGATTCGTCGTGCCAAATGTCGATGGGTATCTGCCGAATGGAGACATTCCGCTTCCTGCAAATAATAAATAAAGTTTTTTTTCTGTCCCTTATTTTCTTTTCTACTACAGGGTTGCCACAAAAATTTAATTTTGCTTTTCCCTGATTTCCAGACAAAATTTTGACTTTTTCCCTGACCCTAAAGAATATTCTGATTCAAAGTGCAATTATTATTGAATATTAAAAAAAAATGTTCTATTACATTTATTTGGCAACTCTGCACTACTATTTTTTACTACGAAAAAATAGTGTTAATTTGAAAAAAGAAAATTGATTGATTAATGAAAAGAAAAAAATTGTCGAGAAAGATACGTTACCTAAATGTGAAGACGAAGAGGACAAGAAGGCGACAGGATGTGGTTGTGGTGGTGCCGGATGAGTCTGTGGCATGTTACTTGGAAGTGACATCGGTGGATTTAGACCGAGACCACCTGTGGGACCTCCAGCGAAAAGATGACCTGGTGGTCGGAGTAATTCAGTTTTCGTACTGACAACACTATTGGCCTTTGCCTCGGCCCGTTGTTTTTGTTGATGATGATAGATCTCCCACGCTATTCGGGCGTGCATCGCATTCCACTTTCCAGTCTTCTGCAATGCGAATTCAACGTTCGAGAATTCTTTCACTCGAAACTCTTGATTGTTTCGTACATTTGGATTTGGCATCTTTTCGAGAGAGAAAACAAACAAAAGAAAACAAGCGAACTTGTAATCATCAAAAATATACAAACAAACATTTACTTCAAAATTAAAATTCTATCAAATCAAAAAAAAAAAAAAAAATAGGTAAATTTTTTCTGTTTATAAATTAAAATTTAGAAAAAAAATTCATAAAGAAAAATTATAAAAATTAAATTTTAGGAAGAAATATGCAAAAAGAAAAATTAAAATTTAGGAAGAAAAATTATAAATTGAAATTTAGAAACAAAAAGTATAAATTAAAAGTCAAGAAGAAAAAATTAATAAAGAGAAATTTATAAATTACAAAGAATTGAAGTAAAATATTAAAAGAAGCAAATAAAGAAAATTTTTCCTCCTGTCTGTTACTATTTTTCCGTTTTTTTTTTTTTTTGGCAATCGAATAATACCTTTGGAGGAAATGACGAGAGATGATTATGGGCGACAAATGGTCCAGGAGGAGCTCCACCAGGATGAAGAAGACCGGCATTGAATCCGGAGATTCCTGAGAGATTGAGACTCCCGCGAAAAAATTGTGAATCAACTGCTCCTAACTTTGGAATGTCCTGAAACATAACGAAAATTATAGAGTAAAAATTATTTTTCAAAGAAAAATAAGACGAATCCGACAAACAATCGGAAGAAAAGTTAATCATAATTTTATTATTTTGAATTTAAACTGAGAAAAAACTCATTTAGTTGTTGTTTGCTTTTTTGTTCTTGACTTTTTTAATAATTTTTCTTTTTAAATATTATCAATTTTAAAATTAATGAATTAAAAGACATCGAACTTTTAAATTTTAGAGAATAATTGAATTTTCAAATATATTTTATAACGAATTAAGAAAAAAATTGAATTCTTTCGTGAAATTTTTTTGAAAATAATTGAATTTTTGCAATGAATTTTACAATGAAAATTTTTTGCAATGAAAATAATTGAATTTTTTCGAACGATTTATTAAAATTTTAGAAAATAATTGAATTTTAAGAACAATTTCTTACTTTCATAATCGTGTTTGTTAATAATTGAAATTGAACATTTAATTATTAAATTTTATTAAAATTTTAGAAAATAATTGAATTGTCAAAAATATTTTATAACGAATTAAGAAAAAAAAGTGAATATTTTCGTGGAATTTTTTTGCAAATAATTGATTTTTTGCACTGAATTTTACTATTCATAAATATAATTGAATTTTTTCGAAAGATTTATTAAAATTTTAGAAAATAATTGAATTTTGTTGAAAAATATTATTAAAAATTTTTTTATGGAATGGAATTCTTTAATGAATTGTTATTAAAATTGGAGTAAAATTAATTGAATTTTTGCAATGAATTTTACTATTTATAAATAAAATTGAATTATTTCGAAGGATTTATTACAATTTTAGAAAATAATTGAATTTTTTGAAATTATTTATAACGAAATAAGAAAAAAATTGAATTCTTTGGTGAAATTTTTTTGAAAATAATTGAATTTTTGCAAAGATTTTGTAACGAATTAAGAAAGAAATTGAACTCTGTCGTGAAATTTTTTTTGAAAATAATTGAATTTTTGCAAAAAATGTTTCTATTTATAAAAATAATTGAATTTTTACGGAGAATGTTATTATTTATGAAAATAATTTAATTCTTGCGAATAATTTTATTAAAATTTTTGAAATTAATAAACAAGAATAATTAATTAGTAAATTTCAAAACAAGTGTAAAATTAAATTTTTCTGTTTCCTTTATAATGCAAAATTATGACATTTGACTAACTTTTCTTACTGTCTGTCAGATTCCTGAAAGAAAATGGAGATAAACAAAAACTATTAAAAAAAATAAATAAATAAAAACTTTTAAGAAAACAGAGACAAATACAAAACTATTAAAGAAAAGCAGAGATAAAAAATATTAATGAAAAATGGTGATAAAAAATAGACTCACAATCGAAGGAGGATAAAGACTTGTAGGTGCAGATTGGGGCATTAATGACGACGAATGTTGATGAACATGAGTGTGTTCATGTTGATGATGATGCATTTCCGTTCGTATATAGAGCGGTGGTCCAAGATTTCCAACATCCACTCCAATATTACGATTTTGAGGAGCCAGAAATCTATTCTCGAGATCTCTTCTCAACAGGTCTGCCTGACCTGCAACATGATTCACCCCTACACCACGATTAATAAAAACCTTTTTTCTCAAAAAAAGAATAATACTTTTAACAGTGGGAAAAAATCTTCAAGATTATCAAATGATCTCGAATTTCATTAAATTATCCGAAAAGAAAAAAAGAATTTAAATTAAGAAAATTAATTTTCAAAAAGGATTCAACTTACTTGTTTGGAAGAGAGACTCAGCTGAGAATGGATTTGGATTTGCTGGAGGTGGAGGAAGCGAGGGCATTGAAGTATGAGGACTCGCATTCGAAACTGGCGGTGGAAGTGGTGCTGCAAACATCGGCGGTGGAAATGTGTGTAAACCAACAGGAACCGGCGGTGGAGTTGGCCTTGGAACTGATGTGTTTATTGCTGGTGATAATTGTGGTGCCGAGCTGCTGCTGCAAAATTTTACAATTATTTTACTCTTTCTCCCATTAATTTTCAAAAACATTCAATACACGAAAATTTTTATTTTTATTTACTTTTCTAAAAACGGGAAATAATTTACTGGAACTTTAAACTTGTTAGCTCTGCAAAATTTCTTTCAACATTTAAACATAAAATTGAAAGAAAGCAAAATAAAATTCCTGGAGTAATTGAAAATTGAATTGAAAAATAATTCGGTTATTTACATTCCGTGAATGAAATAAACTTTTTTTTATGTTTCGGAGTAGTTAAAATTGTTAGAATTAAATGAATTGCAATTAATAGAATTGATTAATTGGAAATAATTGATGTAGAAAAATCTATAATTACCTGATCCACCCTTGAGCCTTTGAGTAAGCAGGTAGACTAGAATTGGCTGGGGAGGACGTGTTTGGCACACTGACAGGCGTTATGCTCCCGCGACTTAAGCTGCTCACGTTGCTGCTGTAGCGAGGATCATTTTTTATTGACAACGTTAAAAATAGGCTTTTTGAGAATTAAAGAAATTTACTTAATTTGAATAAATGAACAAAAATAAATAATTTACATATGTAGAACTTAATTCAAAAAATTACGATTAAAAGGAGCTTCCAAAATTAATATTTCCAAACAATTGTAAATTGTTAACAAAAATCACTTGTATTAAATAAGTAATATTAATATTCATAATTATTGTTTGATATTCACGAAAATAATTAGTAACCTAATACTAATTAATTTTCGGTGATCTTTAGAATTTGAAAATATTTAGAACAATTTGAAAACATTTAGAACAATTTTGAAAATATTTAGAACAATTTGAAAATATTAAGAACAGTTTAGAATGGAAGAATTTAGAATAAACAAAATGAACGGAAGCGTAAAGTTTCTTTTTTCTTTTTGCTAATTAAACTATTGGGAGAATATAATTGCTATCTTGGATCAATTGACAAGACAATGTACCTGTAACTATCTCGTTCACGATTCGGGCTGTGTCCGCGTGGTGAGTTGTTGGTATTTCTTCCGGCTAAACTACAGGCCACGATGTCCCGATGTGCAATGGTATTTGCGGTGGTAACTGTATTTGTTATCGTGGAAACACACGTGGTTGTGGCAGCACTAAGTGGAGTATTATTGGTAATATTGTTATTATGATTCGGCACATTATTTGTTATTGTTTGTTTTGTTAAATTCGTGCACGGCGATGCTCTGCTGCCTCTCTGCAAAGAAAAAAAAATAATCAACCCCGATTTCAATAAAATTTAATGTTAAAATAAATTGTACAATATTGTATATTTTTAATAACAGACTTCGCACTTGATAATTAATTATTTAAAAAAGTAGGAAAAAGTAGCTTTAAGAAAGAAGAAAAAAAATATAAAATTCGAAAAAATGGAAAATAAACTCTACTTATTGTCAATTATTAAAATAGAAAATAATAGCTATCGAAAAATTAAATTTGATACTTAAAAATTCATTTTAGCCGATTCACAAAAATATTATTCTATATTTCTCTGATTTCTATCAAAAATAAATTTAGAATTAAATTATTTTTCAAAGATTTGATTAGAATTCTTCAAAAAATACAATTATATTTAAAAATAATTTTTGAGAGTAAAAAAATAAAATTCTTTAAAGTATAAAATTTATTTCGATAAAATTTCACAAAATTTCAAATTAATGTGAAACTTAATTTAATCTTTTTGAATTATTTACCAGAATTTAACTATTTTCAAAAAATTTTAGTTACGATTTTTCAAAAGACTAATTCTTTTTCATAATTTCTAAATAAAACTGTTCAAAACTTGAACAATTTTTGTTAAATAAATATTAAAATTAATAAATTAAGCATTTTTTAAAAGAAATATTTAAATATTATCAGTTTTACAACAATTAAAATTTTCAAAGACTTGAATTTAAAAATCTATTGAAATTTAATTATTTCTAAAAATTAATACTATAACAATTCAAATATTCAATTATTATCTAAAATTGTACGAGAATTCAATTATTTAAATGCAAAAATAAATATTTTAATGAACAATTGATTATTTCTGAAAATTGGATACTTATAAAGAATTTTATTAAACATTTTATAAATAATTGAATTTTTTAAAAGAATTTTATTAAAATTAAAAGAAATAAATGAATTGTTTGAAAAATTTTATTCAAATTGTATTGAAAATAAAATAATTTTATAACATTTTTTTTAAATAATTGAACTCTTGCAAAGAATTTTATTACAATTTTTGAAAATAATTCAATTCTTTACAAAAAATTTATTAAAATTTAAATAAATGAATGAATTGTTTGAAAAATTTTACTCAAATTCTATTGAAAATAAAAGAATTTTAATATTTATGAGAATAATTGAATTGAATTTTATATAGAAGAATTTTATTACATTTTTAAAAATAATTAAATTCTAGCGAAGAACTTTATTACAATTTATGAAAATAATTCAATTCTTTCCAAGAATTTTATTAAAATTTTAAGAAATAATTGAATTATTTGAGAAATTTTACTTAAATTCTATTTAAAATAAAAGAATTTTAATATTTATGAGAATAATTGAATTGAATTTTATTTAGAAGAATCTTATTTCATTTTTTAAAAAATTATTGAATTGAATTTTATTTAGAAGAATTTTATTACATTTTAAAAAATAATTGAATTCTTGCGAAGAATTTTATTCCAATTTATGAAAATAATTCCATTCTTTCCAAGAATTTCATTAAAATTTAAAGAAATAATTTAATTATTTGAGAGATTTTACTCAAATTCTATTTAAAATAAAATAATTTTAATATTTATGAGAATAATTGAATTGAATTTTATTTAGAAGACTCTTATTTCATTTTTTTTTTTAAATAATTGAATTGAATTTTATTTAGAAGAATTTTATTACATTTTAAAAAATAATTGAATTCTTGTGAAGAATTTTATTACAATTTATGAAAATAATTTAATTCTTTCCAAGAATTTTATTAAAATTTTAAGAAATAAATAAATTAATTGAAAAATTTTATTTAAATTGTATTGAAAATAAAAAGAATGTACTATTTATGAAAATACTTGAAATATTTAGAAAATTTTTATTACATTTTTATAAAATAATTGAATTGTTCTGAAGAATTGTATTATTTATGAGAATAATTAAATTCGTTCGAATAATATTATTAAAATGTAAAAAATTTTTGAAATAAACTATATTTCTTTGTTGAAATTTAATTGGTAAAAATTTTATAAAAAATAAATGAATTCTGTCGAAGAATTTTTATTAATTGTTTTAAATAATTAATTTCTTTCAACAAAATTATGAAAATTGTATTTCAAATAATTGAATTTCTCTAAAAATTTAATTATTTATGAAAATAATTGAATTTTTGGGAAAAATTTTATTCAATTTTTTTGAAAAATTATTGAATTCTTTTGTGAAATCTCATTAAAATAGTAAATATATTGAAAATAATTTAAGTTTTGTGAAAATTTGTCAAAAATAATTAAATGTTTCAAAGTATTAAATTAAAATTTTTTGAATTGTTGTAAAGAATTTTATTGAAATTATTTTAAATCGTTTTTAAGAATTTTATTGAAATTATTTTAAAACGTTTTTAAGAATTTTATTAAAATTTTCAAGAATGATTTTTCATTAGGATTTAAAGTATTTTGTAAATTGACACAAAACAAGTTACAATAGAATTTAAAGTAAACAAAAACTAACTGATTTGAATCAATTGAGAATTTTTTTTGAATTTAAAATTTGAATCAATAAAGTTGTTAATAGTGTAAATTATTAAAAAGAAGAAAAAAGTAGCTTTTAGTGTTACAAATCTAAATACAGTTCTTTCTTTACAATGAAGGAAAAAAATTATCAAAATACTATCAGATCGTAAAAAAAGTGGTAAATAAGTAGGTTTTGGTAGATGAGTACGAAGCCTGTAATTATTATGATAATTTTTGCCGATTTCGAGTGAATATTTGATTGAGAAATATAAATATTTGATTGAGTAGAGAAATTTGGGAGAAAATTGAAAATTCGAGATATCTTTTAAAAAATATAAATAAAAGGGGGATAAAAAAACTCACCACGTCGGTGCGAGACGATGTCGAGTGTGAGGGCGATGGTACAGCGGGTGGAAGATAGGGACTGTGATTGAGGGCAGTGTAGGGAGTGTAGAGAGGTGGATAAGAAGGCTGTGTTTGTGGATAAGCAGCCATTGGCAATGGTGGTGGATAACTCGTGGTTGCCGCTCCGTTGGACGGGGCTGCTGGAGTAACACCCAAACTTGCGACAGCGGGACTAGTTGTGTGGCTCGATGAGACGTGTGGTACATTAGGCGTATGTAGAGCAGGTATCGTAGTGTGAGGTTGTTGAGGCAGTGATGGAGGCGGTAGAGCGGGCGAAGCTGGCGGTTGTTGTGGAGCTATTGCACGAGGATTCGCTGCCAGCGGACTAGTAATCTGGTAAATTGGAAAAAGAAACTTCATTAAAATCACTAATTTATCCAACTATTCATTATTTCACTTATTTCACTTATTCATTTATTTCTAGGGAACTAAATAAAAACTATTAAAAGTAAAAAAACTCCTTTCAGAAATTTCAAAAATGTTCAAATTTTTCCATTGGAAAATTATCTTCTTGGTACAGATTTTTCCATTGGAGAAATATTTAGAAAAAATATTCTTTGACACCCTCTTAGAGTAAATATGAAAGTGGCTGTACTCACAGGTGGTTGGGATATGTGAGGGGGCAATGTCGGACTCGGAGGACTTGGTGCTGTTGGAACTGGTGCAGAAGCAGGCACAGGAGGAGGAATTGGAGCCGGAGCATCAGTCGCAGGATTAGAAATTTGTCCGCCAGTGTCCGGAGGAGATCCTCCTGCTCCATTGGCTGGCGGCAGCACGTGTGGCGAGGAAGATGGCAACTCGTCTGCAAAAAATTCATTCGTAAACTCCCAAATTCAAAACTTTTCTTCTCCCACCTAATAAAAATATCAGTCACGTTAAAATTTCAGTGAAAATCTTACATTTTCGTGCAAGAGGCGGTGGAGTAGCAGATTCAAAGAGTACCGATTCACCATCAGAGCCCTTGTCGTCTTCTCCTTCGCTATCACACTAAAAAGGAGAAAAAACGAAGAATGTTATGACAAAAATTCAAATTTCGAATACGAAGTAAAAAAACAACAAAAAGTATACTTACGATATAGCCTTTACCCGAACTGCAATGACTACTTGCCTATAAAACAAAGTTTAAAATATTCATGTAAGTCATATGCGAAGTTGAGTTAAGCTTATCAATGCACGAAAACTATTAAAAGTAGGTATAATCAGTCTCTAATTGTCTGACATTTTCTTTTGAAAAATGTTATCTTTTGTAATTGAAGAACGTTCTCTTTATCATTTTGTTATCGACAACATTATTGTCAACTCAAAAGAAAAATGTTGTCTACTTTTAAAAGTTTTTTTTCTTGCAAATAGAATATTTCTTTTTCTTCTTCTTACATCGCTGAGATGGTCCCTGGAACTGTCTGCGTCTTGACAATCTCTAGTTGCACCAGGGCCATGCAACTGTTCAGACGCTCTTCCGCTATCGTCACTTGTGCCTGCATCTAGGCCCTGTAAATTAAAGAATCGTGATTAATTATTTTCTCCAAAAATGGAAAAAGACTAGTAAAAAAAGAAATTTATTATTATTTTCATGTTTTATAATAATTAAAGAAGATTAAGTGATAAAATCAATATTTTATTTTATAAGAACATTGTTACTTACTGCAACTTATTCAAAATTAATTTCATCATTTCAATTCAATTATTATTTTCTAGATTTCTTTACTAAAATTCTTCTTTAAATCAATTAATTTTAATAATTTTTGAAAAAGTTCTTTGAGAATTTTCAATTTTATTTGTTTACAATTCAACTTTACGAAAATTTGGAATATTTTAAATATTTCAATTAAAATTTTTCAAAAAAAAATAATTATATACAGAATTGTTAGTTAAAAATATGAAAAATTCAAATTTTCAATGATTTTAATTTGAAAGCTTTTCAAAATTCAATTATTATTATCTAAAATTTTAAATAAAATTGATTTTTAAATCAATTTTTATTAGAAAATTCTTCGAGACTTCAATTATTTCAAAATACAAAAATAAATAATTTTGAATAATTGAATGCTTCTTAAAATAAAATTCTTAGAAACAATTTAATCATTAAATTTTTAAGAAATTGAATTCTTTTGACGAATTTTAATGAAATTTTCGAAAAATTCAATAAAAATTGTATTAAAAATAATCGAAATTTTGCGATCAAATTTATTATTTATGAAAATAGTTAAAATTCCTAAAAAGAATCTTATTACTTATTAAAATTATTAAATCACTAAAAAAGTTTGTTATTTATGAAAATAATTGAATTATTGCGAAGAAATTTATAAAAAATATTGTAAATAGTTGAATTTCCGTGAAATTTTTAATATTTATGAAAAGAATAAAATGTTTGCGTAGAATTTTATTAAAAATATTTTTTAATAATTGAATTCTTTTAGAAAATTTGAATAAAATATTAAATATTAAAAATTATTTAATTGACTAAAAGTTTTGAAAATAATTGAAATTTGGCTAAGTATTTTATTACAATTTTTGAAAAGAATTGAATTTCGGAAAAGAATTATAGTATTTTTAAAAATAATTGAAATTTTGAAGAGAATTTAAAAAAATTGAAATAATTGAATTTGTGCGAAGAATTTTATTGACATTTCTAAAAATAATTTAATTCCTTAAAAAAGATTAAAATTTTAAAAACTAATTAGATTTCATCTAGAAATTTAATTAAAATTGTATTGTAAATAATTGAATTCTTTCAGAGAATTTTATTAAAAATTAAAAAAAAAGAATTGAATTCATTCAAATTTTATTACATTTTTCCCTAATTCTTTTACTGAATCCCCTGACCTGTGTCAAACATGCTTTAGAAAAAAAAAGAATTTAGTATTAAGACCTCAATAAAAAAGAATTTAGTAGAAAAAGACTTTAATAAAAAAATAATTTAGTAGAAAAAGACTTGAGTAAAAAAAAGACTTTCGTAAATACTTTAAGAGGTAAAATAATAAAAAAAGACTTCTATTATTACAAAAGGGGTATAATTTCTCCCTTCATTAAATATTCAATTACCTGGTTGAGCGTTGAGGGTGGCAGTATGGAATTGTGTGAATAATGATTGTGCTTATAATGATTCTTGATGTGATGCTCGTTGTGCCGGTTATTTTGTCCGATATCCACCTTTGGTTTTTCATCAACTATCGACAATAGTGAATGAAGTTTCTTGACATTATTTTTACCAGCTAGTTTTATTGCACTCTGTAAACAAAAGAACAAATTTATGCATTAGATACATATACATAATATTGGAATAATAAATTAAATATTCAAGTCAGGTAAAAAAGAGGAAATACAGAGGAAATTGGAAATTGTACGAAAAATGAAAGATAAAGAGAGAAAGTTTGAGGAATGTAAAAAATTTCCTTATTTTTGATCATTTGTTGACATTCTTTGCACACACAGTCTCGGAATTCTTATTTGCAGATTTATCATTATTTATACTGCCGGGTTTTGTAAATTCGAATAAATAAATGTGACGACGGTAATAAATATCCAAAGAGGATAAATTCTGTTTTTTCTGTTTATTAATTACATTTAAACGGATTTACTCAATTCAATTCCTTTTTATCGGTATTTATTGTTAAAATTAAGCCACGGATAATAAGTTTTACAAGATAAGTAACTGTGATAATAATTTCAAGTCCGCTTCTGATTGGCTGGTAGTTTATGGACAAAATAACCAACCAATAGAAAACTAGTTGTAAAAGTGTTATTGCAGTTTCCCATCTATTGAAATGTGTCTAACTTCAGTTCGTTCGGCAACAAGAAAAGTGAAAAACATGAAAAACGAAATAAAGAATGAAAATTGAAATTAAAAGTGAAAAAAAGAGTAAAAGTGGTTAAAAGTGAATAGTTATCAAGTGGATTAAGCAAAACTAACATAATAAAGTCGCCTAAGTCTGATTAGTACGTAAATTTTTTATATCCATTGTTCTTGTAAATCACTGTTTGAAGGTTATGTTACACACTTTGTATTCAATACGTTTTCTACGTTTAACGTTTTCTACTATTTCTATCATTTACTCTAATTTACTTTTATATTATATATTCGAGATCAAATGAAATTCCCTGACAATTTTGCGAAAGTCGATTACCAACTATTTTTTTTCGCAACAAGACTAAATTTCATCGAGGGGATCCAAAGATGGATCACAATATTCCAGTTCTCAACTCTAAACAATAACAATAACACACAGGTGTGTGTTTGTTGAAGGGGTTTGGAAGACTCGCACAAGTGAATAACTTTTCGCGGGTCGTTGGCAATGTCGGTACCGAAGGCAAAAGAGGAGAGAAAAAAACAAGAGTATGTGTGTGCAAATCGAACAAACTCTCGACCGGTTTCTGTTAAGTGATCAGTGGCAGTGTCGGAATCTGGTATTTGTGGCAGCGAGACGAGGGGGGAGAGAATCTTACAAGAGAGTTGAGGTATCAACTCTCATATGTTATTTTTCGAATTAATCTGACCTCTGACAACATTCGTCATATGGACTTCTCTCTCTCGAGTTGAGAAGACTGTTTTTAAGAGTGAGGGAGAGAATTCGCGACAAACATACAACGAGAGAGAACCGGCAAGTCGCGAGCATAGCCCTGACAAGACGGACAGAAATAGACTCCAAGATCGACGAAATTTCGAATATTTCGACCTGAGACAAACCGGTTGTTCGCGATATGGCGGTGCACAACACAAGTGACGGAGAAGGAGATTCGCACTATTGGTAGTGGGGGGATTGATGATATTGAAGAGCATGTGGAGGGGAAATATACACAGGTACGTACACTTTTATTGCAAAACAACATATTTTTTTGACATTTTTAAAATTATTTTTTGTTATTGTGTTGCGGTGAACCTAACCTAAAAATTAGCTCTATTCTCAATTTGCAAACATTTTTCTTACACTTCTTTTCGATCTTTCCTTTGTTGTTCTTTTTGACTACAACGTCTTTTTTCAGATATTTTTCTTTTCTTTTCAGACAGTATTTTTCGTTCTTTTTAAAAAAAATCTATTTTCCTGGCAAATGCAAATAAAATTAAAATAAGTGTTTATAAAGAGGCGAACAATTAAGGCCGATGGTACTGATTTAATTTTATTGAAAATATCTCTAGAAAATCGCCCTTAATGCTTAATCATTGAACTGCTACCTGACTTAAGTTGTTTCACTTTAAGACTTATCATGAGCCGATTATTTCAGCGACTTATTTTTATCCCTATTATGGAGTTCTTATTATAGCTTCTTATCTCAGGCTACGGGTTCACCAAAATACGATTACTCTGCATGGAAATTGAAAACTGAAATCTAGATCTAACAATTTTTGACAAATTTCGCATCAAATTTGTCATTTTTACAGAAAAGTAAAAAGTATTTGTAATAAACACAATCGAAAAGTTTCATACATTACAAATTGTATCAACAATTAAAAACAAGGGTAAAATTAGATACGATTAATAAAAAATCTGGTTTTAAACAAATTAGACAACTTTTAGACAAATTTCGCATCAAATTTGTCATTTTTACAGAAAAGAAAAAATTATTTGTAATAAACACAATCGAAAGGTTTTATACAAGACAAATTGTATCAAAAATTAAAAACAAGGATAAAACTAGGTACGATTAATAAAAAATCGGATTCAAAACAATCTTTTGAGTATTAATAGTAAAAAACGGATGTCAATGTTGAGAAATCGAATTTATTGACTTTGCCAAACTCTTAATGATAAATATTCCAAACTGTGAAGTAACAAAAAACAGTAAATCGAAAAAATAATTTTATTGCAGTAGTATAAACAATGTTTTCGCTAAATTACCATTTCGAACAATAGTTTAAAATTCTAATTGTCAATGATCCAAAGAGAAAAATTTCTTTTATTCCGTAAATTTCAAAATACTTCCAGACAATTGTATATGTTAAATTAATAGTTGTCTCGAGCATTGATCGTTCCATTTATTCGCAACAGTTGAGAAGAGAAACTTATAACTTTTAATTAACCGTCATTCTATAAATACCAGTCAATTTTAAGAACATATAAAAATTATTTATAGCTCAAATGTAAAATAACAAATTAAGTTGTAAATCAATACACATATAATTCTTCCTCTGATTTATAAATCTTTCGTGAAAAATTCCCTAAAGGTCAAAAACCATAAGTTTTGGAGTAAACCAGGTATAAAGAAGATTTAAAGAGCCCCTCAATTGTCCTGTGAGAGACATTCATGAAAAATGCGAGTCAACAACTACTAAGCGTCTATTATAACCATTTTATGAATTGAAAACCACGGTAAATATTGTTTCTCTCCTCTTTATTCGACTCATTAAATAAAAGTAGAAAGAGAAAAAAAAGAGAGTGAGAGAGAGAGAGAAAATGTAGTTGTTTGAATTCATAGACAAGTTTGAAGAGATCAATAGATTCGTCCCATTTTCTTTCTCCCTGCGTTTAAGCACGACCCTGGGCAAACGTTGTCTACGTAGACGAGGGAGTACGAGAGAGAAAGGGAGAAAAGAAGACATTGACCGAACGAACAGCCGCTCGACAAGCTCTTCCACGCCAAGCCAGTCTCTCTCTCTCTTTCTCTCCAATACACTCATTTTATCTCTTTTTCTCTCATCCCCATTTCGCCCCAATTCGACTTCTTCCTCTTTCTTTCCTCTCAACAGACTAAGTAAGTACAAGGCAAAAAAAAAGGAGAGAAAAAAAAAGAAAAACCAGTAGATTAAGCGAGGGCAAGAACACGCTATATTCTATATATTGTCAGCATTCATGCCACCTGCGCACGTGTACCAACTGTGCTTGAACAACAAATCGTGTGTTGCCCGCACGGAAAAATGCGTCCATGTCCTAAGACGCAACTGATATATTTAAAACATATGAGAGGTAAATTTCTCCTTTTGAATTTTTAATGTCTCTCGTCATTCATAAAAAAAACAACTCTTCGTGTCATTTCGCGTCAGTTTGCGTCATTTAAATCTCACTGCGTGAATCGTTTGTTTCTATAGGTTGAATAATATAATAGAAACTATAATCCGAGATGAGCAAACAGCTGATTCGCAGCTGCAAGTATAACCTTTATTGATTGTACATTTATATTTACTATTATGATATTACTTCCTTGCGAATTCTTCCTTTTCTTTTGTTTCCATAATGCAGAAGCACTTCTGTATTAATATCAGAGAATTTTTGATGATGTTCTTGATAATTTTTTGGCGATTTTTCGACATCTGTTTGTACTTAGGTCTTAAAATCAGTTTTATAAACACGAAACTCTTTAAATCTGAAGTCAATATTCAAATTAAGTTCCTTTTATTTGTTTCTGTAATAAAGAATCATTTTGTTGCGATTTTTGAGCTCTTCTCTGCAATTGGGTATTAGTATCGATTTCTCAATTTGAAATTAAGCTAAAATTCAAAGTAATGTAAGTTTTTTACCTCGTTTCTAAATACAGAATCGTTTTTGTTATTAATATCAAAGAATTTGATCTATTTCTTGATCATTTTGACGATTTTTGCGAATTTATCTGCACTGAAGTCTTAAAATCGGTTTACTAATCTGAAATCAACGAAATATTTAAACTAATGTATGTTTTTTTCCTTGTTTCTAATACAGAATCATTTCTGTTATCAATATCAAAGAATTTCGATTAGTTTCTTAATAATATTGGCGATTTTTGAACTTTTATTTGCACTTTAAGTCTTAAAATCGGTTTCCTAATCTGAAATTAACGAAACATTTCAACTAATGTAAGTTTGTTCCCTTATTCCTTGTACAGAAACATTTCTTTTATTAATATCAAAGAATTTCGATCTGTTTCTTAATAAATTTGTTGTTTTTTTGGACACTTACTTGCACTTAGGTTTATAAATCAGTTTCCTAATGTGAAATCAACGAAATATTTTAACTTATCCAAGTTTTTTTCCATTGTTCCTAATACAGAACCATTTTAGTTATTAATATCAAAGAATTTCGATCTGTATCCTAACAATTTTGTAGATCTACAATTTTGTCAATTTTTTTTGTTGGCATTTATCTGCACCTTAAGTCTTAAAATCAGCGTATTTCACAAATTCAGATTTAAAGTGAATTATATACCTCGAAATCTCTGCAACCATTAATTATCTTGAAGTACAAGTTTACATGCCTTCGAGTTATATTCTGCCTCTAAAAAGATGTTACTTCTCGCGGTTATGTCATTAAATGTCACTAAAT